CCGGTGTATTGAGAAGTCGCATTAAATTTGCCCGCACGCCAGGAGTCAATACTTTACTATCGTCGAAACTGTGATCCTGGGCAAGCAGAGGATGGTGAAGATTGATGGGCAAGTAGAAGGCACCGTATACCATTGGGCCAATGACTGGGCCGCGACCAGCTTCATCCACACCAAGCACACATGGCGTACTCTCTCCAGCATCACCAGCTGCCCCACGAGGGGTGATGGCCACTGGACAAGGCGTGTAGTATGTGTAAGACTCGCCCGCGACTAACTGGGCCGTATCCACGCTGGGAGGAATAAAGGCCAAATCATCATTGACGGTTTCCATCGGGGCGTTTTTGTTTGCCTTCATGTTCGATTGAGGATCGGACGAAGCAAAACAGGAATGTTCAAAAGAAAGGTGTTGGACAATGCGAGTGGTTCAGGAAGGCCATGTTAATTGCGGTATGTGAAAACGCGTCGACTGTTCGGGTTTAGCGGCGGCGCGCGTTTCTTCTGCGTCTCCGGAGTCCCCATCGCATCGTTCCCTGCTATGAACATATTCGTCGTTGGAGCCCTTTCAACCCTCCACCTTTTCCCCTCACCGGATCCCAGAATTGTACCAAGTTGATTCTTCCTTCTTGATTGGATTGGTCTTCTTCGCCGTGACACCCTCTCAAAATGGCACGTGGGGCGGCGAAGCCCCGCGATCTCGACTACTCGGCCCTGGGGACGCTGGGAAGGTAGGCCTGCGCGGTCCTATTTCATTTGCGCAAAAACTCCAGAAATCTAATTGTGGTTCTGATAGACGTACCGGTATATCCTTGCAGGAGAGAAAGCGCGACGAGGATGGAATGGAGGAGATGGATGGACTCTTCTCTTCTCCTGAGAAGTCTCCCGCCAAGCTGAACGGATTTGACGACGGTGACAACGAGGACTCGATGGGCTCCGATGTCATGTCCATAGATGAAGGTATGTTCGAATGACTGGGTATGTGCGTACGGTGTCTCTAATGACTTGAATTTGAGTAGGTAACGGCCCTGCCCCGGCGGACTTCTTTCATTCAGCGAAGCGCCCTTCTTTACTACCTGCCCGGGTCGGTCGCCAGCCAAGTATAATCGAGCCCCATCTGCGCGCAAGTCGCCTGTTTCGCGATCTTCTCCCGAGGTGGCAGAGGACTATGCGGCATCGAGCCCATCAGATGGTAAAGGCTTGAATGCAAGCGCTCGCCAAGAGACCTCCCCATTAACTACTCGCTCGGTGAACGCAGGCCCAAATCGACCGAAACCTAGCGCTCAGCAAAACAGCAAGCCCCGAGTGGCATCCAATTCAGCCGTGAACGACTTTTCCGACGATGAGGGCGACGAGAATTCTTACTCATTCCCGCCCGAGGAGAATGACATCGATGAAAGCATCAATGCGGGTAATGAGACAGTGATCCCGGAAGACGATGTCTCCAATGTTTCAGGAAACAACAGTGGAACCGAGAACGACTCGCTTGGAGTAGCGCCAGACCCTCCGCAGAATACAAAGGCCGGCACGTCAAGTTCAAAGGAGACCAATAAAAGCCGAGCGTCCAAAACTGCTGATGGAAAGAGCAAGAAGGCCAATGACGGGAGACGCGGCCGGCCCCCGAAAAACTCGCGTCCCCACGACGACGACGAATCGTCCAACAACAGGCCTCCAAAGAAGGCTAAAACAACAAATGCAAAGTCTCGGGCTCCCCGCGAACCCTTAGACCCCGAGCTTAACAAAGTTGTGGAGAACTACGCGCAGCGCTCGGGCCCATTGAAAGGCCGGAGCCTTTACATCTTGAAGAAGGAACATCCGGAGGATACTAATTCTACCCATACACGGTCGGGCCGAGTTTCAATCCGACCATTGGCTTATTGGAGAAACGAACGCTGCGTGTTTGGAGACGGTGAGGCTGCTGAGGGGCAACGGTACCCGATGTCCACAATCAAAGAAGTCGTGCGCACAGAAGAACTCGAACCAGAAAAGTCGAAGAGGGGCAAGCGCTCCGGGCGAAAGTCCAAACCCAAGAAGCAGCACGAGGAATCATCTGATGAAGAGGACGATCCCAATGCCGATGTATGGGAGAAAGAGGATGGAATTCTTCACGGTTATATACCAACATGGGATTCCAAAACTCAAACCACCACTGCAGATGAAGAGATTGTCGGCAAGTACAAACACTGGCATAGTAGAAATCCATCGCTAATACCCCATCTACAGATATCGCATATGCCCCCTCTGGTATCAAGACCAGAGAGGTTAAGGACTCTACGTTCCGCTTTGCCAAATTGCTCAGCTCGCACTTTATTGGTTCCGGTGTGGTAGAGCTACCAAAGGACGGTATTAAAAGACCCAAGAACTCCAAGAAGATGCATATGGTCTTTTATGTTACCCACGGCCGTGTTCAAGTAGATATCTCTGGCGTGCAGTTCAGCGCAGGCAAGGGGTCCGTATTTCAAGTGCCTCGAGGTGAGCAATGATCGTTGAGCGAGGGGATTCTGCAAGACTACTCACACTGTTATTTCTCCGACAGGTAACCATTACAGCTTTCAAAATCCCTACGAGAGAGAAGCCCGCCTGTTTTTCACCCAGGGTTGTATTCCAAACGAGGGCGAGCAATCAAACCCCTCAGAAGAATCCCATGCCGCAGCTCCAGAGAGTGGTCTGGAAGGCGAAAGTGACCCTGCTACTTCCAAAGCTTCAAAAAACAGGGGACGCCCCAAGGGCAAGGCCAAGGCCAAATAGATCCGTCCTAGATCACTTTTTTTGGCCTGATCGTCGATCTGTTCTACATCACACTCCTGTGTTGACGATGTGTCACGATACCCTATGTTCTTTTCTCTAGCGTGATATTTGTCTCCTTTCTTCCTTCCTTCCTTTTCTTTCCTCTTTTAAGTGCTTCCGGTGGTCAACGTACCAACGGCATCATTCTAATTCATTTGTATCGGGCATGGTAGGGCCGGGCTGAGGTGTTTAGGATTAGCATGTTATCTACATCAAACAAATCAAGTTATTCGACTTCAGGAATTCTGAAACCGTGAAATTTTAGATCTCCTCCATTAAGTCATCTAACTCGTCGTCCAGTCCCAAAGGAGGGAAATCCCCGACTTCCACCTTTTCAGGTTTAACAAATACTCCCCGTTTCTCAGGGCATTTGAAATACCGCTGCCCGTTAACGCTGCCGTCATTCTTCCCTGTGGGTTCATCCAATTCGATGCCAACCCAGATGGGCTGAAGCTCCGCAGGAAGGTCTCCTTCCTTTGCAAGCTCGCGGCCAGGACCCGTAATGGGAATCGCAGGCACGGGGCCTACAAATTGGATCGTTCCACGCCGGACATGCGGCGGAGACGATGGTAGGACAATGGCTCTTTTAGAGACACTAATGCCTATAGGTGCATAAGACGTTCCGGATCAGCAGGAATAATACAGGTCAATAACGACAAGCTTACCTCTCGAGTCGACTTCGCCCTTATCTTTCGTAACCTGCTGGCGTAAAGACTCCTCGGCCGATAGCGCATTAGGGTCGAAACGGCCCAGCTTCTGGTTTCTCTTCCAGGCCAAGACGGAGTCTGAGAGGGACTCGTAGGCCTCAGCAGGAAGTTCATACTTCTCGACCGACGACAGGTCTGTGAAATTGGGCCGCAGAGCTTGCGGGCGGGTATCGTGCACCTGAGGACCTTGTCAGCCATACAGTACTCATCTCGCATTGAGCCCATGGCACAAATTCACCTCGAATTCAGTTCCCTTGACCAAGCCCCAGTCCCCGATAATACGGTCATCGTCATCGGCCCACTGGTCTGGTCGGCCGGGGGTCTTGATACGCAGTCGCTGGCTCCCAGGGGGGATTCCGGTCATAGTCTCCAGCTTCGTTTTGACCTGCATGACCGTCCATGTGGGCGTTATGCGGCGTTCGGTCACGAAGCTGGGCTCTCCGCTAGCAGAGCCCAGAGCTGCATTGGTGATAATAATGGAAACATCTTTAGGTGTTGGCTGGAATGACATGGCTGAGGACAAGAATTTCGTCCAAACCGCCAATTTCCAGCGGTTGTGCGTTAGGGCTAGAATTCGATGTTGAGCACGGAGTTGAAGCCTGTAGAAGCGGGACAAAATATGGGCGGAACCTGAAGCTCAGGCAGCCAAGCTGATGATGCATAAATTGGCGGGAACCCAATAACATCGGGGCGGTGGCATAGTGGTACTGCGTGAGATTGCAAATCTCGAGATCCTGGGTTCGATTCCCAGTCGTCCCTGTTTTGCCGGTCAATTATTTTTACGTCTGGTGTATACGAACCGTGATTTATCCGAGATGTGGATTTCTGGATTTCTTGATTTATTTTTAGACTTTTTTTTTTCGCCTCTACCATCCAATCGTGGAGTACTGGATGGGTAAATTCCTCAGTGCCAATTTGGGTGGATTTGTATACTTCGGCAGAAGACCCCGGCCACGTGATGTCTTCGCTAGAACTTCTTTCCCGCACGAGCCCAAACGATTGCAAGAACAAAATCCGGGGCATCATGGAATCCCAGGCAGAAGCTTACGAGCAAGAGAATGTGCATGAGGTCTACCAGAATATCGCACAGCATTTCTCAGCCACTCGCTACAAGGTACTGAATCTCCAAACAAAACCGCGATCCAGCCACTAAGATCCCCCTCCAGCCCTGGCCTATCGTTCATCAATTTCTCCAAAATTTGACATCTGGGTCAATTGGACTGGATGTAGGCTGTGGTAATGGCAAAAATCTCATGGCAAATCGAAATGTCTTTATCATCGGTTCAGATCGGTAAGTCTACCATACTACATTTGCAAAGTTGGGGGGAAGATATAATTTCTGTTCTTGGTATGCTTTTTGCTTGCGCTTTTCTTTTTCCTTCTGGTTTTCTTCTTTTTTTTTTATTGGATTGGCATTTTTGTATCCCAAAAATGGTTCCTCTAAGAGTAGAACAAATGCCTGCATCACCGTTTCCTGCAAACTCTCCTTCCGAGCACTAGACTCATTCATCCTGAGCAGATCAGAAAATCTGGCCCGGATAGCTCTGAAGCAACATCCCCATTCAGCCATAGTAGCTGATATTCTTCGTCTGCCGCACCGGGATGCAGAGTTCGACTTTGCCATCTGCATTGCCGTCGTGCATCATCTGTCCACCCCGGAACGGAGAGCGCAGGCCATTGCGGAAATCCTGCGGACGGTCAAACGCGGTTCAGATTTGCAACCTGGAGGACAGGTCCTCATATATGCGTGGGCACTCGAACAAAAAGATAGTCGCCGTGGGTGGGCCAAGGGTGATCAACAGGACGTCATGGTGCCATGGGTCCGGAAGAATCCTACCGCTCCCCAGGAGTCCCAAACTTTCCACCGTTATTACCATCTGTATGAAGAAGGAGAATTGGAAGGGGATGTTGAGCGGGCCGGAGGCCAGGTGGTGACGTCCGGGTATGAGAAGGATAATTGGTGGGTGATCGCAACACCCAAGGTCATCTCATGAAGTCCTGCGTGCTGCGCGAGCCAGCCGCGCGCCCTGCAAACCGGGAGGGTTCATGAGAGAGGCAGAAATGGTCTGCCAACAGAAATCCAATGCGACTCCACCCGGAAATTCTCAAAATAAAACGTATAACGCAAGAGGGTGTCGGCAATCTCTCTACTGGCGCCGTGACCACTCATCAAAGGACGGTATACCTCCAGCCGACGCTATGCAAAATCGTATCAAAAGATAACGGAAATCCGAGGGGGGAAGGAGAAAAAAGAAAAGAGAGAAAAGGAAAGGAAATGTGAGAATCAATCCGAACGTTGATCATCAAATCATCTCAAGGCATCGTCCGTGGGGGCAGTCCCATGTGTGGGCCTAACATACCCGGTGGAGGAATGCTCATCTCTGGTCGTCCAACTCCATAGTACTCTCGCGGGGAAGAGGCACAGGTGGAGCATAGGCAGGCACGCCTGCCGTTAGCTCCTCGAGGAAGGAAGCTGAGGAGCGAGGCCAGGTGGGTGGCCTGGGAGGGTGCGCGAAGTAGAACTTTTTCGTGGTCGAGTCAAAGACGTGCTGGCCCGACGCGTTCGGGTGGTTGGGGGATCGATCGCATGGCTCGATAGAGAGAATGGCACCACGCCGGCGCGGCGGGCCATCTCCTGCTCTCCAAGCTGCCAGTGCATCGCTTCTGCCGCGCGCCATGGAATGGCCATTTCCTCCGCCACTTTGGACCACATTTCTGCTTTGAATCTATCCCGGGGCCTCGTTAGCGGGATTCTCTCTTGAGGCGAAGGAAAGGCGAGGGAAGGGCGAGGGAAGGGCGAGGGAAAACCTACCGTTCATATAATCGGGCTAGTTTGTTCTTCTTGTCTTCATCCCATTCGCTTCGACGTTCGAGGTAGTTTTGATAGTGAAGACGGCAGCTGATCGCACTGCGACCTGGCAACCGTTTGCTGATATCCTCCCATTTCATGCCGCTGCCCCGCAGCTCGATGATGAGAGCATCCTCTTCGGGAGACCATTTGGACTGCTTCTTGGCCGGGGATTCGGCGGTATGAGCAGGCTGCAGGCGTTTGGGAGCCCCCGAGGAGCCCGGCTTGGTCAAAGGCGGGGCTACAGACGGAGCCGGACCTGTCAAAAGGGGAGCTGCTCCTGGCGGGGGGGCCTGGCAAGGACCTCGGCGTATAGAGAGGCGGGTTGACCGGGGGGGCTTTCTTCCTCATCCTGGGGCTTGAGTAGTAGTGAGATATCCACTTTGGCGGGCGGCAAGATAGGCCGATTTTGTAACGCAATCATATGCGCGATGGGGGGCGAACGAGAGTCGAGACGAAAGTAGAAGCCCCAGATGTAGAAGAGCACAAGCTATCAAGCCTATAGTCTCCCGCTCTTTCCTTCTTCTTCCTCTTCTCCTCCCTCTGGATTTGGCAGGTCTTCAGACGGTCAAAAAAATCAAAGAGCGGTCTCGTGCAACGAATGATGAGGTCAGGCCTCTGCTGTCCTGTCCAGGGCTACGAGTCAAAATAGGCGGAAGAAAGCGTGTGTACCGTGGGAAAGAAGGTGCAGGAACCAGGAACCCCGGAGAAGAAGAGAAGTCGAAAGACTAGAAAGAAAGAAGGAAAGGCATCTGCAGAAAAGGCCCGAACATGAAGGTAGACGAAACGATCGAGAATCTCCGGATGGATCTTAAGGGAGTCTAAGACCGTGGAGACTTATACGGTAATGGTATGGAAATTAAAGCATCTAAATTGAGGTAAAAAGGAAAACGGGTCTTATTCTGAGGTGGGGGGGAGGAGGATTTGGAAATTGGGGGTTTTGGGAATTGGGGAATTTTGAATTCAGAAAACCCCCATTTTAAGCCCAAACGAGCAAAGGCCAAACATGGCCCAAGCAAATAAAAAATACAAGATTAAAAATAACGCCCTTAACCCACTATATCTCCGATCCACTTCGGCCGCCTTGAATCAAGCGGTCAGGGTCATTGCAATCCTGGCGGTTGAGTTCCTATCAATCTATGGGTTTCTGGGAGTTCTGCGATGCCCGAACCAGAAGGACCTCTAGTGGGTGCAGATGTCATGACGAGACCCGCCATCATCCTTGGGAGAAATGAAAGCAGAGCACTGACCACGTCAACGGACGCTAAACTCGCCCTAATGCCACCATGCCGTTGTGACTAAAACACGCCTGAACCCAGATCGCACTTGCTTCAACGGTTGGGGCTCCACTCATCATCACGAGGGGTCGAGAGAAGGTAAGAGGGGGTGATGCAACAGACCCTAAACCAGGATCTGGGGTGTCGTTCGCCTCGTCCCACCAGAGCTCCTTGAGCATCCAGTGCAACCTATCGGGGATTTTTGCTCCTTTCTTAGGGCTTCACGCTTAACCCTTTCCCTTGATTTTCCCCTTGATTTCCTTTTTTTTTTCCGCGGTGGATCCTGTTACGGGTTCCCGAGGCGTTGGGTGGAGGTTTCGATGGTCGCCTTTTCCCCCTCCTTCATCTTGTTCCGTCACCTTTCACTTCTTCAGCTTCGGGAGCAGAATGCCGCTGAGGGGGATGGGAGCTGTGTCGGAGCTGTGCGCGACCAACAGAGATACCGGCAGTTCTTCCAGAACGCCTATTCCGTCGGCTCAACATAGGATAAACTTGACGCTGTAAGACTCCCGAATGTTGTGCCGCAGAGCTGTCGTTCGCAGTTATTCGTTTTTGGTCACACGGCGTCGCAATTTGCCTGAAGGGCCAGCTCTAGGTGAAATTAAATGGTCTAGAACTGATCTTCTGGAGGCTCCAACAGCTTCACGAACCTCCCCGTGGTTCTTAATTTGCGCGTGAAGGACCGGATCGTCTCGGCCTTCTCCGCCTTTGGATCATCTACTGCTTGCCTTCTTGTGAAGGGGGGCCTGGCCAAAACTAGGCAATGCTGCCGAACCGTGGTACATGTCGAACGACGGGGCTAAAGGGAAGGGGGGGGGAAGTCAGTAAGTGAGAGGCAGGTTTACTGCGTAGTAGATTAAGGGACCGGTGGGTCTTGTTGGGCTGGAACACTCTTTCCCTTTTTCTCCTCCCCCCAAACAGCCCACTCTTCCACGAGCCCTTTGACAAATGCTTCAAAATTGCAAGATAAGGCAAAACGCAAAATCACTGAAGGAAACTTCCCCCCCCCCTTAGGCAGTCTCAGAACGGACTGACGCCAACGGGCAAGCTGCAGCTGTGGAAGGTCGAGTTGAACCTCCGTGATTGGGCTGCTGCACATGCAAGAGGCACGGAGCCCCAAGTGGCAAAAGCATCGACTCATCAAAAAGTACCGGCAAATGTGGTGGAGATTTTCCTCGAACATGAGTTCCTGCCAGGGGTTCCGTTGTCCTTTTTTTTTTCTGACCATCAGATATAAGCTACCAGTATATGAACGGGGGACTAGAATCCCAGCAAGACCGAAATAACGGTCGTGACTGTACGTGCCGATCTCAGTTTTGAAACAGTCCAAGCGCGAAGGATCGACATGCAACCCAGTAGAGAGCGGGCTCTGATGGATCCAGAACTTGATCAGAAATTGGGCATTGACAAGCCGCGAAGGGCTCGCCCTATCGCGACGGAGAGGACAAGGATCCCTTCATAAGAGGTATGACGGATGAGGCAACGTCAAGGCTCGAGAGGGGCTGGTCCATTTTTCTGACCCGAAGCGAGGTCGATCCGCGATGATCCCGTGGAGGTTTTTTCGTCTTCAGGCATCTCATAGGAGGGAGGACGGGAAGCTAGAAACTGTCTCGCGTATGCGATACGTCTTCTCGAGCTCTACGGATCAAGGTCTCTCTAGATCATGACTAGCACCTAAGAGGAAATACGCAGTAGCCTCTGAAGACATTCGACTTTGCGGGTTTCCTCGTCCTCGCCAGGCCTCATTTCCCGCGCGTTTCAATGAAATTAATTGCGATGCCGAGACCCATGGATTTCGTCCCTTCCAGGGTTCTCAATTTCCAGCACACTGAGATTGCTTGACCCTTAGGAGACCATGCCCATCTTATTTTGTACAAAGTACTCCGTATACAGAGCACCTATGGTCTAGTTCTCCACCTGAGCTGAACGTGAAAATGGGGAGAGAAAAGTGGCGCTCCGCCGTTTGAGGGCTCGATGGGGCTGTGCTTCGCGTAACGGCGGATCGTCGGTAGACGCGAAGAACGCCGCCGTCAAAGCTCTTCGCAAACGGGCAAAGAGTGGTGGGAAAGCTGAAGAAAACGGGAGGGCCGTTCGGTCTCGAAGCTCGTTCGCTCCGGCTCAATCGAACTCCCTTCCCTCAAATCCCAACCTTGAGACGATGCGAAATGCATCGATAGAAGTCTTGTCAGCATCCTGTACGGAGTAATGAGGAGCAGACGGGCCGCAGGTTTAAGACTAGTGTGTCTTTCCAGGGCCTATAGGAAGTTCGTTCTTGGGGAGTTACCAACCGGGGGACGCCCTGAGAGATCGTCCCCCGACCCAGAAGCCTCCTCGGAGGAGGACTCGGCCGGATCTTGACTGCGATCGAACCGGTGATGTACTTCATTTCCGCCTTCCCCATAAGGAACGGGGGAGGCTCCACTTGGGTTGAGCCACCTGAAACACCCGAGCCCTTGTGGGGAAAGCACACTCTAGGCGAAGACACTTTGGGCCATTGGGCTTCCTCGAGACCTACGGGAAAGAACCGGTTCATGAGAACACCCCCAGCAGGGATTGGAAGATGTTGGATAATGGGCAATTTTTGGGTACTTTGGGTGGTACTTTGGTTGTTCTTTGGGTTGTACCTGGTTGTAGCTTGGGCCTGTACAGGGCCCGCTTGTTGCCACAATCCCCCATCCAAGATTGACACCGTCGATCTTTCATAGCTTGACGTCTTTGGTCTAGACTCCCAGAGTCTGCGACAAGGGTCCATGATTATGATTACAGCACTGGGCTAATTAAAAGCGCCGGAGGTTTTCACAGTCTAGGCCCTCCCTCGTGGCGATCGTCCTGCGTGACAGGGGGTCCAGTCCACGGGTTCCGAGAGTGACAGCCTCTCCACAAGGTGGATAAGGGTGATGTACCTCCTGTCATTGTGAGGAGTCACAAAGAGCACGTATGTTTAACGGGATGTCCCCTCGAAGGGTCGCTGTTGCAGGGCCATGACCTACATGGAACGCCGATTAGCCTCGTAGCAGCCTTGCGATCTATCAGGTCCGACGGGATTATCCCGGCTATACCAGGTGCTCTTGTGGGTTAGTCCTACCGGGTTGGACCAGGTTGCCTCGTGCAATGCCCAATCCACCTGGGGAAAGTCGGTCTGTAGGGGCCAGACAGCACAGAAACAAAGGGAGAAGGAGTTGAAGGAGTTTGGCTATTCAGAGTCTGTGACTGAGTGGTATCTATTTGCGTGTAGAATCGTCTCCCGGGAATGACCACCAAGGGGTAATAATAGGAACATCCAAGTCCATTTTTCATTCCTTAAAAGGCTTTGGTGCCTCACCAATCCGTTCCTCGAAGCACCAAGGAATAGTTGTCTCTTTGCTCTAGGTTCCTTGAGATGAATGGTCAAGTCCTTCGAAGCTTTGGTCTCAATCAGCAAGGCCGTTTTCGTTCATGGGCTGCTACCATAACCCAAACGATCATAAGATCCTCACTTCTCGCTCTTCTTTATCGGACGTGGGAAATTGGTCGAAGGGGCCGTCTCCAAATTGTACTCGGGAGTTTCTAATCAGGTCGCAACCACTCCCTATCCATCGCGACCATAGCCACAGCCACGGTCAGGTATCTCTCTATCCTTGAGTCCTGTATGTTGTATCCAGCATGTCAGCTGGAGAGCTTAGCAGCCGTCATAGGAAGACCGCTCTGACGATATGGTGACTCCCTTGGGCCTGAAGCCTCTTGGGGCCGGAGTAGATATAATGCTGAACCATTACATACATATATGGAGGCCATTCAATCAAGATGGGGGATGAGGCCGTCGCGACCTCTACGCCAACCGCAGCTGCTAATCGCCGAGCCACGGATGTCACCGAATTGTCATTTTCCAGGCTCGTCTTCATATAGCAGTCTTCATCAGCTGGCTTCGCTGGTTGTTAGAGTGTCACATTCCGTAACCCGCATATGTACGAGCCCTAGATGCAGATGTAGACATGTCCCCGATGTTGACCAACCTAGATCACGACCGTGTGAAAGATACCTGCGATGGGATCATCAGGCAGCCCTTTCTCCTGGGACTGGGTTAGGGCTGAAATGACCGGTCCGCTTCATGGATGCTACAAATTCCTATCGAACTTCCTTCATCAGGGACTAGCCCCTTGCGAGCAATGTTTAAGAGGGCCAGCAAGGCGTGGTCAGGATCTGGCAAGAAATGTAGGGAGCATCTGGAAGACGTGATCTACGAATTATTGCAAATTTTATTTGCATTATTTGGAATGGCCTTGGGGGAATGTATAGCACTGACATCTTCCCCAAGCAAAAGCGAACTGCTTGCCCCCGGCTGCAGAAAGCAGGCAGGTAGCAGCAAGTATCTGGGCCATCCACTGGAGTTTCCCATGCTGCATGTCAATCGATTGGACTTCGACGTCAAAGGAGCCATCAGTAAGAATGCGCATAACATAGATGCTTAAGACCGGCAGCAATTTTCTGCGGACAAGTATGACGAGGGTGTAGCATCCGAGAGATCTCCTGCCCAGTATGAACGGGCAGAAGTCAAATTCCACAACGAAGAATCTGGCGCAGGCCATTATTTTGCTACCACGAAGCGCCATGCTACGCCCTGGACAATACGTGGGGCTTGCGAACGAAAAGAAACGAACCCGGGAGTGGAAGAGCAAAACCATCGTCTACGGCACCCTCCAGATCTCCTTCTGAGGCCAGAATGGAAAGATACGTAGACAACCCCAGCAGGGGCATCCATAGAGTGGTGATTTGCGCCGTTGGTATATGAGGGCAGTCATATATATATATATCTGAACAATTTAACGTTGTGGAGCTGTCGTCTTCCCGCTTCCCATTCCCTCCATTTCCCTCCCGCCTCGTTCAATTTATCCCGAGCCCATGGCCCCTCCATCGCTTCCAAGATTCGTAGACCAGCTCATCACCGAGCTGATCGCATGCCACGACCCGAATGCTAGCATAGATGATGCGAGGGATGCGCAGGCCCAGAATTTCCTATCCACCATCGCCGGACCACAGCTAGCACAAGCCAAGTCGCTGATGCTCACATTGCACTGCCTCTTCCCCAATGATCTTCTGCCTGCACTGGACATTCTGGACCGCCGGCTTGTACGGCGCCTCGTACGTGCGGATAGAACCATGGCCGATCAGCGCCCCCGAACCGAAGATACTGAAGATATCTTCCTGGTCATGTCAGCCTCGTCTATCCCACAACCGGGAGCCTCATCGACCACGCATGTGCCCGAGAAAGGCTACGAAGTCCGGCTGGATGCGTGGAATTGCACCTGTCCCACCTTCACCCTCTCGGCGTTTCGAGATCTGCAAACAAGAGCAAGCTTGCCTGTCGAGTCACCCTCCAACCCGGACATGTGGTGGGACCAGGATGAACCCCGCCGCTATCCATTCGGCGGGACTCTCGCCTGTGCTATAGACCTGGCATCCCCTCCGGTCTGCAAGCATGTTCTGGCGTCTCTCCTGTTTGCACGTTCGCCTCAGCTCGGGGGCCGCGGAGAGAATCTGTGTCTCGTTTCAGCAGAGGAGTTGGCTGGCTGGTGTGCTGGATAGGCCTCGGTTCTTGTCCCGAGAACCTGATGAGACATCCTCGCTCATCATGATCATCAGAACCTGAAGAAGAAGCCAGAAATATGAAGGTACCTCTCAGCTTGATCTTTGAGGTGGGGGGAAACTGATCTATGTTCGAAATCACGCCCCGCCCTCTAATGGGTTTTGTTAGCTCCGTGGTGTATGCACCCCGGGGTCCTTGCTATTCCATGTCCAAGGGCCGAGCCCGTTTATGATACCTATGGATTGTCTAACCCACATCTAAGCTTGTTCTCTGATGACCGACTCTGGTGGAACAAGCGGTTCAAGCACGAATGTCAGGGCCGCGACACCTTCGTCCTGCGGTTGTTGTGTCAGCTCAAAAGACAAAGTCTCTTGCCGCGAGTGTACGCGGTATGGGATGCTCATGCACACATCTATGTGCGGGGACACATTTACTTCGACTTTTATGGCCACCGCTATTCAGCTTGTTACGTTTTGGGCTGGATTAGTAGTGTATACACCTACCAACCGGAGGAGGACTGAAGCAAATGGCAACATGAAAACTAAAAGCAAGCCTATGGCCTGTGAAAGCCACAGAGCTGCGTGCTCGATTATGAACTATCTTCACCGAGACAGATGGGACTCTTGTATCTCTGGTGAGGATTCTTACTGGAATGTGTCAATTTACAGCTCGGTCCACTTCCTCGATCAGCCGTACTATACCACTGCAAAGCAGTTCTAAACGGTCATGTCGTATTGATGGGAGTTGCCTCCGAGCTATCGAAATCATATGCCTTGCTTTTTCCTTAGCTCTTCTTCTTGTTCTTATCAGAGCTATCTGGCTCCTCCTTCTGTTCGCCATTAGCGGCCCCAGTGGCCTTCTTGGCATCCTTATCGCCCTTACCGGCATTCAATTCCTGTTCCCGCTTTGAGTCGCTCTCCTCCTGTTGCTGCCGGTTCTGGATCTTGTTCTCAATCAAATCGTGGAACGCCGTGATCGCCCGGATCAAGCTGCTGATGTAGATAGCCATCAGCTGATCGTTCGTCTTGACACTCATGGCGCGTGCAAGCTCGCTATTCTCGATTGGTGCCTCCTGGCCACTGATTCCCGGTGCTTGAGTGGGAGTCGTCAGGTTGGGCAGGAGGTTGAACACATCTTGCAGGTTGCCCAGGATAGCGTGGTTGATGGGGAGCTCATGGTCAAGCACCTTCTGAAGGTACTGGCCAATGTCACGTAGTCGAAGGTGTAACCCTTGCAGCGATTGGAGCTGTGAGGTGATGCGTGTAGAGAGGGTGCCCACAGCAACGTCTCTGATATCCCGGAGAAGGTGTTCAACGCCGATCTCTTCGGCTTCTTCGGCCTCGATTATGGAAGGCGTGTGTACAAAGGTCTTGGAAGTTGTTGTTCCGTCCTGTTATCAAATCGACCGCTTATAGTTAGTATTCTGCTTAACACGCAGCGCCTCTGGGCCAGAGGAGGAGGAGGAGGAGGAGGAGGAAGCGGCTCAACAAGACTTACATCCTTGATCTCATCCACAGCAAAGTAGGCGTCTGTCGGCACTCCAACCTCCTTGGGCTGCACGTCGACAATGACCAGCAAAGGATTCGGAGTATATTTTTTGAAGAGCTCGTTGATCTCCAAGTCTGAGGCACGAAGCTTCGGGCCCGAGTGGTACCAGCCGACCAACTTCTCTCGTGCATTGATCTTCTTGAACATGTCTCTCATCGACTCAACAAAATTGTGATCTAGGAACCACACGGATGGGTCCTTCTCATCCTCCTCAAAGGGCACTAGAAACAGGGTGGACCTGTTAGATCTTCTGCTTGCCCTGCGCATGGAAGAAGCTCATGGCCGTAGACCTGGGGTAAACTACCTGCCTCAAAGCTGTTGGACACGCGCACATTGTTCCCTGAGTTCTCGCCCAGTAACACACCCACAACACGCTTCCGGGTCCCCTTGGCTGTCCGCCCATAGTGATCGGCGACGGAGAGCAGGACTAACGGAGCGACCGTGACGCTGCGGTTGACGAGGGATAATGTGTCCGCCGTGGTGGCAGGCATGGTGGAGAACGGGGGAAATCGACAGGTGCGTGTGAATGACTTCTCTGGAATCCAAGTAGAACAGTCGATTAGATGGAGAGACTAGGAGCTCTTTGACTGATCAACAAGGTTTGGGTGAGAGCCACGCAGGTGACGATGCTTTCCTGGAGCTTCTGAGATGCGCCACAGCTTGAGGCTGGAGCGGAATGACTAAGCCGGGCTTTGGTTTGCGGGCTAACCAGTTAGCGAGAGATCGAGATTGATGGACGGCATAAGTGCTGTCCAAATCTGGTCTAAAACGATCTAGCTGAAGTATAGTCGTAGCACATACATCTAGAAAGAGGAGACAGGAAGATCTCGTAGTCTTGCCGTTCGTCCGTGATGAGTTGGCCCCGTAAAAGTTGGCCGTACACCAGGAATCCGATCCGCCGAACCTCGGACGCTAAACCTTTCCCTGCCCTTGCTGCAGTTCCCCATCTTCCGCTTTACTTACTCTCCCACCACCCTCAACCTTTTCTCTGCTTTCTCGATCTTTTCGAAATCTCCCCTCTTCTCTTCGGTCACAATGGCTCCTATCACAGATGATGTTGTCTCTGGTCTGAAGGACACTATCGGGAAGCTTGAGGCCCGGGTTGTTGAGCTGGAGGGCCGCTTGGTCAATGGCGACAAGAAGCCCAAGTCGCTGACTGAGCAGATGCGCATCATTCTGATGGGCCCCCCCGGTGCCGGTAAGCAGCAATTGTTCTTGCGGTACTAGTCATCATAGGTTAATTTGTCCCCAGGCAAGGGTACCCAGGCCCCGAACATCAAGGAAAAGTACTGCGTGTGCCACTTGGTATGTTGGAATATCTCTTTCGGAGACAAGGGAAGACCGTGTGTGTTGGAATTTTGGCTGACGATGTTTCGCTCTTTTATTCAATTGGAATAGGCTACCGGGGACATGCTGCGCTCTCAGGTCGCGAAAAAGACGGACCTCGGCAAAGAGGCGAAGAAGATTATGGACCAGGGTGGTCTTGTCAGTGATGAGATCATGATTAACATGATCAAGAGTGAGCTGGAAAATAACACTGAATGCAAAAACGGGTAAGAAAGACCGCGTCAGCCTGATTCGTGTTGACCGGGGAACCCTCTTTCCCCCCAGTACAATCGACTAACGCGCGGACAGTTTCATTCTGGATGGCTTCCCTCGAACCGTCGCCCAGGCCGAGCGTCTGGATGACATGCTTGCGGAGCGCCAGCAGAAGCTCCAACACGCCGTGGAGCTGCAGATCGATGACGCTCTGCTCGTGGCCCGTATCACCGGCCGTCTGGTCCACCCTGCTTCCGGTCGCTCGTACCACAAGATCTTCAACCCTCCCAAGCAGCCTATGACTGACGATGTCACTGGCGAGCCTTTGATCCAGCGCTCTGACGACAACGCCGATACTCTCAAGAAGCGCCTGGCCACCTACCACGCCCAGACCTCTCCCGTTTGCGACTACTACAAGAAGACCGGTATCTGGCGCGGCATTGATGCCAGCCAGGAGCCCGGCCAGGTTTGGAAGAGCCTGCTTGGTGTTTTCAACAAGAACTAAATCGGCCATGTCTCTCTCACCCGAGACGCAGCCCGTAGGAGTTCCATCCCCCAAAATACAGGGAGACAAGCCGGCCAGCTTCCCTAATGCTTCCTTTTCTTTTGTTGGTGTTTGTTAATCTGGGAGCACATGGAGTCTGACTTGCATGGTTTCTGCATATGATCCGCAGAGTCATGTCTCTCTTGAGGTCATGTATAGTAGGTGTACTTATCTAGTACCAACACGCATTTTCGCTGGCATGTATCACTCTTAGCTTAGTGGAGAATCAGAGAAAAAGCTGAAATGTCTATTCACATATTCCCAATGATCCCACGTAGGTCTATTTTCAAGACGTCGGTGGATATGAGATAGCTACAGCTGCAACGGGTACTTGGTGGACTCGATAGACTCGGGGTACTTCAAGCCACCCTGTCTGCGGACCTCATCCATAACCTCCATGATGACTATACTCTCCTCCCACGGCATACCTGCACTCTCTAACCTACCGTCTCTGAGACAGCGGGCTACCTCGTCTGCCTCCCAGTACATACCGCGACCTCCCGCCGGAAATGGGCATTCGACATCGCGCACTGCTCCCAGGCCCTTCTTGGGAATGACACGGTATTTGGTAGGACGGAAAGGATTCCCGAAGACCTGGATCTCACCTTTAGTGCCCTGAATGCGGATGTTGGGTCCTGCAGTGCCCTGTTCATCTGGATCGCCTGCACAACGGATGTTGGTCAAGGCTACACCTTGGGAGCGCTTAGGGTGAGAATCATTGCTTGGGGTAGATGTAGGGAAGCTCAGCAAGATACTGGTAGACTCATCAGCCCCCGTGAGGTGGTAGGGAGTGATTTGAGAGGTGACGGCGGGAGCCTTCCTCTGTTCTTTGGGCAGAGTGTGGTAGAGAGTTTGGAACACCCAGGTCAGAGAGTAGATACCCACTGTCGACAACGAGAAGAGAAGTTAGTTTTTTTTTTTTTAGTCTTTTTTTGCGATGGGATAGCGCCTCATCCAAGGAATACTGGACACGCACAATCTAATAGAGCGCCACCGGCCAGATCGGGGTTCACCATACGGTGTGAAGGCGGGAATGTATTTTCGACGTCATCCCCGAAGCTTGTATCAGCTACGACACGCAGCACTTCACCGATGGCACCCTGCTGGATCAGCTGGCGGACCTGGATACTGAGCGGGAAGTAGCGAGTCCAGACAGCCTCCATGAGGAACAGATTCTTCTTCTTAGCGGTCTCGCACAAGATTCGAGTCTGAGCTGCGTTGACAGTGAAGGCCTTCTCGCAAAGAACATGTTTGCCAGCTTCCAGTAAGAGCATCACATTCTGATAGTGGTGAGAGTGAGGGCTTGCGACGTAGACCACCTGAACGTTCGGATCGGCTGCAAGTTCCTCGTACGAGCCATACGCGGCGCAGGGGCCGGGTATGCCAACGCTCGAAATGAATTGCTCTGCTCTTTCCTTGGAAGAGGACGAGGCAACGGCGGCAACCTGGTGGGCAACGTCACCGGCATCACGGGCCTTGGGATCTAGGAGGAGATCGCGAACGAACGCTGTCGAGAGGTGTGAGAGCGCTGGTAGTACAGGGTATGGGAGGGAGATATACTGTCGGCGATGCCCCCGGTGGCTTTTCGAGCTCGATTAGCATAAGATCACGACTTTCGCTCGAAGCGCCTTACCCAAGATACCCCATCGGATTGTATGCGTCATGCTGGGCGGTACTAATGGATTACAGAGACAAGAGACAAAATGATGGCCAGGAGGTATTTATTTTCGTTTTGAGAAAAATGCGATGCGGGGCTTCGGAAAGGCAACGTCATGATGCTACGCGCGACATGTGGGGAAGCTAAAACTTTTATGTTACAAATATCGAGATGTTACACCTCACATCTCATATCTCCGTTTTAATGCGCACCTTTTGCCCTGGAGAATCAACACCCTGGGCCAATGGAGTTAGTAGGATCATCGTGTATTTCAGTCGAGGGACTATACCTCTGCTTTGCGTTTCCCTAGTACGGAATCTGGCGTGCTGGTTCTTGCTTGCGGTTCTGGATTGCGCGCAGGCCCATCCTTAGTCACTTCATTGTAGCAACTGGCGTGGTAGATTCGAGGCCCGACTCGCACGGCGTCCTGCCAGATCCAGTCCTGCTCTTCTTCGGACCATGTGGGCTCGAACTTCTCCTGGCAAATGGGACAAGGAGTATTCCGCAGCGTGGCGTCATTGGGGGGCTCGGATCCATTGCTTTGGTGGCCCTTGTTGAGTGGCGATTCCATCGGCGCCTGCAGCGCCTTCAGCCGTAGCTTCAGCTCCGGTTGCATCCTGCTCATCATCCGCCTCACGCGATTTAATCCAGTCCTGCAACACACAATTAGGTTTTCATAGGACAGATACTATGACAGAATGAAGACACGAACCCTTTCGTCAACATACCAACTACGAGTCTGTGCTCGCTTGGCAGCTTCGGTCATGCGTTGATTGGTCTTGAAATGCCAGTCTAAGTGCCTGGCCTTCTTCTCCCGGCCTTCTTCCGTTGCTAAAAAGCGGCGTCCACAGGTTCCACACCGATTGGACTTTGCGTCGTAAAGAGACACCACTAGATGTAACCGAGGGCTATAGGTGATTCCTCGTTAGCATGATGACGTGAGACACGTTGGCGATCCTGATGGAAAGACTTACATCTTCATCGAAGCCGTGTTCATGGGCACGGATGAGGAAGAGCCGTTCATAGCAGGGGCCTGCGGCATCGGAACAGGTGTAGATTGAAGTTGACCAGGGATAAAGAAAGGCAGAGCTCCCGCGGTGGGAGGGGTGTTGTTTGAAGGGGCCATCATTGGTGGCGCCGAGGCAGAAGGTAAGAGGCCCCGGGCACGTAAAGCTGCGATAAGAGGATTTTCCACTGAAGGCGCGACATTTGGATGCACTTGGGGCATGGACGGAAGAGCTGCTGGAATCTGGGGCGGAGGTGTGGGCTGTTGGTTGACGGATGTCTTTTTAATGAGTTCGGCTAGGGTAGCTGGGTTCAAAAGCTGCTGCAATGGCTGAGAAGTGGTTTGAGCTGGCGGAGTAGATACGGGAGCAGGAGCCGAAGGTACTGGTGCAGGCGGCGGCGGGGCAAAGGTTTGAGGTGCTTGCCGTGGGATGGCAAGGGCGGATAACTGATCTCGGATGGCCTTGCGTTGTTCGAGACTCAACTGTTGATGCTGTAGAATGTTTTGGAGATCTAGTAGAGATCGCAGACGTTGCTGGGCCATAGGATCATGCGGTTGCTTAGAGAAGTCATCGCGTGCGGAAGCGATCAATCCCTCTAGTTCTCGATTTATAGCAGCCAAATCAGCATCTGAGCGATGGCCGGGGGGTGGTGTCTAATAGGATCCTAAATCAGCATGACGGGAATAGGTGGGGGATATCTCCTGCCTTACCGAAGTGCTAGGTCGCTGCCCGTGGACCGCATAGGGCTGGCTCGGTCGCCCACCCGGCGGGGTAGGAGCATTGAAGTGCGTGGGAGTGCCGTTCGCTCGCCCACGGGAAATGTCTAGTTGACTCCGAGAATGCGTCTGCTGGTTTGTGAGGAAAGCTGTTCGGGCCTTGATCAAGGCGTTTTCGATGTTGCGGGTGATTTCTGGAGGAAAGACGGGACGTGTGTCTAAAGACCCTGGGACTGGTTCTTTCCACGTTTTGAGCATCTCGTCCAGCTTGCGGCGAGTTTGCGCATCAGAGAGGGTATAGGCATCCATGAAAGTCTGATACATGTTTCTTCCCAGGAAAAGCGTGTATGGGGTCCCGATATTTTTGACGATCGAATCGACTACATAAAGCGCTGGTAGTTTCTGCAGCGGTCCGGTCTATAGAAGCGAGTTAGAACAACGCCTGATCATAGTTCGTTCCGGCGGGTTGTCTTACCGAGCGAATGTGCTTTTCTAATACTCTCGAGATGGCCATCGCGTGTTCCGTGTTTTCTTTGGCGATCACGGTCAAGTTGCTGATCTGGAACCGGTCGTTGGTGGTCAAGTCCTCCAGGGAGCTTTTGTAGTCTTCAGCGACCTCATCAGATACCAAGCCTGCCATGGTGAGTTGATGGCAGGAGACAAACGGGGAGGGAAAGGAGCTAAATATGGGGAATATGTCAGGTTGGTTCGATTATACGTGTTGACTCGGAACAGGTCCTGTGTGTCCCTTTGCGCGCTCTCTGCGTTTTTGTTTGGAGGTTTCTGCCTTCTTTCTTCGTTCTTCTCTTCTTCCTTGTTTTTTTTTTTTCTTCTTCCGTCTTTCGCTTCCGAGGCTTTTGCTCTTGTCTGCCCTGCCTCCTCTGGGTTTCGAGCCAGCCCGTGTGAGATGTTCAGGTGGCGCTTGGCCGCACTATCGACAATATCTTGTCCTTCTTAATCCGGGTGTTCCAGGTGGAAGAAGCCCTCCGGCACACAAGATTGGAGAGAAAAGTCGGAACTTGTAAATGCTTGCTAGCTAACTTTGCGAGACTCAAGAAAAAACAGATGTGCTTAGCTCCTCCGATGGACCCAAAGCATTCCTTCACGTCCAGAAAAACCGGGAGATGCAAACGCTGAGAGGGCCAAGTCACCGCAACCCCAAAAGTAACTAAAGATTAGATTAGAGAGAACCAAGAGACCAATGCAACGCTGAGGAAACGTGAAGGGGCGCGAGGGGAGAAGGGGCGGACGTTGAGAAGAAAGTGAGGTGGAGTTGGAGTTGGGAGTTCCGGTATCACGTGACACAGATGACGTTCCATCCAGAGGCATGTTGGACAAAACTTCCCTTTCACAACTCTTCCGTAATTCATCATGAAGTTCTTCCTGACTGCTCTCTTTGCTTTATTGCCTCTGGCGCTGGCTTCCAAGTCGCTGAAATCAGTGATTGTCACTTTCCCCAAGGGCACGCCATCCTCGGTCGTTGACCAGGCAAAGGACTCGCTTAGAGCCGCAGTACGCCTTGCATAGGTCACCGCGATTGAAATTCTTTTAACTAATAGCTTGACAGGGTGGCATAATCACTCATGAATACCGTAAGTGTCACTTCTTTCCCTTTGTCTAGCATTTCTAATCATGTCTTGGGTATAGATCTAATCAAGTATGACCTTATCCTTCTATGCGTCTCCAAGTAAATATGATGCTTACCATTATCTAGTGGGTTTGCGGCCGACGCTCCTGTGGACGCTCTGCAGACTCTCTCCACGCAGTCCACTCAGTACAAACCAGAGATTGAAGACGACAAAATCGTTTCCACAAATTGAAATGAGTGGACTCGTCGCAAGGGACGAGAGATGGCGGCAGTACCCGCTTGGGGATGTAGGAAAGTCCGTACTGCAACTGCCGATTGGTACAACAATGTCACGCCATACTTCTTTCTCGAGCGACCGCTAGGTATACAACTTGATTATTCCATGCTGCACCTATGATGTACATTTATCATGATCTATTAATAGCGAAAGATGTATGTTGGAAGCTGGCTGAAAGGGGCCAATGCTTACTTTGTTTTTCTTGTTTACTCTTTGCAACGCAGTGGGAGTGAGTTTCAGCCTAGTCTTATTGCATGCTGCAGTACATTAGACAATAGTTTTGTTCCCGATTGTAATCCACGACGTAAATGTACACACAAGTCGCGAATCCAGGATGGTGGTTGGACCAAAGCGAACTACGAAAACCGGAGACGATCGTCTCTCCCCACTAGTGCCCCCCGAACGCGCTCGCGTGGATCCACAACTTCCCACGTACGAGTAAGGCCCCGGCTTGCTCCTTGGAATGTTGCGTCTGCCACCAGTCTTTTGAATCATTCCTTATTCGCCATGGCCTCGGAACATAATGTGACGAAGGTTCTGCTGGAATGGATCAACAGCTTCTCCCTCGGCAAGACACTCCGGACCGTGGATGAACTGACGGACGGGGTCATCCTCTGGGAAATCCTCCAGGACATCGATCCGCAATACTTCCTTGACGAGATTCCCGAGCGCAACCCGGAGAACCACTGGGTGGCCAAATGGCAGAACTTAAAGCACCTCCATAAGCTCCTACTCAGCTACATCAAGCACCAAAACGATGACTCCCTACCCTCCGGCCTCGACCCGTCCCCCGACCTCGAAGCTGTCGCAGAAAAAGCGACTCCCAAGGAAACCAACAAACTGCTGAAACTCCTCTTGATCGCCGCGATTTCCTCCCCCAATGCCGAGACCTATGTGCAAACCCTTCAAGGATTGAGCACGTCGACTCAGGAGGGCTTGAAGGACATCATTCAGGAGGCACACAATGGCCAGCATGAACCCCTGGATGCGGCTGATGAACTCAGACAGGATTTGGCGAATCGCGATCATCCAGTAGATCTGGAGCTGCAGTTTGAGGAGCGCGTGGGCAAGGTGCTAGCAGAGAACGATCGGCTGAGCCATGAGAAAAAGGAGCTGGAAAAAGCGCTGGAGGATCTTCATAACCGGCTGGCACGTTTGCAGGAGAATAATGATACTCTGCAGAACCGCCTTGCATCCACGGAGGATCGTTTAGTCACGCTGAAGTCTGGTAAAGGAGACGTGGGCTTCAATGCTAAGGCTTTGGAAAGTAAATCACGTCAGCAGGAGGACATCATTGCGTCGCAAGAAGCCAAGCTGTCTGCTGCCCAAGACGAAATTGACAGCTTGCGTATGACAGTGGAGTCATTGAAGGTCAAAAACCAGCGTTACCAGAAGCTTCAAGATGACTACGACGAACTCCGTACTGAGCGAGACCAACTGGCACGCAAGGCGAACGCGGCAGAGAAATACCGCCAGAAGCTTCAAGCCAATCAAGATTTTGAGAGGGAAAACCAGAACCTGAAGAATCAGATCAAAGATCTCCAGCAACAGCTCAAAGACGCAGACTCACAACAGCGTTGGACTTCTGAACGTGATGTGGAGCTGGAGGAATATCGTAAACTGCTCCCCCGTATTGAGCAGGAGTGCAGTGAGATCCAAAACTTGAAGAAGCAGCTTGAGTTCAATAACCACGCGCTTACCGAGAGGCTGCAAAGTGCTGATGAGCAGCATGAGAGAGATGATGCTCTCATAAGCGAGCTTCGTGAACGCCTACGAGATGTGGAGGGTCTGCCAGGCACGTCTTCGCCAGGTTCTGAGACACCTAACATGCAAGGAACTCTGTCCAAAGACTTTGAAGCTATTGGCATGAAGGAATCTCAACTGTATGTTCTGCAGATTCAGTTCTCCTCTCGCTGCCTCGCTAACACCGCTATAGTAAATCTGAAAACGATGACCTGAAACGCGAACTGGAATCATCCAAAACCCTGTCAACAGCTGTACGTATTCTCATCACACTGATATCACTGGAGCATTGCTGACAGCTGCTAGCCGGAGTCTCAGCCCGAGGTCTTTTCGGAGAATTTCAATTCATCTGTACAAATCGCACGCACAAACTCTTCTCAAAGGTACGTTGATCCCATGTGGGCCTTTACACTCAGGGAACTTCTCATAACATATGCAGCGACGAGTACTGGAAATTATATGAGACATATACCGGTACATTGAAGAGGCTTGCCGAAGTACAAAACACCCTTGAAAACAGCAAGAAGGACCTCTCTGATGCACAAAATCAAAGTATGTGGCCCAGGCTCTTTGATTGCCCTGTGCACTGGCATGATACTAACGAAAACTCAGTAAATCTTGTCAGCCTGGAAAAAGCAGACATTCTTCAAGAAATTGAAGAACATCATTCGGCCGAGCTTGCTAGACTTCGTGAGAATTGGGATAGTCTCACGCAAAACGTGCATCATCTGGAGGCTGAAGTTGATGCCAGCCAGACTCTCGTCCGCGAAGTCTGCGCCGAGAGAGAAGAGTTGCGGAAGATGCTCGATACGAAACAAAATGAGATCAGCGCCGAGGACCAAGAAGTGATGAATGAGATGCAGATGCTGCTGGGCGAATTCGAAACCCATAACGGCGAGAGTGGCGATGCTCAAAAATCTAGCTTTGAGCTCCTAAAGCAGTGTGCTGGCGTCCTGGAGAAGAATGTTGAACGCCTTGCTCAACGTGCGGAGGTGAGTTTCCATTGCCGTATAATCTACCCAGTGCCATCTTTTGACGCGACTTGATTTGTACAGTACATTCAACAACAGAATGAACTCATCAAGTCTCTGCGCGAGAGCATGAAGAACTACGAGGAGAACCTGGATGATGGGATTCCCAAAGAACGTGAAGTAAGTCTCCTGCACTCGAAAATCTCAGGACTTCCACTCATCCTATCACAGCTGGAATTACAAAAAATCATTGATGACCAAGCTCGTGAGCTCAGCCTTGTGAGCTCGGCCTGGTACCACCTTCAGAGCCGCTGGCAGAATAATAATATGACTGTGTCTCGATACCGACATGGGGCGAGTTTGTCAGATCCTCGAGGTTGGCTGGCTAAGCAACGAGGTGCAGTTGCTGGCCAATAAGCCCGAAAGGGGTAGATTAGACTGGTCCTTTCTATTGCTCTTTTTTTGTTTTACTACTGTCCTATCCATATAGAAATTCCCCCTCCCTTTTACAGGCAACACTGAAGACTGGCTATGTTTCCCACCAAGGCTTTTATCCTAAACCTCTTATAGCCTATTCCCGCTGTCGTAGGGCTCTCTTTACATTTCATCTAATCTATTCTACGCATACGATCTCGTCCGAAGCCTTATACAAGCCTGAGGGCGAGGGTGTAGATCAGCCATCATATACGTGCCTAAGCCCCAGTGACACTGTACTCCTGGTATCTCCGACCAAGAGGAAGATTCGCACCCAACTCGAACACCTGAAAAAATCCGTTATGAAGCCCTATTCCCGCTCTGCGTATATTTGAGGCTCACCGATATTGAGCCCACCTTGTTGGATGAGCTGAAAGCCAAGCCTGGGCCATTCAGAGGCGTTCAAACAACAGTAGATCATTCGAACCGGGAAATCCTCTACAAAGTTATTGGTGGCAGACCACACGAATATATCATAGGCTGGTTCCGCCAGTACCTGAGCGAAGAACTGATACAGATGGGGCTCTCCGCTAGAAAAGGCCACTTTACAGATTTTGGGTCATCCCATTGGGAGGGAAATATGTGCGACAAAGAACCAGATTGGATGCTTGTCCCAGGAGGGACCCCCCTTTGGGGTACAGGATGCGCCATCTTTAGTATTGGAGGCTGGTGTATCAGAATCATCAGAATCACGGAGACACTTGAAGACGGCCGCTCGCTGGTGATATGCGAATACCAACAAGCAGACGAAAATTGTTGTCATGATGCATGTAACCCGCTCACCGGAGTGGACAGTTGGAATTGATCTATGGACGGAGACTGCGAACGAGGCACCTGGGCCCGTTACCCACGATAGGCCTTCCCATGTCCTATCATGCATATCAAGCCACTCATCAAGAACGGAAGCGTAGAGGGAGCACCAATCGTGATCGCGTTTGAGACACTTTTTCGAAGAAAGCCCCGCCGTGCGAGTGAGAAAACCATCGTCATTGAAGCTGATAGCCTTCAGACACTTGGAAGATTTACTTATTGACCTGGAGAACTTGAGCAGAATGTCTTATTGGGAATGCCCGCTTAGGAAATTGTGCGTTGCTTTTGAATACAGCGACAATGACCCGGAGATTATTAGGCAGGGAGGTTATCTGAAGAGGGTCGAGGGGCGGGGTCTCGGCGTATCATTATCCTATATTTCTTTCTTTTGTCTCCTTGCTTCAGATTGCTTCGTCTGAACAGGTTGAGCGGGCAGCGTATTGCTATCCTATACCCTCCTTTTTGCTGGCTCCTTCAAGATCGATTTGCTTTTTAGGAAATAGTACACCACGCACGCAAAAAGTCTCTGTGCACTCAGTCCCATTACCATCACCGTAACAACCACCCACATTTTTATTGTTTTTCCTACACCTCCCCTGGCCTAGATCGCTACCAACCTGGAAGGGTATCTTATCAAGATAACACAAAGATCCATATAGCGAAAGATACACTGGATTAGTTTAAAGAGCACAGGATTTACATTCAAGGTTGGCCTGTATACTGGCCTGATCTTAACCCTATTAAACCGGCCTGGAACATACTAAAGCGTGAACTTTTTTCGTAGATTCGAAGACCTTATGCACACGGACTTTTGCCCCACTAGTGTAGTATTGCTTAGCATCCATAGTCAATCGATTCCGTCTACTAGCACTTGTCTGGAGTCCCTGGCACTTTCAGCGCAGAGGTACTAGGGTACAATGATACGTTCAACTTGGAAGCCTGAGCCTCGGAATTGAGAGGTACAGACTGGCATTGTAATATGCGTGGGACGACTTTTCTGAGAAAGCCCGGAATGAATTATCATGCACTAGAGTACATCTGTAATGGAGTTTTGGAATACTGTACATCAATATACATTCCCATATTAGATGGGATTAGAAAAGAAAGTGGCAATAGCCCAGGGAGAGAAGGGACAAGCCTTTGCCGCGGATTAGAATGTCCAAGGACTCAGAAGCAGGGATTTGGAACAGCGATTATGCCCACTGGCGTGGATGTTTAAGCACATCCATTATCTCCTTCTCTTTAGTCTTGTCATCCGTCAGCTCGTCCTCATCAGTAGGCATGCTCTCGGTTCTCGTGCCTGATACAGCATCCATGTAAGCCCAGCTTGCGGTGCGGGGAAGGCTCATCAGGATACTCTCGACACGAGCATTGGGAGTCCGCAATCCAAAGCTAGTACCACGGTCATAAACTAGGTTGAACTCCACGTAGCGACCTCGGCGGAGCTGTTGCCACTCTTTTTGTGCGGGAGTATATGGCATATCCTTTCGCCTTTCGATGATAGGTACATAAGATGGGAGGAAAGAGGCCAAGCCGTCCGAGACGAACGAGAATAGGGTCTCCTGTGGATTCGACGAGGAGCTAGCAGAGGATTGGAGGAAGCTGGCGTCCAGATCATCGAAGAAGATACCACCGACACCCCGAGATTCTCCGCGGTGGGGTATATAGAAGTACTTGTCACACCAGGTCTTGAACTTCGGGTAATAGGTAGCGTCGTGGCGATCACACATGTCCTTGATGGTTTTGTGGAAGTGCTGAGCATCTTCTGGGAAAAGGTAAGACGGCGTCAAATCAGTCCCTCCCCCAAACCACCAATTTTTGTCACCGTTAATTGGGTCCTTCGGGTCTGAAGTCTCGAAGTAGCGGTAGTTGAGGTGTACAGTAGGGGCCATCGGGTTGTGCGGGTGCAGAACAAGGGAAAGGCCAGCGGCAAAGAATGCCAGAGATTCGACATCTGAGCCAACGAAAGATTTGTGGTCGGCGCGCATTTTCTCAATAGCAGGCCGTGGAAGCTCGCCGTAGACAACCGAGACATTGACGCCGGCTTTCTCGAAGACATTTCCATCCTGCAGCACGCACGAGACTCCGCCGCCGCCATTGGGACGTGTCCAAGTATCTTGTTTGAATTCCATTCCGTCTATTCTACTGAGCTCCTCCACAATCTTCTGCTGGTGATCCTTGATGAGCTTCTCCATTCGGAGGCGCATGGGCGAGGTTTCGCTAATTGTGGACGATTGCTTTAAAGCATCATCCAATTCGACAATCGACGGGGGATCGAGCTGAGTAGCTTCTCCAGTAGCCTAGGTAACGATTCTCAGCCAACGCTCGAACGCACGGTCAAACGATCTGGTCTCTTACCATTGAGTATATGATTGCGCCGATGAAGGGCACACCAATCGCAAGCCGTAAATAGGGTCGCCACACAGTGAACTGAGCCTTTTGGGGAGGCTGACCACTAGCAGAGTAATTACGGAACTGTTTCGGTGCATTGCGGCCTGCGATTCGGACATGACAAGCTAACGGTTGAACCAACGCTCTTCGGAGTGGCATGAGAGATCGGGAGGCCATATTTGTGACAAGGAGCCCAATGGGACCGGAGGACAGATCAGTCACACTGAGAAACACAATACCAAGTAAGAAAAAGAAGATTCCAACGCAGGGAAAAGAAGAAGGGAAGTATTTAGATCCCTGCAAAGGTTATGCGCAGACTCAAGAAGAACCGGGTGGTACGACATCAGACCATTGGCTGAGATGGTGCTCTTGTTTGTCTGGTTTGCTTCGATGAGATAAGCGATAAGGCAGACCGGGGGCTCCAGGCTCCAGAGAGATCTTGTGACTGGTACGGACTCTACTGTCCTTTCTGCGTAGCACACCCGGAGGGGAGAATGTAAAAGACAGACATGGCAGTACGTTTGATGCTTTGTGAATATCGATATTCGCAGTCTAGGGAATCTTATAGTCTTCTGCTGTTTAAGGCTTACCCAGCTGCTCTCGGTTCGACCAGCCCGCCGGGTTGCTTTTGATGCATAAGCTAACTCATTTCACGTTCAGAGTATATACGTATGCCTGTAGTGGACGGTCCTGAGAAAAGCCGTCGAGGCATATTCGGCTACAGGCACATCGAACGGCAATCAAGAAAGCTGGCAAAGTACAAAATGTGGATCGCCGTTACGGCGGGGACGCTAAACCGCTCCCGGGATTGGACTGGTGATGGAGGCTCCAACTGCAACACAATACCTGGCAGAATTCTCGGACTGGGTCCATTCATTAGGTGGTTATCGCCTGCTAGGTACTTCACAGGACAGCCGCCTTGGTGGAGAGATAGCGCTGTGCACTGTCAGTCCGGTTGCCTAGATCTCTGGTAATATAGTGGAGAAGCCCACATCGTCTGAGTCTACCGAGGGTCCGGAGGTGTGCCCGGCATGGATCCAGGGGAGAGTAATATACTGGATAAAGTAAGAACACTAGGACAATCAAAACCAGCAAATAGAGCTTTGATGATGGTCAAAAGGAGATCTTCGATCAGGAGTAAGAAAGAGCAAATGACCCTAGCCCCGTGACTGTGCAGCGCGTGACTCACCGCCTGGTGGACGTCAGCGGGGGTTGCCTTTTTGTCATCGATCTCCCCTCCTACTCATCTCTCACTTCCCTAAGTTGATCACTTCTTCCATCACTTGGCTTCTATTCCTGCAGCCCACATCTGCTCCATCTCTAAACTGCTGTTGCTCGAGCGCTCACGCTCTTACATCTACCCGACGCCCCCGCTTCACTTATCAGCCTTATCAACCATGCGGTCCAAGTTCAAGGACGAGCACCCCTTCGAGAAGCGGAAGGCTGAGGCTGAACGCATCCGCCAGAAATACGCCGACCGGATCCCTGTAAGTTCTTCTGGGGGATCTTCCTTGCCCTTTGAAATCAGCAATAGAAGATGAGAAGGGTATCAGGGGCTTGGGAACCCTTATTCCTTCACCGCTTCTTCAGCGGCTAATCAGTATCATCATAGGTGATTTGCGAAAAGGTCGAGAAGTCGGATATCGCGACCATCGACAAGAAGAAGTACCTCGTGCCGGCCGATCTTACTGTCGGACAGTTCGTCTATGTCATCCGTAAGCGTATTAAGCTTTCTCCAGAGAAGGCTATCTTCATCTTCGTGGATGAGGTTCTCCCACCAACAGCTGCTCTCATGAGCAGCATCTACGAAGAGCACAAGGACGAGGATGGCTTTTTGTACATCACGTATGTATCCTTTGCTATCGGAAAGCCACGAGGAGACTTTACTGACTTGTCTTTCCAGATACTCCGGCGAGAACACTTTCGGTGACCAGTAGAGACTGAGGTCCATGATACCTTTTGCGCTGCTTGGCCTACCCATTCGACCCTTTGATGGGCTCCCCATACTTATGAGCAGCAACTACCCTTGGGCTAACGGTTCCTTATCATTTCGGTCACGCGGCGTTCTCTCGGTGTTGTGCACATTTCCTTCTCGATTTCATCTCTTCATTTTTCTTCTATTTTGCTAGGCGACTACGCTCTCAGTTGGCTTCGAACCCAATGAATTGCAAACTATGATATCGATCTGGCTTAAGTCTGCTGTTCCTGAGCAGTAAATATAGTAGCCTTCAATATAAGCTTTTTGCAAGACCCTCTTTCAGGGGTAAATGTGCCTGGTAGATCAAATTGACAATGATGATTCATGCAGACCCTTCACTTTGGAGAATCGTGTCATTCCGAGCGCTGGTCGATCCTCCAGATCGACCCGAGGGAACTTATCGTGCCAACACAGTGGAGCGTCCTGCCTCGCCGACGCCGGACCCCGATTGGGTCTAGCGCCCCACTCTCGTGCTCAACATAAAATTTACGCAGAGCAAGCGATCCCGACATCTGACTCCTTCATCAATCGTTCTATCCCTCACAATGTCTCCCGCTCTTGCCCAAGCCGGCTCCGGCGCTGCCGCTAAGGATGTTAAGAAGGAGTCCGCGACTGCTCGTCTCCTCGGATCCGGTATGTTCGACCGACCGTAGGGGTGACCCTATGCTAACACCTCAAATAGGCTCCGCTGGTATCGCTGAGTTGCTGGTTTTCCATCCCGTACGGCTTAAATCTCTAGAAGGATCATGAATAGGACGCTAATCGGTCTGTTCAGGTCGATACCACCGCTAAGCGGTTGATGAGCAACCAGACAAGGGTGAGCGAAGACCCGTGATAAGATGCGCTGCGACAGTGACTGACAGTCTCCTTCTCTTTAGATCACCTCCGTTACCGGTTTCAACCAGGTTGTCTTCAAGGAGTACGCCAATGCCTCCGTTGGCCGCAAGTTCACCTCGCTCTTCCCTGGTTTGGGTTATGCTGCTGGTTACAAGGTATGGGACGATGGGCGGCTGAATCTATGGCCGAGACGGATGCTGATGGCTTTCAATCTTTGAACAGGTCCTACAACGTATCTACAAGTACGGCGGTCAGCCTTTCGCTCGGGATTACCTGGCTAAGCACCACGGTTCTTCTTTCGATGCTACCTTCGGAAAGGGCAATGGGAAGGCTATCATGCACGCTTTCGCCGGCAGGTAAGGGTGGTCGCCTAGTGGATATGGTATCGGCATTCAATTCTAACATATCCGGCTAGCTTGGTCGGTATCGGAGAAATTATTCTTCTGCCCCTGGACGTCTTGAAGATTAAGCGTCAGACCAACCCCGAGGCCTTCCGCGGCCGTGGTCTCTTCAAGATCATCGCCGATGAGGGTATGGGTCTGTACCGTGGTGCTGGTTGGACCGCTGCTCGCAATGCCCCCGGTTCCTTTGCTGTACGTATCATTCATCTGGGGTTGGGTCGGAGAAATCCAAGCTAACAGTGGTATCAGCTTTTCGGTGGTTCCGCTTTCGCCAAGGAATATATCTACCACTTGACCGACTACAACAAGGCCACCTGGGGCCAGAATTTCGTTGCCTCCGTTGCTGGTGCTAGTGCCTCGCTGATCGTCTCGGCTCCCCTTGACGTGATCAAGACCCGGATCCAGAACCGCAACTTCGACAACCCCGAGGGTGGATTCAAGATCGTATCTAAGATGCTCAAGAACGAGGGCCCGCTCAGTCTGTTCAAGGGATTGGTTCCCAAGCTCCTGATGACCGGACCCAAGCTGGTCTTCAGCTTCTGGCTGGCACAGACTCTGATTCCTGCATTTGGACAGGTTGTATAGACGAACCGGTTGTATAGATCTCAGACGGATGATGATTTCTGGATAGCCACGGCGTTTGTTGACCCTCTCCTCTTTTTGTTCGGATTTGCGCCTGGCCCTGTTTCTCTTCTCTTCCTTCCTGGTTATTTGGGCCCATCTCGCTCATCAACCAATGTTGTATTTAATTCTCATCCATAGGCGTGGTTTATTGGTTCAAGTGGGCTGGAGCGGCTAACCGTCAAGGCAAATAAAAGCCCTCTTCATAGAAGATATTACAGTCTAGATCGTTCCTCCGTTGCTTGTGTAGCCCCCAGAATTAATGCTACTTCCCCCGTGAAGGGGAGCATCGGTATAAATCACGTGATCACGGGCTTCACCTCTTGATAACTGCATTTCCGCAACAGACTTGGGTATGTGAACTGCATCGAGAATCTCTGAGCCAGACTCAAACCCAGTTCAATATGGCAGTCTATCTGATCTCTAAGTGGGTATCCAGCATTGAGTCAATTTATCCCCCCAGGGGCGCCTGCGGATACATTGGCGGCCCCAATGACATTCTTGCCCCGAGGCGCTTTTTGATCGTGCAAATGCAGCTAACTTGTCCTGTCGTAATATAGGCTAGCTGACCCCCTATTTGCCGTCACCATCGGCATTGCGGCTTCCGCATCCCGCATTCGCCGCGACCAGATCGAGAAGAACCCAGAGAAGGCGTCAGAAATCGGATATGCGACCATTGTTCAACTTGGCCAGCACCGTCTGCAGCGATGGTGGAACGGAGACTTCCAAGGCTTGTGAGATTGAGCCAACTCTTTAACAGAGAGCTTCTCCGCTGCGTGATATCCTTGCTGAGCCAAGGGAAAACCCTGTGCTGGATCCCGCAACCAGTGTACCTTACTCTTACCCGAGTTTGGGGACCTTTCTATTGTAGATTTACGGGCTCAAGGAACATCCCTCCAGCAAGCAAGCGATCGTCCTATTCACCGCCTGGGTGAGAACTGCTATACCGACTTTAATGCAAAAGACAAGATAATATACCCCGTTCAGCACGCCGCAAGGCTCAAGTTTTAACTGGTTGTCCTGGTATTTATTTTGGACGAGGATTACCGTTATATTCCATCTGGTTATAGTACTGTACACTCTTGTGTCTTAGCAAGCGACGGTCAAGCCTAATGCTTTCCTGGACTAGCAACCAATAGATGTGTAGATTCCTTTTTCATTCCCAAGATTAGGATATCTTATGTGTCTACAAGTTGTGTCTACAAGTCAGCTATCTACCAGTAGGCTCGGTCTAGTCAGGCACCTACAAGAGTTACAAGGAACAGGGAACAGACATTCATACTATGTCCAGTCTACAGTCTTACTGTGTTCTAGGTTTGAGGAAGTCGTAATGAATTAAGATTCTGAATTGGCTAGGACTTTTGATCCCCCAGCAGATACTCGTATCTATGCAAATCATGCGCAAAAGGAAAAGAATAAAACTCGAATACCCCATAAGTTCGTAAAACAAGACATGAAAGGGAAAGGAAAAAAATGTTTTTAAGCAAGACGGAAATGCGAGATGTTTAGTCAAGCTCCTCAGGCTTCTCCTCGACCTCATCGGCAGTGTGGGTGGCACCACCGGGAGCACCGCCGGGGGGAGCAGCACCACCGTAGGCAGCGGAGATGATGGGGTTGGCAACGCTCTCGAGCTCCTTCTGCTGGGACTCGTACTCGTCCTTCTCGGCAGTCTGGTTGTTGTCGAGCCAGCTGATGACCTCGTTGATCTTGTCCTCAACCTTCTTCTTGTCATCGTCGGAGATCTGGAGCTTGCCCTCACCAAGAGTGTTCTTGAGGGAGTAAGCGTAAGACTCGAGGCCGTTCTTGGCCTGGATACGGGAAGCCTCGGCCTCATCCTCGGCCTTGTACTTCTCGGCCTCAGCAAGCATGCGCTCAATCTCCTCCTTGGAGAGACGGCCCTTGTCGTTGGTGATGACAATCTTGTTGGACTTACCGGTACCCTTCTCGATAGCGGAAACGTTCATGATTCCGTTGGCGTCAAGGTCGAAGGTGACCTCAATCTGGGGAACACCACGAGGGGCAGGGGGGATACCAGTAAGCTCGAACTTGCCGAGCAAGTTGTTGTCCTTGGTGCGGGCACGCTCACCCTCGAAGACCTGGATCAGGACACCGGGCTGGTTGTCGGAGTAGGTAGAGAAGGTCTCGGACTTCTTGGTGGGGATGGTAGTGTTACGCTTGATCAGAGCAGTCATGACACCACCGGCAGTCTCGATACCGAGCGACAGAGGGGCAACATCGAGCAGCAGGATCTCGTTGGTAGACTTGGAGGACTGGTCACCAGACAGGATAGCGGCCTGGACGGCGGCACCGTAGGCAACGGCCTCATCGGGGTTGATGGACTTGTTGGCGTCCTTGTTGAAGAAGTCGGAGACAAGCTTCTGGATCTTGGGGATACGGGTGGAACCACCAACAAGAACGATCTCGTGGACGGAGGACTTGTCAATCTTGGCGTCACGGAGGACACGCTCAACGGGCTCCATGGTGGAGCGGAAGAGGTCCTGGCACAGCTCCTCGAAACGGGCACGGGTGATGGAGGTGTAGAAGTCAATGCCCTCGAAGAGAGAGTCAATCTCAATGGAGGTCTGGGCAGCGGAAGAGAGGGTACGCTTGGCACGCTCACAGGCGGTGCGGAGACGACGCAGAGCACGGGCGTTAGAGGTAAGATCCTTCTTGTGCTTACGCTTGAACTCGTTGACAAAGTGGTTGACGAGACGGTTGTCGAAGTCCTCACCACCAAGGTGAGTGTCACCGGCAGTGGACTTGACCTCAAAGATACCCTCCTCAATGGTCAGAAGGGAAACATCGAAAGTACCACCACCCAGATCGAAGATCAGGACGTTACGCTCACCCTCGATCTTCTTGTCCAGACCGTAGGCAATAGCGGCAGCAGTGGGCTCGTTGATGATACGCAGGACGTTAAGACCGGCAATGAGACCGGCGTCCTTGGTGGCTTGACGCTGAGAGTCGTTGAAGTAGGCAGGGACAGTGATGACAGCATTGTTGACAGTGCCACCCAGGTAGGCCTCGGCGGTCTCACGCATCTTGGTCAAGATCATGGAGGAGATCTCCTCGGGAGTGAACTGCTTGGCTTCACCCTTGAATTCAACCTCAATGACGGGCTTGCTGGCCTTCTCAACGACCTTGAAGGGCCAGTGCTTCATATCAGCCTGGACCTCAGCGTCCTGGAAACGACGACCAATGAGACGCTTGGCATCGAAGACAGTGTTGTGGGGGGTTCATGGCAACTTGGTTCTTGGCGGCATCACCGATGAGACGCTCGGTGTCGGTGAAGGCAACGAACGAGGGAGTGGTACGGTTACCCTGGTCGTTGGCAATGATCTCAATACGGTCATCACGGAACACACCCACACAAGAGTAGGTGGTACCCAAATCGATACCGACAGCGGGAGCCATTGTGAATGTGTGTATGAGTCGTCAGGAAAGGAAATTCGTAAGGAAGAATGAGACTCGTAGTGTACAAGAGGGAGAGGGAGAAAAGAGAATTTAGATTTTAGTGAAGAATGAAAAAAAGAACGAGGGGTGGGCAGGCAAATGATGACGCTATATACTTAGCGGTGTATTGTTCAGAAGCTTCTAGCAGGAGAGCTTCCACTTGCATCCATGAGGTTCCATGGTCTTCGATGCCCCAGCAACAGGCCCAATTCCCTTCTGTGAACACACCCGAGAGTTCCAGGGGGTCCTAGCGGATATCTCGTTCGTTCTTTAAGCTACAGGACGTTTCTGGTTTCTTTGTTGGGTGCCAATTCATGCTACAGATCTGGTGGTGGGCTGATTCTACAATGATTCCATGCTATATTACTATGGCGGGGCACCGTGCATGATGTAATCGTGGCACTGGCAGCTGGAGCCCGCCGGCCTTCTGAGAGTTTGGGTTCAATTTTGGCTACAGAACTGGGCTACGCTATGGGGTTCTTGCATTCACAAGTAGCCAGGTTACGTATTAGGTCAGATTGCTCTCATCGCGTCACGATGAATTAATTCATGAGCCCCTTTGGCTTCTCTCCAGGTTCGCTGAACGTACGTGAGTCATCTCATCACGTGCCATTGGTCGCCTAATTAGCGCCCGACTAGTAAGGCCAGATAAGCTATAAGGCGACGAGGCTGAAAATTTCATGCTATCTCTGACCGCCTCCCTTTCTAAGTCCCACGTCCATGGCATTACACTAGAGCCCGGATCCTCAATGAGCTGGTGTATGGACATCCGTTACGTGCCAAACATTCAAAGCTGACATAGATGATCAAAATATATGTAAGCTTCTGACACGTGCTGTTACTACAGGTGACGTATAGTATTGAGCCCAATATGCTACATATATATCCGGTCAACAGATTGAGTAATATACGTATATATCTGTCTTATCGCTTCTTTCTAAGCTGCGGATTGAACTCTAGAGCTTCCGTGTCCTCCTACAACGATATCTCGATGCCTGACAAAAACTTAGCATGGTTGCCGGTATCATCCTGGCAATTATTGGTGGATATATTGTTATGTAGGCTGAGCTTGCTGACGTCGATTTGAAGGGTAGAACCGATTTGAATAGCCGATTGCAGCTGCTTTCAACTTGAAAATGTTACTTAAGACTATTCTCCTGCTTTTTAGAGCCGAGGAGGCTTTTCCACTCATTTTTAGAGGAATAAGGCGGATTGCGTGGAACGGTGTTTTGCCCTGCAGCTTTAGCATTATTATGCCCAGTTACGAGGCTCAGTCGCGTTTCCTTTAATAGCTTTATAATAAGATTACCAATCCATGAGCCAATGGCCATCTTACACTTTTGAGCAGTAAATTATTATCTCGATTCCCTCCAGAGGGGAACATTCCATAGAACATTTAAAGGGACGAAGACTCCAATTCCAGGTCTCAGGGCACAGACTGTCACGGGCATCCCCACTAAAAGCCTCCACTTTGAGTCCCACCAATCACCGTGCGCGATCCGGCCGTCCCTTGCTGTTGCGGGTTGTTTTGATTTGGGACGAGCTACCTTACTTTTTGACCGTCTCTTCAAAACCCCCCGGTCCTCCCCCTTCATCTTCTTCTCTGCAACCTTCCGCATCGCACACCCATTTGAATAAAAAGCTCACCATGAGTGGTCCCGCCCCTTCCAACGACCCCGCCACTGCCCCCGACTACGACAAGGGCAAGGGCAAGGCGACTGACCCCACCAACGAGATGAGCATGGACGAGGAGAGCGAGTCCGAGAGTGAGCTCGAGGCTGTGAGTGTCATTGATATCTTCGAAATGCCTATTGAAACTGCTGGTAATTAACGTGACTGCATCTAGGAACCAAACGGTACGCGCCTATATCCATAGAACCTTGTCCTAGTCGCGCTCAATGCTTTCTGTCAATACAGCGGAAACCAACACCGCTTTTACTTGAATCTACGTCTACTGGAATGTCTACTAATGCTTTTCCATGACAGATGAGGAGGATGATAATGACGGCAACGACCTCGAGCCCATCGACCAGAGCAATATCATCAGTGGCGGCCGCCGCACACGCGGCAAGGTCATCGACTACGCCCAAGTTGCTGCTCAGAACGATGATATGGATGACGACGAGGATGACGATGAGGACTTCGAGGCCCGCGACGATGACGATGACCACGAGATGCGCGGTTAAATCCCTCGATCTTGACGATAATGCCCCGGGATAATTGAAATGGCTTGAAGGATCGGATAGGACTGGCGCTTATGGACATTGGAGGTTTTCTCACAATACCTTGACTCATTCTCGAGACACTGGCACTTTGCTAGCGGGCCGCGCTGGAACAAGCAAGCCGGTTATGAATCTATGAATCGCACTATCGGTCTCTCTCTTCCATACTAGATTCAATTTATGAAAAGCTATGTATGATCAAGAGCCTTTCCCAGTGAAATAATCTTCTACGTGGCCAGAAGTCTCGGTTTGGAGAACCTATTCTTGCAAAGCGTATATGTACTAGTTATACTACCTTAATGGAGGGGCTAAGGCTCGGTAACTTATAGCGCATTATGATGGCGGCTGTCAGCCCTTTCCAATTCCTGTCCAGCTCGTCTCTTAATTTTGCCCATATAGTTTCTCCTAGCTCTCGCGACTCAAAATAATCCGCGGTTCGCAACCAGGATTTCCTTCCTTGCAGACCCTCGATGCGAAATCACGTGCCACGAAGCGCTTTGGCCACCGTATTGATCCTCCCGAGCATCCATGGGCCTCGATCTCCGCGGTGTCATCAAGACATTTGTTCACTGCGCAAGCTTCATGGGCTGGTGTTAGCTGTTTTATCCCAGAGGCTGGTAGCCCCTATTCTACAACGAGCCCTTGAGGGTCGATTCCCCAAGAGAATAATCACAAATAATCATGGCTTCACGGTATAGTCTTCCAACTTCCTATCCTTGTGGCCACGCCGTGGCCTTCGGGCGACTAGACTGACAGCGACCGGTAGATTTCCACGCCAGCGTGATCCACGCGCATCCTCCTCCCTCTTCGATTCCTACGGTGGCGAGTCCCGCCCAGCTAGCAGATCACCTGCCCCCTCAGGCGGATATGGATATGGGGGTTACTCGAGTCCAGCAGGGAATGGGTACGGCAATGGCAGCCTTGGGGCTGGATTCCGGAGTGGAACACCTGATAAGAAGTAGGCCAGCACGCTTAGGACCTTTCCTATTGGTTGTCCGATTTAACATATCTTTTCACAGAGGCCACTATTCAGATGCTGTTCTCTCGTCGCTTGAATCACAAAACGATGCTGAAGTAGAAGGCATCACGGCCAAGGTGAAGATGCTGAAAGATGTGCGTAATATGACATTGGGGATAACTCTGTTATGGGAGAGGATTACTGACAATTTTCGTGGCAGCTCACATTTGCGATTGGTGACGAAATCCGCGATACTACCCATATGACCGATCTTGAGAGTTCATTCGAGAACACCCGAGTCAGGCTTCGGGGAAACATGAACCGTATGCTCCGCATGGCAGAGCGCACTGGAGTTGGGTGGAAGGTTTGGGTTGGGTTCTTTTTCGCCGTGTTCTTGCTGTTCTTCTACGTCTGGATATCTTGACAATGCAAGTCTCTGCTGCCCTCTATACCGTCAGGTTCTAATCTACTTCCATGGGCATGGGAGCATGGAGATGCCCACTCGGGTTTGGCCTCGATGACCTTTCCATCCGAGTCTTCATACATACATTGTCTAGTACAGCATGGGCTTATCCAGCCTCGGTGTTTGGGTGTTTGTCATTGAGGGTTGCGATGTATTTTGATTAAAGTCATGATAGCCATATTCCCATATATAATATAATTATTTGCCCCAAGCTAGCGGCTACCAGGGACGAGGGGGAAAAACAACATGGAGATAGGCACGAATTGTCATTCATTGAGTTCCTGAGTTCTTAGAAGCAAGCAAGACCCCCTGACGCCATAATGGTATCTTTGTGATGCCTGCATCCACATGAAAACGCCAGCGGGAAAAATGCAAATACGTAGAGGGTGCTAAACACAACCTTTTAGAATATACGTAGATGTCGGAGCTGATGGTCAGTTCAGGCTGTCTCGAGGGCCCCCAACGTGTCGCGGGAACCGACGGCCAAACCCACTGCGTCGACTGCTTTGACTCGTAATTGAAGCGCGCAGGTCATCTTCTTCAAACAGTAGGCTGCTTGAATCAAGCGCATCGCCTCCACCACTCCATCGCTGTAGGAAACGACGCTGGGCCTCCGTCTCTCGCTCCCGGCGAAGCGGAGGCGGCAACCCGCTGCGACTGTTGGGCGTGCTGGTTCTGAAGTTCGCAGCCGTAAACTGATCTCGAACAATCTCATATTCGCCACCACCCTCATCGTCGTCCAATTCATCCTCCGTATCGGTGTGCTGCCACTCGCCCTCTTGCTCGGAACCCTCCTCTGTAGCATCAGGGATGTCATCGTCCAGGTCACGGCTAAAGCCCTCTTCGGCTTCCGGAACATCGGCGTCAAGATCAGGCTGGTTATCAAAATCACCCTGCTCGTATAGCCCCGACTCCTCGTAATCGTCCTCGGGATAGCCTTCAGGAATTTCATCATCAAGGTCCCGCTCCATGAACCCCTCCCGCTCATCCAGATCATCCTCCTCAAGCCCTTCCTCTCCTTCCTCAACGAGTCCCTCCGCATCTGCATCAGGGATCTCATCATCCAAATCACGCTCCATACCTTGTTCTTCTTCTTCCTCCTCGCCCTCCTCTCTCGTCTCGACCATATCGTCCTCCATCATCCCCTCAGCATTGGCCTCCGCCGCGGCGGCGGCAGCGGCTTCCTCGCGTTCAGCTTCCTCCTCTTTCATACCGAGCATTGTCTTAGCGCATCCTGCGGGCTTGATCCAGGAATACCCGAAGGACGCGATGCCCTGCTTGCGAAGGCGCAGGGCGCGCTCCTCCATCGCGAGCGCGGCAAGTGAGTTCATAGGGGCGCGCGAAGGCATGAAGGAGCGCTGGCTGGCATGACCGCCGGCATTGCGTCGGGAGTGCGGGGATGCGTCGTAGCCTTGATGATGGGTGTCTAAGCGATGGGGCGCGGGGGCGCCGAACCATAGCTCATGCGACTGAAAGTCCAGGAAGGTAAGTGATGAACCGTGATGGGGGAGCATGTAAGCTTTCTTCTAGGAGACTCACGTCTTGTGGGGTTATAGATGGGAGAGGGAGCATGGCAAATGTACTGTTATGCAATGTTATGTGTTTTGGTAGCTGTCGAGACTTTGTAGATGTTTGGCGAGAGGAAGTTGAGGACGCGGTCGGTGTGGCACTGAGGACGCGGGGTACCGCGTAGCCGATGGTCAATTGGGGAGAAACAGTAGCAAGGAAGGAACACCGAGGTAGATAGAGTTGGGAAGAAATCAATGAACCTTTTCTAGGTGGATAGCTGGAACGGTGACAAGGATATTGTTGATAAAGCTAAGGCGGGCACCAAAAAGTCGGCAGGAACTCCATCGCAAACCGTCATTGGCTCGTCCGTGCGGGGAACAAACTCTGGGAGCTATAGATTTGCAGGTGCAATTCTTTAGAGCAGCCGTTCGTGCTGGGCTATTTTAACCAAACCCAAGACTTCTAGTAGCCTTGAAGAACCTATTTTTTACTTGCACTACAACTGATCTACTGCTATGGTTTGAAGCGGCCTGTATACTAGTATTTCTTCGCATACCACGGTTCAATGGCCGCGTAGTATGTATAGCACTGATGTTTCGGGGTCTCTCCCGTCCTGGGGGAGAATTCAAAAGCCTTCGCAGTGTTTAGCCAGGTGGCTTTCTGACCAGTTCCTTGGGAGCTACTAGTGATGTGGCCGCCACGCACTACGCCCGCAGCCGTGATTTGCAGGGTTGTTTACTGGCCGCAAGAGCCTCATCTTTAGGACAACATGATTGGCGGCACATGTTCGGTGGTAAAAAGCCATCAGGAACGCAAGACGAGTCAATATCATCTCTGGCTCTTATATGTCTATGACACGAAGGCTCGATACTCGGCCAGGGAAGCGCCGGACCTGGACGTCTCGCAATTCCTGCAGTCTTGAGCGTCCCAAGACACGAAGGAACCAATGCCCGACATGGCAACCAGTTTCATATGATTAAAACTACAAGCTCGGTAAGTTCTGGGTACCGTAATCATTACCGGGCCTTACGCGTATGGTTCTGTATCTCGCGAAGCTGCGAGACAGGCCGGTCTTCGGCCGCAGAGCAAGACGCTCCGGGATTGTCCGAAACTCACAACGTTCCACCCAGTCAGCCACCAGGACCCCGGTGAACCCAATGAGGACAAGGGTGAAGAGGCGCTAACAACACTCGGGAGTAGTCGGAAGCGTTTCAATATTACTTGGACGTGCACGCACCCCGGACTTATATTCACGTCGCATTTTATTGGCTCAGCCAAGTGGAGAAGATCTGAGGATCGGCGTGCTAAAGATCGTCCTATATGTATTGGCCTTTGGTGTTCGAATGTCCTTGCATAGAACGAAGACTGACACGCGTTATGAAAGAGCCGTAGTTACTGTAACTATAGAGTATCCAAGTCCATGCCCGGATCTGGACAGGGCTTCCATGTTGCGTCTACCGTGCCTCCTGGTGGTCACTACCACGTCGAAGTGATGACCGGATGCGGGTGAGTTCAATGCCTTTGTAGAAAAGAAATGGGATCCGATCTTTAAGTATCCGGTGGAATTACTGCTCGCACTGTCAAAATTCCATGACAAACACCTCACTCGAACTCGAAATGAAGCTCCTTTTATTTGCCATGATGTTCGGACTCGGGGTCGCTTCCTCGGCACCGCGTGGCGGGGATTCTTCTCCCAAATCTTCAATCCTCCAGGTACGAAAAGTGACAAACAATATAAAAAGGCCACAGCTTTGAGTGTATGTATTCGATACTGACAATTCAAAGAACAATCCTCTTCGCGAAGACACTAGCCCTTCCAAAATGAAGAATGTGCACTTCCAGAAGACCGTGAGTATTCCTAGTATTGACTTTCCAGCGAAAACAGAGACTAATCATATTCATTGACCTAGGCCACTGTTCTGCCCGCGCAATCTTGTGTCTACGAAGATGCTTATTGGAAATTCCGCCTGCAGAGCAAAGCACCGAGCTCATAGTGGCAGAAAACAGATATGGGGGATAATTACTATTATAACAAGGAAAAAACAAATAGTCTTAAGCTACTCTCGCTGAATAAAAAATTTACCTGTCCATGATCAACTCTAGAACTTGAGTAGCCCATCGAGCGTGCCTTCTTTTAGCCTTTCGCTTTCATCTTCCCCAAAGACCAGCCTCTTAATCCACGAGACAGCTTTCTCACACCGAGGGTCCACATGGACTGTCCACATATGAGCCAAGTAGATCAGGATAATATAGAACAAGGGGATAGCCACAATAAACGTAAGACAGCCACCACGATCCAGAAAAACAGGATTGCCCTCGTGATCGACATTATCTAGACCTTTTGAATAGGCCGAATGTCGGTAAAGAAGCCAGGTCAAGACCGTACGGATGAGCGTGTTGTGGATGAGATAGATCGGAAAGGAAATTCGGCCAAGGAAGTTCATGATGGGGTGGGAGAGGAGGCGACGAGCATCCGCGGAGAAAAAGACGCCGAAAACAAATATCGTTGTACCAATCGTGACCACGAAGCGATTCACCTCAGCGCCTTCAGGTATGATGAAACAAGTCAAATATTCGATCGTACGGCTCCACGGCATTAGCCCCGCATTGTCGTCGGGGAAGAGGCGAGGAATAGTCCACTGGTCATCATCAGGGCCGGCACAGGCCACGGGAGCACTGAGGTTGCTTTCGACCCGTAGTCTGCGTTCAGCTCTGCTAAGAACATACCGGCGTAGATATTTAGCTCCATAAGCGCTTTTGAAGTGAGTTAATCAGTTAGCATGGGTTTCATGAGGAGATGAAGTAAAACATACCAGATCCACCCGACCAAGCAAACATGTACAGACACAACAGGACTAGCTTTGTTCCTCTTGGGTGTGTAAATACAGTCGCCATGAGTGTTAGATAGACTAGCATGGATCCATGTAAGAAGAATGGGATTGTCCAGTAAGTTCTGTCGTACTCAGTAGCACCCGCATGCCAGAAAAGAGTCAGGTTCGAGAATAGCCCATAAAAGGCACTGCTCAGTGTCGGTCCAGGGGGGGATTGAAACCGCCCTGATCCAGGATGAATCAACCTGACTTGCAACTCGGTATAATCTCAGTTGACATAAGATCCAGGTTATGACAATGGCAGTGTTGGTGGGTATGACTAGCCTCGAGGCTCTAATAATCGTGTTCTGCGAAAGCTTTGAAAGCACAAGCATGCCATCTCCGCTCCTCGTTTGTTTTCTTGCATTGAAAGAGTTGACATATCCCGTAATTATGAAAAATAGCGCGATGGCAGCCCGACCACCGGTTATGAGCCGTAGGAAAGGGTATTGGAAGACCGAGATGGGACCATTCTCGTCAAACGCAGGCGAGTTCAGCCAGTCTGCAAATGATGAGCAAAGATGATAGGTCACCACCACAAGTGATGCGACACCGCGAAGTCCCTACATGAGACGTTAGTTGAAGATCCCAGCATATTGCAAGAGACACACACATCGATCCAGTTGTCAGATCGTATCGGACGCGACATTGTAAAGGCTGGAGATGGCTATATCATGAGCTGACACTTAGGTCAAAGCAAGCCCAGGACCAAAAAAGTGAGGCAGCAACAGGACATGATGCTGATATTTCCGAAAACGTCCCTACAGCTCTATCTCCCTCAACTCGGCACATCCAGATTTGATCTCGATCTTTACAAAAAAGTCGATTTTTTTCTTATATTCGAAAATCGATTTACGGTCAATATTGAAATTCCCATGGATTCCCAGGCATGCGGACTGTGAACTCGGGCGAGTATATGATCTTTTTATCAGCTAGTATGTCTATGCATCCTAAGAGAGCCTCTTGCATGGGGCCACTGTCTACATAGAGGAAGATGGGATTGTTCTTTTGGGGAAATTAGGTCTGCTTGAGCGCATTCTTGGCAAGCTGTCACATTCCAATGGCTGAAAACATGCCCCCTCCCCCGTCCAGATCATCTCACATGCGGAGAAGAGGGTTCGGAACCTATTTGCACAATGTATACTTTCTAGGAAATCTTCATGAGAGCTTCATGTCTTTACGAATCTGCCTTTCATTTTATTCTGGGCCAAGGTCGGCATTTCTACATTCTCGCGCAAGGCTCGGGATCCGTCCAATTCGAGTGTAGCTGGCCATGTTAAATGCCTTAAGAAAAGGTTTGTTCTATACTAATGAGGTAAGTGATCTGAAAATGAATGCCTCATTAGCAAGTAAAGTCCACGTTTGAGGCTCGTAGCTGAGAAAGTCTGCTTTCCGCAACCGGCGATCCTCCGCAACCATGGATCTGGTCATTCAAGCACAGCGGAGAGGAATCTTTGGATCATAGTAAATAATCAACAACCGCAGAAAAATTATTGCATTCAAATAGTATTAAGGTATTCATTAGAAGCGCAAAACAGAATTGGGATGATGGCTGCAGGAAAAGGGATTTCTCGCACCGCAGTGTGCTGATAATAACCTTTGAAATGGCCATGGCCGCTTCCGGCACTCTTTCACCCCAACGCGCTTTCAAGATGACCGAGCCGCTTCTCTGAGCAAGAGATCTTCCTCAAATATCTTCCACACCCTCATTGATATGGGTTCGAGATAGTCTGAGGTTGATGCCAAAATGACACGCCGGCTTCGCCTGAGCTTGACACTCGGCTTGGCCATCTTCTTGCTCTGGTCCTATCTTGTCTGTACGGGCCTGCATGAGGGTAGCATGCGTGCAAATGAAACCGAAACCGATAATCAACCGAGATCGAATCCAGGAGATGTGAACGAGCACATAGATTTCTGGCGAGAGTTCCAGTCTCTGCTGGTGGCTTACAAACCGACATGCAGTCCACCAACACAACTGAAAAATGCCGACACGCCGGGATTCAAGACCACAAACCCAGACCCTCGACCGGATGTGCTGAAAATGAATATGCGGGACGTGTGGCGGATGAAACGAGCACACCAGCACTTCGTCAGCGCGATCAAAGATGACCCACCCCTTCTATCGTACATTCCCGGGACCCAGGGTCTAGTCACGACTGCGGGGGGGCATCTATTTACCAGTACTTGTGGCTTCCTTGCGGATGCTTCGCCGGACTGGGTCCCAACTACCAATGGAAGTATTTCTGGCAACGGGATATGAATACGAGGAATACATCTGCGATCATGTCTTGCCGTCACTGAACGCAAAATGCATTATCATGTCGGACATCCTCAACGCAGTGGCGGGCGCGGACCAAATCAAAAAGTACCAGCTAAAGCCATTTGCCATGCTGTTCTCCTCATTCGAAGAAATCTTGTTTTTAGACGCGGATGCCTTTCCCATCTCCAAACCGGAGAATCTGTTCGAGGAGGAGCCATTCCGAAGTACAAACATGATTACATGGCCCGATTTCTGGGCATCCTCTGCCTCTCACTATTACTATGAAATTGCTTCACAAGCGGTGCCTCCTATGGAAGCTCGGCAATCAACTGAATCTGGCGAAGTGCTCATTTCGAAGAAGACTCACCTCAGAACCTTGCTTCTATGCACCTACTACAATTTCTGGGGGCCAACCCACTACTATCGTCTATTTTCACAAGGGGCCCAGGGTGAGGGAGACAAAGAAACCTTCATTGCGGCTGCAGCTGCCCTGGGTGAACCATTTTACCAGGTCAGCGAGCCTGTCTGTCCGATGGGGCACAGGTCAGCCTACCGGAACGGATTTGCTGGATCAGCAATGCTCCAGTCCGACCCCATTGAGGATTATCGTCTAACCCAAAAAGGGGAATGGCGTATCATGGGGTCGAAGGCAGCTGCGCCGCGTCCTTTCTTCATTCATGCCAATTATCCGAAGTTCAACCCAGCTACAATCTTTGAGAAAGGCGACGTGACACCCACGTTTAATGATGACGGGACGCTGACCCGAGCCTGGACCTTGCCTGAAGATAAGATTGAGGCATTTGGAAGCGATGTGGAGAAAAACTTCTGGGAGGACATCATGTGGACAGCTTGCGAGCTCGAAGACAAATTTCGGAGCTGGAAGGATAGAACTGGAATCTGCAGCAAAGTCCAAAAGTACTGGGAGGCCCTGTTTGACCCGAGAACGGCAAAGGTAGCTTGAGAAATAATCAAGCGCAAGCCTGTATCGGGCAACCAGTTCGAGGATCAAACCTATGGCATTAGTTCTTTCCAATCTCCAACTGTATTCTCTGGTGACTCAGTATAAGCTCTCCATCCCAACGTCAAGCGGGATCATGGTCTGCGACTCATTCACCCAGGATAGGAAGAACCAACCTTTTGTAATATGAGATGGCAAACAAACCACCTTTCATCAGCATCTCAAAAATGCAGGCACTAAGTACTTCAAGTTGAATCTCAAGTTTGCATTTTGAAAGCAGATTGGGGTGGGCAACCCCCCCTCCCAAAAAACTTAACTTCCGAGTCGGGAAACTTATTAATGCTTCTTTCATCTGGGATTTTAGGGAAAGCGAATGTCGATTCAACTGCGACGTTTGGCCTTATAGCGCGAGAGACTAGACCAGCCGCAAGCTCGCACTGCGTCGTGTGCCTGACATTGAGGATATCTCTATAAGTCTTAGGGATAAAAAAATAAAATCTTTGTTTTGGCCTTGAAGGTGCCCAAGAAGGAAGTCCCAGACGAAGAGGCAGCAGAGCAGATCTCGTTCGTCGAGCTTCCGAAGCGCGGTACAGACAGTGCCTACGCCAACGGCTGCATTGCTATACAGCATGAACAAACCCTTGCTGGTGAAAGGGCAGTCACCTTTGAGAAATTTGCTGCCAGGGAACAACCGGTGTCGCAGGATTTTCACGCTGCGATCTGACTGGCAGCCAAGGACCATAATCTCTTGGGGGGGCATTGGGTATCGAGAGACATGAACTACGATACTTGCCCCACCTAAATTCTTCTTGAAGGGTTACAATGTTCTTGAGGACTTTGGCCATGTGGAGCTGGAAAAGTCCTGGGTGGGACAAGCCAGGGAGTAAGGGCGAATGTTCTGTTTGTTTATCGTACTGGGATTGTATGTTTGGCGCGCTAGTCGATTCTAATTGTGGATATGCTGCGAGTCGAAGAGTCTAGAAATATTTGCGTAGTTGTGACTATGTATACCGAATGAGAGTTGAGTGTATCGTGCCTTGCCATGTCAGTTTTGAGTCTGGCGGTTGAATATCGATGGATTTATTGTTTTACTACATAGATAGAGGGGATGGACAGTTCCCGGTCGCCAACCGGGTACCGTTCTTGTGTCATTTAGAAAAGTAGACCCAGAATATAGAGCTCGTAGTCGCATTACGTATAGAACAGTGATACGTGAAAAGTGATTGTACGGGGGTTGTAGGGTATTATTAATATGTGGTAGTTGTGAAATAATGTAGTGGTAAATAGTGGCAGGACTGCGAAAACGGTACGCAGGAGAATGAGAGGACTGGAACTTCCCCAGAGGGTATTTTATTGGTTGGTTAGATCGTGCGGCATTCGCCTAGGTATCCAGGATGTGTCCTTCGTATAGTGCCGGATGCGCCCATAGAGTGGGGATATGGACCGAATTTCTAAGCCTGGCAAGGCGTCAGATAGGAGAAGCGTGAAAAGTCGGCCGACATTGCCAGGGTTCCTATTTTGCCCGAGGAAAAATCTGAACAGGCGATCGGTCTTCGCCTGGGCTAATTGAATGCACCCCGAGTGCTAGACGGAAAAAGGAGATGGATTCCGTGCTGGACGGCGCGGGTCGGCCGTGAAATGCTCGGGGCCGCTACGGGAGCGGGTGAAGGAGGGGGTTTTTATGTATTCACATTATCAAGGAAATCTTATCTGTTGATTCACGTGTCAATCCCTGAACACTCGGAGTGCAACCCTCCGTTTAGGCGAAGCCAGAAAATAGCGGGGGTAGACATAGACGGGATTTTAACTCCAGACGAACTCGAGGATGAAGTCGTCGATCGACTGGGGATCTACGGGGTCAGGACGGCTGGGCGAGTTAGAATGCAGGTAATTTGGGGGACAGCCGCGATAAGCAGATTTCGATGACCATAAACAATGAGCCGGGGAAACCTGGGCCAGGGGTGATTGGCGGATGAAGCTCGCAGTAGTTCAAGGCGGGGAAAGCCCGAAATCGGGGGCTTGGATGAGATGCAAGCACATGGAGGGCTAGTTGATTGGCCAGATCCCAAGACGCTCATCCCAGCGGCGAGGAGAGGGAGATCCCGGCTCGTCGGAGGTCTTGCCCGTTGTCGGAATTGAAACTGTGCCCCTCACGAACTGTCGTGTATACGCTCTGGGTACCCTGGGTACCCTGGGGCTCCTCATCCTCGTTGCCTTTTTCTGGTCTGCAAGTCTGCCAGGCTGCCAGTCTGCCAGTCCGCAAACTCTTGGCGGAGGAAGACTGCAGCCCCTGCCAAGTCGCTCGATTCTGGATCTCCAGCCGCAAGGAAACCAGAAGAGTATAGGATTAAGCACTGCATGGACAGCCCCACCCGACACCGGCCCATCGGGACAAGGGCCAGCACCTGCCTGAAATTACAAGCTATAAGAGCAGTTTGGTATGTTTGGTATGGAAGTCGTAGTCTGTTTGCATCTCCGGACCAATCAGCGTATCGGATTCTCTATTAGCCGCGTGGCCCCACCACCCGCTCGCTGTTAGCGGAGAAAATCCAAGGTGAGGGGGGAGGGTAGGAGGGAGATCGTGAACATGGGATTGGGGGCTGGGCGAGAAAAGAAAAGAAAATTTGAACATGCCAAGGCGAACAGAAGACATCGGCAGAGAACTTGTCCCCAAAGTACGGATTCGCCAGAAGGGCTCGACGTAACTGCCCGTACGAGGGTATAGAGACGAAATTTAAGGTATCGATACCATACGGTACGGCCAGATGTATAGTGGGTGCAAAATGGATCTTGACGTAGTAAAAAGCTAATGGGTTGACTTCAGAGGTTGTAAAGCCTTCGCGCTGATTGGCTGACCAACGCTTATCGGGGGGGATTTACACGCCGTAATCATAACGATTATCATTACTCGGACCACGCCCATGAGGTCCAACGTTCATCTGGAATGTACTGTTTTCGTCCACCCCTCCACGTATTGGGGAAATGGGGGGGATTGGCCTAAGAGCCTACTGGTAGGGTAGATCATTGGCGACCGCCCTGGGTAAATTAATACCGTGGTTTTCTCTGGTACCCCGTTTTTCTTTTGTCTCGAAAGCGTCTTAGTCCTGGCTCCGGCTCTCTTATTCGGTAATCCCTGCATCTGCCCATGAGAGAGAGCCATTCGCCACGCTTGCATGAAACCCCACACGCTGTATTTTTTGTCTTTTGGTCTTCATTTGGGGTTCGCCGGAGAAAGACTGCTATCCCCGTAATCGCTACTTAGCTCTCTTTTTTTTTTTAATCCCACCCCTCCTCTATTTTTCTTCCTTTCTCTCCTCCCCTCCTTTCCCTTCTCCTTCTCAACCTTGCTTGCAGAGGGCCCGAAAAAGAACCGCGCCTTCTCCCTCGAACTTGCCCGTGCTGCAGTGACGTACACGTATCGATTTGCGTCCCGCCCCAATCACGGAGATTCCCACCCAGACGAATATTTTACCCCTCATTTGTGCCTGTTCGTTCTCTGTCGGCCCCCGACTGAAGAATGGGTCTCAATTTGGAGGAACTCTACGGAAATGATCTAAGCCAAGAGGCCCCGCAGGAGTATTCGGAGTATCAGCCCAAGCAAGGTTATGGCTGGGCGAATGCTCTGCCCGAGCGGCAGGGTCTGTATGACCCCGAATATGAAAAAGAGCGCGTGCGGTGTAGGATTCGCTGCGTAAGTTCTTGATTGAAATTGGCATTGAGCGGATCGCTAACACAGTAGACCTAGCCACATCAAGGGTAAGGCAAGCCACAAAATTGTTAGTGATGGTAAGTCTACGCGCGGAGTCAATACCTCCTTGAATCGAACATGCGCTGACATTTCGGGTAGCTCGTAACCTGCTGTGCAACATGACCCACCGTGGAGCCGTTGGGTCCGATGCACGAGATGGCGACGGAGCCGGTGTGATGACAAGTATCCCTCATAAGTTCTTTGTCAAGAATTTCGCTCGTGAAGTGGGCGTCGAATTGCCGCCGTTAGGCCAGTATGCTGTCGGCAATCTTTTCTTCAAACCCGACGATGAGACTCTTAAGGAATCAATCAAGAGTTTTGAGGAATTGGCCGTTTCTCTGGGACTTCGTGTTCTCGGATGGCGTGAAGTGCCTGGAGACTCGACTATTTTGGGTCCCGCAGCCCGCTCACGAGAGCCCATTATTATGCAGCCGTTTGTGGTGTTGAAATCTGCGTATGGTGACGGCACTAAGCCAGAGATCACCGACACTGACAAGTTTGACGAGCGTACTTTTGAGTTGCAACTGTACGTGCTGCGAAAACGTGCCTCTCATGTTATCGGCCTGGGCAACTGGTTTTACCTGTGCTCCCTAAGCAACCGGAACATCGTCTACAAGGGTCAACTATCCCCTGTGCAAGTCTATCAATACTACCATGATTTGGTAAACGTGGACTACGAGGGCCACTTCGCTCTGGTGCACTCTCGATTTTCCACAAACACATTCCCTTCATGGGATCGTGCTCAGCCTTTACGATGGGCTGCTCACAACGGTGAAATTAACACACTTCGAGGAAATAAGAACTGGATGCGCGCTCGCGAGGGTCTCCTCCGCTCCGATGTTTTCGGCGATGAGCTGGATATGCTCTACCCAATTGTCGAGGATGGTGGCTCCGACTCGGCGGCTTTCGATAACGTTCTAGAGCTACTTATGATTAATGGCGTTCTGTCTCTCCCCGAGGCTGTTATGCTCATGATTCCCGAGGCCTGGCAAGACAATCCGGCCATGGACCCGGCTAAGTCCGCCTTCTACGAGTGGGCTGCTTGCCAGATGGAACCCTGGGACGGCCCTGCTCTTTTCACCTTCTCTGATGGCCGTTACTGTGGTGCTAACCTTGATCGTAATGGTTTGCGCCCTTGTCGTTTCTATGTCATGGACGATGACCGCATCGTTTGTGCCTCGGAAGTTGGTGCCATTGATATTGACCCCGAGCGCGTTGTGCAAAAAGGTCGTCTCCAGCCCGGAAAGATGCTACTGGTTGATACTCTAGCTGGGCGCATCATTGACGACACTGAATTGAAGCAGACTGTGTCCAAGCGTCAAGACTTCGCCAGCTGGCTGGACAAGGAGCTCTTGAAATTGCCTGCCATCAACAAGCTGCTAGTGGAGAAGAACTTGGATCTTTCAGCCTCGATAGATGAAACACCCGTGCAGCAAGACCCGCGCCTCAAAGCATTTGGTTATTCGTTCGAGCAAGTCAGTCTGCTTCTGGGTCCCATGGGTGCTGACTCCAAGGAAGCTCTTGGTTCCATGGGTAACGATGCTCCATTGGCTTGCATCGCTCAGCAGCCTCGTCTGCTCTACGAATACTTCCGCCAGCTGTTTGCTCAGGTCACCAATCCCCCCATTGATCCCATCCGCGAGGCTGTCGTGATGTCTCTAGAATGCTATGTTGGCCCTCAAGGAAACCTCTTGGAAATGGATGCCTCCCAGTGCCACCGTCTCATGTTGCCATCCCCGATCCTCACGATCCCCGAATTCAACGCCTTAAAGAACATTAACAGTGCCCACTCTAACTGGACGGTTCGCACCATTGATATCACATTTGACAAGAAGAAGGGCACACCGGGATACATCCAGGCCCTTGATGCCATCTGTGATGCTACCACTGAAGCTATCAATAATGGCGACAAGATCATTGTCCTTTCTGACCGCGCTACTAGTGCTGACCGTGTTCCCGTGTCTGCTTTGCTCGCAACTGGTCTGGTCCACCACCACCTGGTCCGCAACAAGTGGCGTTCACTTGCTGCTTTGGTGGTGGAAACTGCTGAGGCTCGTGAGGTACACCACCACTGTGTTCTCCTTGGATACGGTGCCGATGCTATCAACCCTTACCTCGCCATGGAGTGTCTTTTGAAGATGAACCGGGAGAAGTTGATCCGCAAGGAAATTTCCGATGAGAAGGTCATCGAGAACTACAAGGCTTCTTGTGATGGTGGTATTCTTAAGGTCATGAGTAAGATGGGTATCTCGACTCTTTCATCCTACAAGGGTGCTCAAATCTTCGAGGCCCTCGGTATTGATGACAGCGTTATTGACCGCTGTTTCGCGGGCACCGCCAGCCGCATTCGTGGTATCACTTTTGACTTGATCGCCCAGGATGCCTTTGCCTTCCATGAGCGTGGATTCCCCTCGCGTAACATCGTCGAGATTCCAGGCCTCGCCGAGACGGGCGAATATCACTGGCGTGACGGTGGCGAAGCCCACATCAACGACCCAACTAGCATCGCCAACATTCAGGATGCTGTTCGAACCAAGAACGACAAATCCTATGAAGCGTACGCGAAGGCTGAGCACGAGCAGATCAAGAACTGCACCTTGCGGGGCATGCTCGACTTCGACTTCGAACAGCGGACTCCCATTCCCGTCGATCAAGTCGAACCCTGGACCGAAATTGTCCGCCGCTTCGTCACCGGTGCCATGTCCTATGGATCTATTTCCATGGAGTCTCACTCTACTCTCGCCATCGCCATGAACCGACTTGGTGGCAAGTCCAACACCGGTGAAGGTGGTGAGGATGCCGAGCGTAGCAAGAGAATGGAGAACGGCGACACTATGCGTTCAGCCATTAAACAGATTGCCTCTGGTCGTTTCGGTGTGACTTCCAACTACTTGGCCGATGCCGACGAGCTCCAGATCAAGATGGCCCAGGGAGCCAAGCCTGGTGAAGGTGGTGAGCTGCCTGGTCACAAGGTGGTGGGCTCCATTGCCCGTACCCGTCACTCCACACCGGGCGTCGGTTTGATCTCTCCACCCCCTCACCATGATATTTATTCCATTGAGGATCTGAAGCAACTCATCTACGATCTCAAGTGCTCCAATCCCCGCGCTCGTGTTTCTGTCAAACTTGTCTCGGAAGTTGGTGTTGGTATCGTTGCTTCTGGTGTCGCGAAGGCGAAAGCCGACCACATTTTGATTTCCGGTCACGATGGTGGTACTGGTGCCTCTCGCTGGACTGGTATCAAGTATGCCGGTCTTCCTTGGGAGCTTGGTCTTGCCGAGACCCACCAGACCCTTGTTCTCAACGATCTTCGCGGTCGTGTTGTTGTCCAGACCGATGGTCAAATTCGTACTGGACGCGATCTCGCCATGGCTTGTCTGCTTGGTGCCGAAGAATTTGGCTTCGCAACAACCCCTCTGATCGCAATGGGCTGCATCATGATGAGAAAGTGTCACTTGAACACTTGCCCCGTCGGTATCGCTACTCAGGACCCTGAGCTGCGCAAGAAATTCAAGGGCACTCCAGAACACGTTATCAACTTCTTCTACTACGTTGCCAACGAGATGCGTGCAATTATGGCTAAGTTGGGTGTTCGCACTGTCAATGAGATGGTCGGTCGTGCCGAGCTTCTCAAGGTCCGTGATGACATTCGCAGCCAGAAGCAGGAGCGTGTGGATCTTTCCCTCATCTTGACTCCTGCTCACTCGCTCCGCCCTGGCGTTGCCACTTATAATGTCCGCAAGCAGGACCACCGCCTGCACACTCGCCTCGACAACAAGCTGATTGCCGAGTCCGAGCTTGCTCTTGAGAAGGGTCTTCCGTGCCGCATTGAGTGTGATATTGTCAACACTGATCGTGCTCTTGGTGCTACTCTTTCTTACCAGATCAGCCGCCGTTACGGCGAGGCTGGTCTGCCCCAGGACACCATCCACGCCAACATCAAGGGATCTGCTGGCCAATCTTTTGGTGCCTACCTGGCCCCTGGTGTCACCCTCGAGCTTGAGGGTGATGCTAATGACTACGTTGGGAAGGGTCTGTCTGGTGGCCGCCTCATTGTTTACCCTCCTCGCGGTGCTGCTTTCAAGGCTGAGGAGAACGTTATCGTCGGTAACACTTGTTTGTATGGTGCCACTCAGGGTACTTGCTACTTCCGTGGTATCGCTGCCGAGCGTTTCGCGGTCCGCAACTCCGGTGCTACTGCCGTTGTCGAAGGTGTCGGTGACCACGGTTGTGAGTACATGACTGGCGGTCGTGTGCTCATTCTGGGATCTACTGGCCGTAACTTCGCTGCTGGTATGTGCGGTGGTATTGCCTATATCCTTGACGTGAACAATGATTTCCACTCTAAGGTAAACTTGGAAATGGTTGAAGTCTCCGGTATTGAGGATCCAGCCGAGATTGCCTTTGTCCGTGGCTTGATTGAGGATCATCATCACTACACCGGCTCTGAGTTGGCTGCTCGTATCCTTCTCGAGTTCAACCGCGCCCTGCCTCACTTTGTCAAGGTGCTGCCCACTGACTACAAGCGTGTGATGGAGGAGGAGAAGGCTAAGGCTGAGGCTGCTAAGAAGGCCGAGTTTGCTCTGCCTCAACTCCCCAGCACCCCCGCCAAGGCCGAGAAGCCCAAGGCGCACGCCGATGAGAAGAAGGCTGATATGTTGGACATTGAGGATAGCATCAGTGACTCAAAGGCGGAGAAGAAGCGCTCTGCACTAATTCTTGATAAGACTCGTGGCTTCATGAAGTACAGTCGCCGCAGTGAGAAGTACCGCAACGCGACTACTCGTACTCGTGACTGGGCCGAGTTGTCCAACCGTCTCAGTGAGGATGAGCTTAAGTACCAATCGGCTCGTTGCATGGACTGTGGTGTTCCTTTCTGTCAGTCTGACACTGGTTGCCCTATCTCCAATATCATTCCTAAATGGAACGAATTGGTGTTCCAGAACCAGTGGCAGGATGCTCTCAACCGTCTTCTTATGACCAACAACTTCCCGGAGTTCACTGGTCGCGTCTGCCCTGCTCCTTGTGAAGGTGCCTGTGTCCTGGGCATTAACGAGGATCCGGTCGGTATCAAGTCTATCGAGTGTGCCATCATTGATCGCGGTTTCGAGATGGGCTGGATGGTTCCTCGTCCACCCCAGGTCCGTACCGGGAAGACTATCTCCATCATTGGGTCTGGACCTGCTGGTTTGGCTGCGGCTGATCAGCTCAACCGTGCCGGCCACTCTGTAACTGTTTACGAGCGTGCTGATCGTATTGGTGGTCTGCTCATGTACGGTATCCCCAACATGAAGCTTGATAAGAAGGTCGTCCAGCGCCGGGTGGATCTCATGGCTGCTGAAGGCGTCAAGTTCGTTACTGGGACTGCCGTTGGCCCTGACAACGAAGTGTCTCTGAAATCCCTCCAGGCTTCGAGCGATGCGGTGATCATCTCTACTGGCGCCACTGTCGCCCGTGACCTCAAGGTTGCTGGACGTGAGCTAGATGGTGTTCACTTTGCGATGCAGTTCCTGCACAAGAACACCAAGTCTCTTCTGGATTCTGGTCTCTCTGATGGCGAGTACATCTCTGCCAAAGACAAGCACGTTGTGGTCATTGGTGGTGGTGACACCGGTAATGACTGTATCGGTACCTCCGTTCGTCACGGTGCCAAGTCGGTCACCAACTTCGAGCTCTTGCCCCAGCCTCCTCCAGAGCGTGCCGATGACAACCCTTGGCCTCAGTGGCCCCGTATTTACCGTGTCGACTATGGTCACACCGAAGTCAAGACTCACATGGGCAAGGACCCTCGTGAGTACTGTGTCATGTCCACTGAGTTTGTTGACGACGGTAGTGGACGCGTGCGGGGTATCAACACTGTCCGTGTTGAGTGGACCAAGAGTGCCACTGGTGGTTGGGATATGAAGACCGTAGAGGGTAGCGAACAGTTCTTCCCTGCTGACCTGGTCCTTCTGTCCATGGGATTCTTGGGTCCTGAAGACCGTCTGCTCGGCGACGAGATCGAGCGTGATGCTCGCAAGAACGTCAAAACTCCTCCTGGGCACTATTCGACCAACATTCCTGGAGTTTTCGCTGCCGGTGATTGCCGACGCGGCCAGTCCTTAATTGTTTGGTAAGTGTATTCTGCTGCTTTCACTAAAGGGATTTTGCTAATCTCCTCTGTAGGGGTATCAATGAAGGTCGCCAGTGTGCACGTGAAGTCGACTCCTTCCTCAGCGGCGTCAGCTCTCAGCTTCCAGTCACTGGAGGTATCGTCCGTCGCCCTGCGATCGACTCGGTTCCCCAGACTGCCGAGACTTCCGTTGCTGCCTAAATGAAGGTATGGGTGTCGTGAAAAGTCAAATCTATTTTCGCATGAAACAAAAGTGGTCAAAGGGGGCTTGTTTATGATATGACATACAGCAAGATCAAGTGGTGATCTCGCAGGCCGGGTTTGTTTGCCTTTTTCGTCGGTTTTCCAATCGTTTCTACTTCTGTAACGATGTCTTGGGTTCTTATGTTTTGTTCAAGCAGCGTCTATGCAAGGCGTTTCGAGCGTCTGCTATGCGGTTCTTATTTATGTTGTACATACCTCGGTTTATCCATTCATATAAGTCTTTTTCGAGTTCATCTCATGCTCCGATCCCGAGTATCGTACCGCCGAACATTCCGATTGATGAATTTCCATCAATTGGGATAATTAAGAGGGACATAGCTCTCTTTCTACCATCATGTTCTTACGGTATCGAAGGGTTGGGTTCAACTTGTACTAACGAGTTACTACTATTAGTTATAGATATTCACAGCGAACTATTTGCTAGAACAAGTCATGTTGGAGAGTAGAATGATCGGCATTTCAGGCTCATTATATGGAATCGTGACAAGGGAAAAGGCTTGTGAAAAAAACGGTTGTTATATACATAATATACAAATATATCGGCGACCAACTCACGCAGTGCCAGCCGCCTTCGCTGCCTCAATATCTCGTTCCAGAGCAGCGAAGTCACCCTGGAAAGCATCCTTAGCGGGTTCAAGCCTCACATCCCAAATATCCTCACTGCTGGGCCCAGTCTTGTATTTGATAGCTTTCTTCCGGTTGTGATCTCGAATAGCGTTGCGGCGCGCGTCTTCTGACCATCCTTTTGTGCGCATACAGAGTCGGAAATTTTCCCAATGCTCACTGCAGGATCGCATCTCGCCGTATCGATATACGTTGACGAATTGGCCTCCGAAGGATTGGCAGAAGAAGGCATAGTCAAAGGCTGTGCGGCAGGACATGGTATCTGCGTAGAGGGATTCGGGTGCGATAGAAGAGATTGGCTCGGTAGGCTTTGGACTTTCATCTGCCGAGGCCGATTTGGACTTGCTATTCAGAGACTGGTCTTCTTGTCGGAGGTCGGCCAGGATCTGGTTGAATTCTAGATCGGCTTGTTCGTCGGGGGTTAACTTCTTAGGTGGAGCGGCGTTTTGTGGTACGGCCTCTGGAGTCGTCGGGTTCGGTGTATCTTTGGTAGAGCTGGATGACCATAGCCAACCCATTGTGAGAGTATTATGAGGGTAATGAAGTGAGTGCTGGGCGATTGTCTGACCGTTTATCGGGGTCGCGATGATTTTCTGATAATCGACGTGGATACGAATATCACGTGTAGATAAACAATGCGAGTAGGTTAATCACGTGAAGATAATGCATACAGTGATCGATCGATGAGCTCTACGTCATACTCATGTCTAAACCTTGACCCTCTTCCACTTCTCAGACCAACCTCGAGGGGTTATGTGAGTCCGCTAGGATGAGGCCCGTATTTCGGAACAAAGCGCCTGCCAGCGTATGGAGCTTCCTGGCAGCTTCTCGTGTCAGTAACCATCCTCGCACTCGTGGGTGGAGGCCATCTCCACTGCGTTCTGTGGGACACCGATTTACATCCTCTCATGCTGGGCATATCGAACTCTCAGAAAACGAAGGACTTCTGTTTGTGAACAGTTAGTTGCCTAGTCGCCTGAAGTGGCTTTCTGTACTCAGCTGACAATCATCAGACATTTTCCCTTACCAACTACAATGGCTTTTACGCGGCCCATTGGCCAATTTACAACCCATGGAGGGACTCCTGAAGCGAACTAACCGTCCCAACATGGCTGCGTCAGATCCCTATCACATAGTTCAACGCGCAATACCGAAAGAACTGGGCGTTGAGATTGTGGAAACAATTCCGCGGTACAAAGAGGGTGGTGCGTTCGTTAAGTACGCGCGCAAGCCAGGCATTACAGACGATGATATCAGAGCGGAGGTCCAGAAAAGCCTTGCACAGAACCCAATCAGACCATGGTTCAACCCATTCCAGACCGCCAGTATAGACCTGGTGAATGGAAAGCCTTGGATCGAGGACCTATATCGAACCCCTAGTAAAACCTTGAAGGTCGAATTCCTCCCTCAGTCGGAAGGGGTACCCCCGGTAGAGATGAACCAAGAAGCTCTTTATTCCCTATTCCGTCCTTTCGGAAAGCTCCTGGATATTCAACCGCAACCTTCTGATTCCAAGCTCGAGCCAAGATATGCTATTTTACGGTTCGCTCAAGCCCGCTCCGCGATCATGGCCAGAAATTGTTTGCACGGCTATGCTGCTTTTGAAGAAGAAGGAGGCGGCAAGTCTGGTACAAGATTCCGAATCAACTACGAGCGCAGGGTGAGATTGGCCACCATCAAAGATTGGATTGTCAATCATCCCCGAATTGTGATTCCTGTACTTGCTGCTCTACTCGCCACAGCCACCGTCGTTATCTTTGACCCCATCCGGACATTCTTTATCAAATTGAAGATCAAGTCGACACACCATCTTGAAGAGAATGCAGTCTTCCAGTGGGTCCGCCGCCAAGCGAGCAAGGCCAACAAAATCTATTTTGGCCAACGTAAAGCTGATCCTCGAGGATTGACCGCAATTTGGGAAGACCGCCAAGCTGATATCACGCAACTCCAAGCCTGGCTTACAGAGACCGCGGAAACATTCATCGTTGTGCATGGGCCTAGGGGTTCCGGGAAACGAGAACTCGTTTTTGACCAAGCGCTCAAAGATCAGACTTACAAAGTTGTGATTGACTGCAAGCAGCTCCAGGACGCCCGAGGTGATACAGCAAAGATTTCTCGGGCGGCAGCCCAAGTTGGCTATAGGCCTATCTTTTCGTGGATGAACAGTATCAGCAGCTTCATTGACCTCGCAGCTCAGGGTATGATAGGAACGAAAGCTGGGTTCTCTGAAACCTTAGATGCTCAGCTTAGCAAGATTTGGCAGAATACCGCCAGTGCTATGAAGCAAGTCGCTTTGGAAGGACGTCGCAAGACTGACAAGGATTCGCATCTCAGTGATGACGAGTACCTTGAGGCTCATCCGGAGAGAAGGCCAGTCGTTGTGATTGATAATTTCTCCTACAATGCAGAGGACAGCGTTGTGATGGACAAATTGACAGAATGGGCAGCTGGTTTGACAGCAGGAAATATCGCACATGTTATTTTCTTGACGACCGATGGGTCATTCACAAAACCACTGAGCAAAGCCCTTCCGAATCAGGTCTTCCGCACGATCGGGTTGGGTGACTGTTCTCCAGAAGTTGCCCGCCGGTTTGTGTTGAACCACTTAGAAACTTCATCCTTGGAGGAAGATGACCAAGCCGAAGCGAAACCAGAGGAGGAATCTAGATGGCCTCGATGATTGCATCCATATTCTCGGTGGTCGTGTTACTGATCTGGAGTTCATGGCGCATCGAATCGAAGCAGGGGAGACCCCGCAAGGTACGTCTCGCATGAGCTTATTCCCTTACAAGAATATTTGTCTAACAATATCCAGCTGCTGTCAACCGAATCATCGAGCAATCAGCCTCTGAAATTCTGAAAATCTTCATTTTGGGCACAGACATTGACACCTCGCCCCAATGGTCTCGTGAGCAAGCGTGGCATCTCATCAAGTCACTAGCACAATCTAAAGAGGGCTCACTGCTCTATAACAAGGTTCTCCTTGCAGACCTATTCAAGGAGAATGGTGAAGCCATTCTTCGGGCGTTGGAGCAAGCAGAGTTGATCACTGTTGGGTTTGAGAAGGGCTATCCTCGATGGATCAAGCCCGGAAAGCCTGTCTACAAAGCGGCTTTTCAGCAACTCGTTCAAAACAAAACTCTGGAGAGCCGCCTGGACCTTTCGGTATTGGGGCAGTTGATCAGCAACGAGAACAAGAACATTGCCAAGTACGAGGAGGAATTGGTCAAGCTTGGCTCCCTCCTAAGTATCCGTCGGAACTTTCATCCCGGCTTCGGTGGCTTCTGAAGAAGATTGATGATGCCCAATCAAACATTGAACGTTATGAGACGCAGAGCCTCGTCAATAAGCGGCGACTCCAGAGCGAGAAATAGGTGCTTGGGAACGACTCGGAGAAGACCAGATCTTGCAGCTAGTCATGATATACACGATGTCGACTCTGATTCTTTCATGCTACTCACACCGATATGTACATACATCCCATACCTATCTTTTCCTGTCCTCAGAGTCAATTAGAAAACTATAAATAAGCGTAAGAACGTTGTCTCAAGACTCGATCTATTCTTAGACGGCAGATGAGTAAGCAAGGGGCTTAGCTCAACCTGACTTGGTCGTTCATTTCAGTTAAATTCAGTAGTCAGTGCCATACTAGTAGAAGCCGCCCCAGCAAGACACACAGGCCGTGCATTTGAAGGTCAAAATACCATTACTCTAAACTGTGTGTGGGATGGTTTCAACTCTGAAAGCTTGAAGCAAGAGGTCACCCACTTGGTGCGGGCGCTGCAGCTCAACCCTCCAGCCAAAAATAAACAACTTGCCCGCCACTTTCAGTTTCTGCTAAAGCGTGCAGACATGGACGTCTACGAGTCGTCATCTGGCAGCCTCATACAGACGGTACGAGATGGCATGCCTGCTCTGACTTGGACAACATTCCTGGCTGTGTTGGTCTTCTCCTGCGTTGCGACCCGTGTCATCACCGGACTCCAAAGCCATCAACGCACATCAGGCACGGAGGCACGAAGGGCTCAATTGGCCCCTTACTGGATACCATGGATTGGCCATGGTGCTTCATTTCTGTGGGACCATGTCTCATTTTTTGAGTCCTTGCGGTTTGTGCCCGCAATCTGCTCCAATTACCGGATGTAACTGATCTGTACCACAGAGAAACGATGAAGGAGTCTGTCTTTCGCGTGTATATACGTGGCGAAATTCACGATACTGTGCTTTCACCATCCATGATCAAGACCATCATGTCTTCTCCGGATGCATCAAAAGCCCCTGTGTTGGATCAAGCCTTACAGAATGTCTTCGGAGACCGTGGCCTCCTGCGCAATCTACGTGCCAATCGCGATCACGAGATAAGCGATGATGTGGCAAGTCTCATTGACCGGGAGCCTTTTGCGACTGAGCATTCAGAGGCCATCACCAAATTTCTCAAGCGCAACATCGCGAGTCTTGTGACATTCTGTCGCAGCCCAGTAGATCAAACTCCGTGGGAACGTGATAGTCAGGTGAAGCTATTTGAAGACGACCAGTCAGTATGCTTGGTAGATCTCTATTCCCTGATTCGGAGCTTTGTGGGGCACAATATCACCCAACTCTTGATAGGCGAGTCGTTTGTGGAGTCCTTCCAAGGGTTCTTGACTTATATATGGACCCTCGACGACAACTTTGTTCCCATGTTCGTTGGGATTCCACGCTCTGTCCCGACGCCCGGTGTTTCTTCAGGTTTCGCTGCTCGTGACAATCTTTTACATATCATGTCAGTCTTCTATCGAGCATTCAATGCTTGGGATGATGGAATTGATCCGGGGATCGAGCTTCGTGATCTCGAAGACGTTTCGGAGCTATTCAAGCAGAGGATGCGGACTTTCCGTAAACTTGGACTATCTCCAGGCGCCAGCGCTGCCGGGAATTTATCCCTCTACTGGGACCTGCTGGGGCATAGTGCTAGAATGACCTTCTGGAATGTCGTCCACATATTCGCAGACAGCGAACTTCTCAAAGAGATCAGAAAGGAGATTTCCCCTTACGTGAAGGCTATTAGGCTTACCAGGCGAGAGACTGGATTCCCAATGGATGAGCCCCCAACGTTAGACATGGATATGGAGAAAATGCTCCAATTCTGTCCACTACTCAAGGCATCTTACTACGAAACCATTCGTCTTCACTCTGCTGGAATCTCTTTCCGAAAACTGGAATCTGACATAACTTTGACTGAATCAACAGCAGACGCCGTCGAGCCTCGCACGTACAAACTGAGAAAGGGCGAGAAAGTCATCATGCCCCATGGCGTCTTCCAAAATGATCCCAACCACTTTTCTAATCCTGATCAATTTGATCCTTTGAGATTCATTGGGGCGGAGTCTGGTAATAGCCACAAGGTGGTCAACGCCGAGGCTCTTGGGCCCATGGCAGATGGTCTCTATGCCTCGAAGCACAACAGCTTTACCGAGCGAACGATTCTCGGGTTCACCGCGGCGATTGTGTCGATGTGGGACCTCACTTCACCAGACGGAAAGAGCATTACTGTACCAGGGAATCGCACAACATGGGGAGCATTCTCACCGACAAATAATGTACGAGCCAAGGTTAGAATGGCTGTATAAGCATATGGTTCGTCATGGGGGTTGAATTTGGTCTTGCGTAGCCCCGAGAAACAAAAGCAATTACTAGCCTGCGAAATATAATCAAACCTTCTCAAACTACCCTCGCGCCTGAGGGACAGACGATTCCTACTGGTCTCCATGGACCCAGTCATGACACGCGACAAATTGCGGGGTGAAGCCGCGCGGATAAATATCCGCTCGGAGTTGGCCCGCGATGACACCATTCACAGACCAACGATATTTAAGCAGTAGATCGATTACTTGCAAGGGCACTCCTCGATCCCTGCAGGATTGAAGTTGGTATTCTGGCCAATTCAATCGAGATTTACCCACCTTCAGAATGCAGCATGCAGACGCAGAGCCCAATCGCGACTATGACTTAGATGCTGCAATAACTTCAACATCGGGCTTGCGCCAGGGTCTTACATCATATGGAGACGCGCACTTCTCCCTATTTCTACGCAAAGTCTTCATCAAAGCTCTCGGATACTCCGAGGATGCTCTCTCGCGGCCGATTGTGGGGATCATCAATACCTTTTCCGGTTTTAACCCATGTCACGCCAATGTGCCTCAGCTAATTGAAGCAGCTAAGCGGGGTGTACAGCTGAATGGCGGACTAGCGATCGAGTTCCCAACTATAAGCGTTCATGAGTCGTTTTCCCACCCGACTAGCATGTTCCTGCGCAATCTCATGAGTATGGACACAGAGGAAATGATCAAGGCTCAACCATTGGACGCGTGTATCGTGATTGGCGGTAAGAATTCCAGACATATAATAGCTGAAAGAGGTCTCCCATAAAACTGCTGGTGTCATGTTACTGACCTATTCCAGGCTGTGACAAAACCGTCCCCGCTCAGTTGATGGGAGGAATCTCGGCAAATAAGCCTATTCTTCCCTTGATTACTGGACCCATGCTACCAGGCAGCCACAGAGGTAAAAGAATCGGCGCCTGTACTGATTGTCGCAATAACTGGGCTGCGTTCCGAGCAGGCGAGATTGACATGGAAGAGATCTCAGCTATCAACGAAGAGCTTGCCCCCGCTGTAAGTTCCCACCCGCCATGATGTTTACGCCAAAGCATCCCTAACAAGAAATCGGTTTATAGATCGGAACATGCGGGGTAATGGGAACCGCTAGCACGATGGCCTGTGTCACAGCCGGCTTAGGGATGATGCCGCTTCGCGGTGCATCTGCGCCAGCCGTGTCATCTGCGCGGCTTCGAATTGCTGAAGAAACGGGTGCAAATGCCGTGGCGGTGGCTAAGGCTTCCCGGAAACCCCAGGACATCCTGACTAAAGAATCATTCTTTAATGCCATCACGGTACTTCAAGCTATCGGTGGATCTACCAATGCCGTGGTGCATCTGCTTGCCATCGCCAACAGACACCCTGACCTTCAAGGGGTGATCACTCTGCAAACGTTCGAAGAAATCGGACAGAAGACCCCGTTGCTGATCGACCTCAAGCCGAGCGGTGATAATTATATGAATGATTTCCATAATGCAGGTGGAATGCCCGCTTTGCTACATACCCTTCGACCGCTGCTCCACCTCTCTGCAAGGACAATCTCCGGACAGACTCTGGGTGAAGTGCTCGATGCGGCACATTATAAACGAGTTTCTTTCCCACAGTCAATCATTAGGCCTCTTGCAGATCCTTTGTACGCCGCTGCTTCTTTAGTCGTGCTCCGAGGAAACCTTGCGCCGGACGGGGCGGTAATGAAAGCGTCCGCATCAAAGGATCGCAATCTACTATCTCATGCAGGGTTGGCTGTAGTATTTGAAAATTCAGCAGATCTAGCCCAGCGAATTGATGATCCAGAGCTTCCCGTCACCAAAGACAGCGTGTTGGTCCTCAAGGGCATTGGCCCAATCGGAAACCCGGGAATGCCCGAAGCGGGCTTGATTCCCATTCCCAAGAAGCTCGCTGCTGCGGGAGTCAAGGATATGTTGCGCCTGTCAGACGGTCGGATGTCGGGCACTGCAGGAGGGACCATAGTGTTGCATATCTCGCCAGAGTCGGCTGTCCCCGGGTCACCATTCGGCGCCGTGGAGACTGGAGACACAATAATATGCGATGTGGAGAAGCGTACGCTCCATCTTGACATCCCAGATTCAGTGTTACAATCGCGAATTCAGCAGCGAACGCAGACTTTAGCAGGCGATGGAGTTGTCCAGGCTCGGAAGCAAAAGCGAGGGTATAGAGGATTGTACGAACGTTCGGTTAACCAGGCTCACGAGGGAACTGACTTCGATTTCCTCACAGCCGGAGGACCCCGTAATTGATTAAAAGCCCTTCGTAGCACAATACAGATATATAAAGAGCCCTGGTAGATTCCCTCTATAATGTTGTAAACTGATAACGCGATAAGGGGCTGCCCTAAACCCTATGAGGCCAGTTTGGGTTAAATCAGGTGCGCGACGCGTCGCGTCTTCCGTCGATCATTTGGGATCTCTTGGATCCGAGGGGTCTGGCAATCCGTTCTGAGCGTCTCGCCATAACAACAAATTCAGCTGCGAGACCCGAGCTGGGAATCCACACGATGAGCGCTGACATCGCTCGCCCTCGTGGGCGGCCAGCCCGTAAGTCGCGCAGCTTCTGAGCACCAACTTTCCCCTGCTGACGGTTGCGTTTCTAGATACCCCGGGAACAACGGTGCTGGCATACACACCCAATGGCAAGCAGATTATTACCGGTGGATCAAACTCGGCAATTCGGGTCTATACAAGCGGTGAAGATGGCGAACCAAAAACAATTGACGAAGGCGTGGACGGGCATTTTGGAATCGGGGCCACGGTAGGCGCTAAGCAGCCGATCGACGATTCTGGGCGCTGACACTGCTAGGATGAAACCTTTATCATGGGCGCTGAAGATGGAACTGTATGGCAGTATGAGACTGCATCAGGCCGCATGAAGAACCTCTTGGTGCGGTGCGCGCTGCCAGTACGAGACATCGCGATATCCAAAGACACCGCATGGGTCGCGGTCGCAAGCGAGTATGTTTTTCGCGCCAAATTCGATATACTATATATATATATATATGAAATCTAACCATTCTTCGTCGTCAGTGAGCTCACCGTCAAAGTCGTCAAGGTCAAGGATATGACCCAGGTGAAGTACCTGCGAGAACAAGCCAAAGGCACCAAACATGTCACTTTCCATCCTCAAGGCCGATACATCGCTGTCTCCGGAACAGACGGTATTTTGTATGTTTATTCGTTAGATGGCGACGAACCCGAGCTCTCCCGGAAACTCGACGGAGCTATTCGACGCCTTGAGCCCGATGCTGAGGCTACCTCCCGAGCTGTTTGGCATCCGGACGGTACTGCATTCGTGGTTGCAACCGCGACTAGGGACATCTCGCTGTACTCCATTTCATCATGGAATCAAGAGAAGACGTTCAGTGGAGGACACACTGGCGATATCACGGCCTTGGCTTGGTCCCCCAATGGAGCAGTGTTGGCATCAGCGGGCCTCGACGGCCGAATTGTGCTCTGGGACTCCCGGACTCAGAGTATCCTGCAAACTCACGAATATGGCAACGTCCTCAACCTAGCGTGGCATCCGCACCAAAACACACTTTCCTTCACCACTTCAGATGGCGAGCTGTTCATCTACGATAATGCCCTTCCCCGTGCTCATGAGGCATTGCTAGCAAAGCAACTGCAAGCCGCCCCGATTGGCCCTGGCCCCTTAGCGGAAGTGTCGAGCAATGTCCAGCGGACATTGGCAGACCGTTCTAGGGACGCGGTCAAACAGGCCGCTCGCGCAGGCACCCCCGATTCACTCGATGATATTCTGGGCCAGGATGAGGAGATGGCAGATTTCGTGGACGATGATGACGGCGCCGGATACGCAGAGGGGCTCAACTCATATGGCAAGCGGCCAAATGGCCATCTCGATGACCTGGAGGGCCCGGATAGTAAGCGAATCTACTCAGGCTTTTTACAACCGAAGGCCCATCCACCTATCCAGCCTGGCAGCACGCCATGGGCAGGAAGTCGGCGATATCTTTGTATGGCCCTTGAATACATCTTTTACAACACCTTCTGCTAACACTCCCAGGCTTAAACTTGATTGCCGCAGTCTGGACTGTGGACCAAGAGACTCACCATACAGTGACTGTTGAGTTTTACGATCGAGAACTTCATCGAGACTTTCACTTCACTGACCCGTACCAATACGACAAGGCTTGCATTAGTAAGTAATCATCCGATTGTGGTTGCTCCCGTGGGCTAACCGAGAGCAGATGAGAATGGAACTCTCTTCTCGAACAGTCCCGCTGATGGCCCGGCCACTATCTTCTATCGGCCTCACGAGACGTGGACTACTCGAGCGGATTGGCGAACTCAACTACCCGACGGAGAGGGCGTGCGAGGTATGTTCACTTTGCGGGTGAGATCTTCCTATTTTGCTGATCTCTTCCCATAGCTCTGGCGCTGAGCGATTCCTACATCGTTGCGGTTACCACCAAAGATTATGTACGCGTGTACACCCTTTTCGGAACCCCCTACCGAGTATATCGGCAAAAGAGCGAAGCCGTGACCTGTGCCGCATGGCGAGACTACATCATGACCATTGGCAATGGCCCGGTTGGAAGCGATGGTCGACACGCCACACTGCGGTACACCGTGGAGAATGTCAAAAGAGATGAGATTTGCCAAAACGAGGATGTGGTGGCTCTCCCGACAGGTGCCCAACTGCAGAGTGTGTTCTTCTCTGACTCTGGGGTATGTCCTAGTCACCGCATTCCGACTTATCAATAGCAAGCACTGACCGCCTCCAAGGACCCATGCATCTATGACTCCACCGGCGTCTTACTTGTTCTCCAGCACTGGCGCATCCAGGGACAAGCCAGATGGGTGCCTCTCTTGGATACAAAGCAGCTGGCTCGATTAGCGAAAGGCCGCAAGGAAGAGTCTTACTGGCCTGTTGCAGTCGCCCATGATAGATTCCACTGTATTATTCTGAAGGGTGGCGACAAAAACCCTTATTTCCCACGCCCGCTGCTCAGTGAGTTCGAGTTCCAGGTGCCTATCTCCAGCCACGCTGTTAGAGGGACGGACGAGGCGGACGAAGCACCGGCAGAGCGCAACGAAGGTGCTCGTTTTGAGGAGGCCTTTGTACGCGGTAACATCCTCCTTTCGCTTTTCCGAGATCTTCTCGCTTCGACCAATGCCACGGCCAGTCAACGTTCGGAGCTGGCGCGCAAGGAGCTGGAACTTGATAAGACTCTGCTACAGATGCTGGCCGTCGAATGCAGAGAGGGCGAGGACCGTGGTATGAAAGCACTAGAGCTTGTCGGCATGATGAGTGACCGCAATGGCAAAATGCTTGAAGCAGCAGCCAAGGTGGCTCAGCGTTACGACCGTGGGGTGTTGGAGGACAAGATCCGCGATCTCGCGGAGCGTCGAGTGATGGGACTGGGTGATGATGACGAATTGGCCTGAAATTTTAGAATGAAGAGATGTTTTGAAATACCATTCTGCTCGAAGCCACATCCGTAATTACTTTTCTTTCTTTCCATTCCAACTATAAAGCAGTCGATTGGGGCTGCCACTTTTTCAAGGGCAACCCCCGTCATTATACGGAGCGGCCCGCCTCCGATTGGCCCATACGTCATGCAGAACCCGCGTGCATCGCAACTTAGCTTCTCCCAACTCTCGATCTCCATGGCATGACAGTCAACACTGCATGGCAGAATGGCAAAGCTGTCTTGGCCTCCCACGTCGCGCGCTTGCCTCCGCACTCTTCGACCATGTGCTGCCCGTCGTTTCGCGTCTCTTCCGCGGAAACAACTCGCCCACCCGCGCCCCGGCATTCTGAACGACCCATTCCTGCCGCAGCCAACAGGACCGCTGCCACTCACATATTTCTCCCCGGCAAAGGTCTCCAAGAGCGTGACTGGACTTGGTGGAAGCCCGCAGCAGAATGACCATCAGCCTCCAGACGAGCGAGTACTGAAATTAGGAAAAAGTACGCTTATCTTGCCTTCTGAGTCCCACCGAGATGGAAGTTCCCGCTGACATGGATGTGATCGTTCAGCCCTACGAACGCTCTCGCCACTTCTCCCGACCATACTGTACAACAATCTCCCGCCAGAAATCCTATCACCCAATGTCAATCTCCACCTCTTTCCCTCAACACATCCACACCTCCCCACTGTGAAAGGGCGCAGGCTATACCGCGCAGCCTTGTGGACTGTTCCCGTCGCTTGGAGCAGTATACCCTTAGTTGGGAATGTTCGGCTCCAGATCCAGAGTGAACGGATTGTACGGGCAGGCACTGTACTAGAACCGGACCATTGTGGGGACAACGACTGCGGTGATGAACGGCTGGTTGTTCGTTGGAAGACAGAAGCCAGGACAGAGAGCCGGCCATTCCATGAAAGCTCGCAAGAAAGCTCTTCTCCAGCTCAGATACCAGGGGAAAGCAGTCCAGCCTCAAATGGCGCAGAGACGTCAGCGCCGGCCAAGCAAAACGCATCCACAGATCCGGAAGCCAGCCAATCTTCCCTCTCATCATCTACAAACGGAACCAACCGAGGGCTCAGCAAGCTTCTTGGTGGCGACGAGCCTATCTTCAAGCTCTCTCATGAAGAGCAATTCACCGGCCTTTTCATTTTTTCCTTCGATGAAGAGGGCCGTATTCTCACCCACACAATCGAGCATACGGATGAAGCGGACGGCTGGGACCGAACAGCAAAATTCGTTACCCTCACAGACTGGTTGATTGGCAAAGCGCGAGGCTCGTTGGATCCGGTCCCCAAACCTCAGCTGATGATGGAGCATTGTCACCATGGGACGCCAGATGAGGCCAGGCGTCGGAAGGGCTCCTGATTTAGTGCTATACATTGCGCCTCGACCTCTTCCTGTAAAGGGGATTGCCAACCAGGCCACGGAAATGACCGACAGTTTCTCCTCACCACTCTTGCGATCACCCACGTTCAAGTTGATCTCTGTACCATATACCCCACTCTCAAATGATTATGCTCATACACTACCAAAACAGCGTGTTAGGTTCACAGAGATAATAGATGTAGCATTTTTCCAGTATAGACTACGCGCAGAGGCAGCCACATCCATGTATATTTCCAAACGCGCTTTACTAGTACATAAATACTGCATTTCCTTCCTATAAAGTGCTGGTCCTAGTCGCCATAGTTTTCCCAAATTCGATCATTCCCCATATACATTAACTTGAAGCCCCCAGAGGATAATCCCGCCGCCAAAGCAGGTCAAAACGATCTGAGGGTAGAAAATCCCAATTTTGTACAGAATCATCATTCGGCCTTCGCATGCACAGCGGGGGGACTTGAGCAAGCTGAAGACAAGAAGGGCAACAACCGACATGGCGATTCCGCCAATGGTGAAAGCAGCCTCGCGGCCAGCCCACCAGAACAAGGTACAGAACAGGACGGGCCCAGCGGCACGGCCAGCCTGTCCCCAGCCTCGCAGACGACCCATCACTGCACCGCGGTTAGCCTCGCGAGCCTCGAAGCTACCAAGACTGTTCAGACTGGTTACCACCGTGGCAGTAGTAACAGCTAGCAATGCACCAGCCGCGTATAGACCGGTGACGGAGTCGACGCGGGCGAGGCAGAAAAAGGAGAGTGCACAAGCCACGATGCCTGCACGCATGGTCAATAGCGGTGGGAGACGTCGGACCACGGTCCCCTGCAGAAGAGAGGCAATGAGACCCATCATGGAGAGAAGTCGGCCGTTCAGAGCTGCGGGACTAGCGCTGGTAGTTCCAGCGTAGATGGTAGTTGTTATAAAGGGCAGAGAGAATTCCAAGCCGGAGAAAGGAAGGAGGAAGAGGAAATGGACGGCGTTGAGGAGAGCCGGGTTGTTTGTATGGGTGACCTGTCCATTGCTACCGGTCCCCGGTTGCGGCTTCTTGGGAGGTTCAGCTGCCTTCTTCTCATCAGCCCGGGGCTCAGACTCCTGCTCCAGCGACGTGAATTGAGGATGTGTTTCCGGCAGGCAAGCCCACAGGTAGACCGTCTCGAGGAAGATCAACGCAAGTGATACCGCAGCGGCCGCCATGAAGGGATTAGCAGCCACGACGTCAACAGTGCTCAACCCAGCGCCGAGCATGGGGCCGAAGGTAAAGGCGATACTGAAACAGGCGCCGACAAGGGCCATTGATGCGCCGCGGCGCGCTTCGTCGGTCACATCGGCGACAATGGCATTGGCTAGCTGCACATTTGCCTCGCTGAGACCGCCGACGATCCGGCTGGCAAGGAAGGTTCGGAAATCGGTAGCAGAGACCCAGAGCGCGACACTCAGAATATTCCCCACCATTGCGGTCAGCAAGGCGCGCCGACGACCATGCTTGTCCGACAAATGGCCAATGACCGGGGCAGCAAAAGCCTGGAGTAAAGAGAACAGCGAGCCGAGGGCTCCGCCGAGAAGAACAATATCATAGCGCGAGTCGATTGGGCGGGCGAAGGCATTCTTATAAGCATTGAGGTAGTGGAAGATCCGGTTGAGGAGGGAATCAGGAGAGGGGTCTTGGGCGCGGTAGAATGATAGGAGGGAAGGAAATAATGGCAGGATAAATGTGAATGAGATCTATGGATTTTGTGAGCAAAGACTCACGCAATGGAAAGAGTGTTCGGTCATTACCAGGTCCAGCAGCAGCGAGATCATCAAGACCTTGAGGACTTGTTTGCGTTGGGCACCAGCGACAGCCATTTCTGCTGGCGCCTTTGGGGAGGCAATGGAGTGTTCTGCGGTAGAGAGGGATGAACAGAAGGAGAGTAGGAGGGGAGGTTGAGGTGAAAGAGTAGAGGTGGCATGTTAATTGAGTCGCGCGTTCAGGAACAAACAGTGGGGCGATAGTGGCTTATCTGATTGCCACTAATCGCGCCATGATTTCCATGATTTTCCCAAGGTCCTCTTTACTTCGAAGTCCCGCCCATTTGATTGGGCTTGAATCAATTGCCCTGAGCGGATAGTTTATCCAGTTCGTCCAATACGCCACCGATACACACTCTTTTGCAAATACGCGCCACGCCCTACTGATCGAGTGGCCGATGTAGATCCCTCCAGTAGGTTCTTTGACCCACTCTTTCCAAGTCTTTGCGTTACTGCGTACTGTCAATAGTAGTCCGGCTCCAACAAGTTGTCATATTGTTAACTATCCCATACTATTGGCGGGCTCGCTCGGTAAATACTAGACTTAAAGGCCCTATAGTAAACGTAAAAGTGTCCTTCGCATCGCCATCAAAAGCGGTCCCATCTTCCCCGGCTGCGAAAGCGAGATCGAAATTATACGCTATCCGGGAGATCACACTTCGGAGTTGCATCAACGCGAGTTGTTTCCCCACGCAGCTATATTGGCCAAGTTGGAACGGGAAGAATGCTTCCTCGTGCTTGACGAGGTCGTCTTTCTCATCGAGCCACCGCTCGGGAATGAAACGGGAGCCAGATGGAAAGTATCGTTCGTCACGTTGGATGACATACTGTGGTACCACAACGATAGTCTTGCTCGGAATCCAGACCTCGTCGACCTGCAGACCTTCAGATGGGGTCACTCTGGGCTGGCCACTAGGCACAGCGGGTTTGAGGCGAAGGGTCTCGTGGATGACGGCTTCAAGGTAGGCCAGGCTCTGAAGATTTTTATTGGTGAATTGCGACGCCTCCGCTCCATCCCCAAAGGTATGATCAAGTTCCTTCTGCAGCTTTCGGTAGGCGTCAATGTTGCTGGCAAGATAGAACAGCGCATGCGCCAGAGTTACGCCCGTGGTATCACTTTAGACATGTGTTAGCATTTCTGACAGGTCGGGTCGTGGGACATCAACAGACCTTCCAGCGATCATCATCAGACGCCCATCTTCGTTCAGCGCTTGATCGCCCGGTGGAGCACTCGGATCGCCCTCCTCGAGGGCTTTCAGCAGCCATGATATGACGTTTGTCGGAACTTTGTCCCCCACCTTTTCGCTTTTCGAGGCCCATTTCTATTGTCGCCCGTTAAAAACCAATGTTAGGTATGCAACGAAGGATTCGTAGCCGAATTCTTCCTGGGGTGTTTGGTGGTCATGGCTTACTTTTTTCTGTTCTGAGATTCTGTCTTCGCAGTAAGTCATGAACTGCCCGTATTCACCTACCAGTCCCTGGATGGACCCAAGGATGGTCAAAATCCACGGTGCAGGCTTCAGAATCCCAAGAAACAGCATTTGCTGATGAAGCTCCTTAATAGCCTCCTGTTCTGCACCGTCCTCCAGCTGACGAAAGTCTTGAGAAAATCCAACGAGGCCCATCACATCAAAGGCAAAATACATCATCCACTGCGAGGCGTCAAGCGGTTCATTTACCCTGGAGCGGATTTGATCGATAAGAACATCGACTTTATTCTGGACGCTTGTCTCATACGCTGCCAGAGCTGTAGAAGTAAGAAGATATAATCAGTTCACCTTGCTGCCCATAGAAAAGGGTGTCTCGGCTGGGCGTACCTTTGATGCTAAACCCACGATCCCAAGCCTTCCGTCGCCGGCGGTGGACATTGGGGTCCCGGGTCGAATTCAACGAGGTCTGAGAGATATCATCCGATACATGGCTGTACCAGGGCGACCGAGTGCAGAGCGACTGCGGTCCATATATCGTCAGAACGGCTGCTGGTCGATTGATCGAGACTTCACGGGGACCCGTCCGCACAAAGTCGCCATAAGTTTGATGCATTTCCTGGAGATCCAGGTGATACTGAGTGCGATTAATGGCCTGTTTGACCAGGAATAGTCGGCTCAGTTTCGCATCCCAAGGGCCTGGGAATTTCCTGAGGGGATGCCAGAACGCTCGGTAGGCTAAGATGCTGATCGTAAGTCCCAAATTAAAGCAACACGAAGCATAAATGGCGCATCCGATCGTAGATGCTACACTCAAGGAGTAGATGTAGACATAGGCTGCGCAAAGCGCCAGCCACGCTCCCAGGTACAACGCCACAAATGACCATATCCGATTATCGATCTCGTAGGTCCGGATGCACTGGTGAAATGCGATCCCGAGAACCAGAAAGGTAGCTGGAATCTGTAAGAGCTCAGGGTTCAGTAACGCTGAGAAAGTCGCAGTCGCAGCCATCCTGTCTGGTGCTTTCAACGGCTGTTTCTCCTCGGAGGTGTAGCATGGAGTCTTGCTCTCGACTAGACGGAAGAAAGAAGTACTTTTGCAAAGGTCATCCCCGCTCGCCTCCACTCGACGGAGGAGGCCTGGTATTTTGATTCGCTCGCAACCTCGCTCGTAAGCCTTGGGCTGGACCTTTAGCTCATTCACCTCCTTGTCAGGGGTGCTCCTGAGACCCCGAATTGCATCAAATCCCGTCAGGCGCTAAGCCAATTTCCGCAATTTACCGAGGCTGGATTAAGAAGGATCCGGGGATCTCGAAGCGAAAAGAGTAGCGGAATGACGGGGAATGACAGGTCTATCCCGCCACGATGGATTTAGTGCGCATTAGCCCATTCACTGGACCCCCTGTCAGCTCTTCTATTTCCCTATTCGGTGTGTGTCCAGACCCGTCATACTGGGGAAAAATTTGGGGTGCTCGTGTCTGTTTCATCAAAATTCTGGAGAGTCTGGGCAAATATACATGATGGTCTTGGGCCAACACTTTGTTTCCTCCGCTACTTCAGTCCCTGTTCTGCCATACGAGTAATCGCTGCTAGCCCTGGAAATGTTCGAAACCTTGCAACCGGTCGCATATGCCGTTTCCTTCATTTTCTGGGCTCTTTCTACATTGCTGACCTGCTTGCGCTTCTACTCGCGAGGATGGATCATCCACGCTTTTGGCAAGGATGATTGGTGGATGGTCTTGGTTTTGGTGAGTGTGATAGAAAGCGGCCCCAAGCCTTCGTCTGACTATCCTCAAGGTGTTCAACACGGCACAGCAAGGCCTATTTTGTGCATTCCTTTACTATGGAGGTGGGCTGTATGTACTGCGAGCAGCCGGTCTGGAAATGCGGTCTAATTCAATGCTATAGCCATTTACCCCCAACGCCTGATCCTGCAAAAGTAATACTCTTGTCCAAGGTATGCTCCAGGTGCTGTCCGGATATACCCAGTGGGAAGAAAGCCCAGTCTAACGCTAACATCGACATGAGCAGCTTCTCTTTGCAGAAGAGATCTCATATATCTGGATGCAATTTATCATCAAGACGGCATTCTTGCTCTTCTATCTCAGGCTCACGAGTAGCACAACCTTCATCAAAGGTGTATATGGGATAATTCTCCTGAACACCTTGGTATCCATATCGTTATGGCTGCTCTACTGTCTGCAGTGCATGCCTTTGGCGGCCTTCTGGGACCTGCCAGCACACCCCAACGCCAAATGTCTGCCCAAATCCGTGACCTACTACGTTCCTGTTTCGCTGGTGAGTCCTCAAAATTTTTCCGCCGGGGTTGACACCTGAGAGCGTCTCATGGGCTAATCGAGTCAACTCTAGTGCATCATGATGGACGTTATTGTCCTCGCATTTCCTATCCGTCCTCTCTGGAACATCCAAGCTAGTCTCTCTCGCCGGCTGGGAATAATCGCCACCATAACCGCCGGCGGTATCGCGGTCGTGGTCTCTTGCTTGCGCATAATTGTTCTTCACCAGTTCGCAGTCAATCCGGATTTTACCTATATCCTCGGCGACATGGTCATCATTTCGGCCATCGAGCTGAACGTCGCAATCATGGTCGCAAATGCGCCCTCCCTCAAGGCTTTCTGGCTCAGGCATGTGAGAGGGTCCCTGTCAGATTACACGAGCTCAGTCAAGTTGTCGTCCCTCAGAAAAGAACGCTCAAGTAATCAGGCGGAGCGATCAAATATATATCAGCGAGATGAACGGGGCCTGAAACCTACCGATCTGATGGATTCTTCGTCGACGAATAACCTGGTTACGAGACCGGGGAGTGAGGGTTGAGTGCTTCCTTCCTCCAGCAGGCAAAGGAGACTACCTTGGTGAGAGCTCGAGGTACATACTCCTGGAGCAACTGGAGACATTTCCTAATCGTTTTGATTCTTTGATCGATCCGGGTTCTCATCTGGCAACCGGAGTGAGATGTACATTTAGAGGGCCTTTCTGCCAAAAAAGAAATATCTTCTGTCTTTCCATCCATCCCTCGCTGTCCTTTGCAAGGCTCAAATCAAAATTGAAGACTATCCGGGCTAAGATCATCCGCATCTCAGCGTATGCAAGGCTATTCAAATCAGCAGTCGTCTTGGTAGAAGGGGCCTGGTAGACTTACTTTCGTCCAAGGCAGTTCCTTGGCCCAACATTAAATGGCTGCAAGATTTCATAATCATCATTTGCAAATCGCGGGTCTCCTAAGAAGCGCTCCGGGCAAAATGTGTAGGGCTCGGTGAAATGCTTTTGTTGTGGTATAAGGCCCAATGATGTAAGGCTACCACCGTCTGTCGCAGGGCATCAGTAACAGGAACCAAAATTTCACACAAGGGAACATTTACCTCTCCGGGTATATAGCGTCCAAGGACTGGGCGGCCCTCTTGCGGTACCACGCGAGGCAACCCCGTGGGGACTGGTGGATACACGCGTAAAGCCTCGTTCAAACAAGCCAGCATGTACGTGAGTTGATTCACCGAAGTCATGGTGATATCACTTTCATTGTCGAAAGTCGACCGAACTTCCCCGGTAAGTCTCTTGAGGGCCGCAGGGTTGGACAAGAGAAGGTAGGTCACTCCAGCCAATAGTGTAGCGGTGGTTTCGGAGCCAGCCATGATAAGGATGTTGCTGTTCGATTGCAGGTTTTCAATGGTAAGGTTCTAGATGGAAAGTTAGCAGCTGCGAGCTCCCCCATGGGGTACGGGCACCCAATCGCACCAATTCTTCCTTGTTCAACAGTAATCCTTCAATCAGGTCCGATCGCTCGTTACCGGGCTCCATCCGCCTTGCGAGCTTAGCCATAGACAGTTTGGTCTGCCTAACGAACCGTGCCATTGCAGACTTCGGCACCATAGCCCAGAAGATCTTCTTCAGGGTAGGGTAGAACCCTATAGTCTGGAAAATGGTCCCCGCACGCGCAGACTCAAAGATCAAATGGACATAGGGGTGATACTCTGAGTTCTGGAGACAGCCAAAAGGCTCGCCAAAGGCGAGATCTCCAATGATGTCGAATGTTGTCCAGTTATACCATGCCGTCAAATCAAGCGCCGTTGCACCCCCCGAGCAGTTCTCATGGAGGCGCTGGACAAGCAAATCAATATAGACTTGGATCATGGGTTCTTGCGCCCGCAGTGATTTCTCTGAAAACCCATGGGAAAGCAGTTTCCGCAGCACGCCATGGTCCTTGCGATCCGCATTGACGATATTCACGGGTGATTCTTCTACCGGGCGATAAAAGTTAGATAGTTTCCCAAACTCTTCTACGCCGGGGTTATGTCCCATGATGTCTTTCCATGCTTCGGAGTTCGAGAAAGCCAGCTCGTCCGGAGCAACACGGACGACATCGCCGTATCTCTCATGGAGCGATAAGATGTCGTACGGCATCGTGCCACGTAACAGCTTCCAGCAGTACGGAATCCGGGACATCGCATGTGATGTCGGCCCCGGAAAGGCAGCGAGCGGATGAAAGAATGCATTGTAGATGGCTCTGCCGACTGCCCGTACCAGCATCTGTCGCTTTTGTTAACACTCGATCTTTGGCAATCTGGATAGGCAGACGCGTTTTGGACTTGTTGTTTACAGTCTGCGCAGCACTCACGATCGCCACCAGGGCAGCCACCAAGGGCCCCGGATTATGGAGCAAGGACTCCAGGATGCTCAACGACGCCATGTTCAAAGGGACAATCTAGGACATCGGGGAGGGTGCTTAGAAGTACGTTTAAGCGTGGACCACTACGTCAGTCTTTTTTAGCGGGACCCCAGGGATCCAGTGGAGAAACGCGGGAGATCCAGGGGCCGGTGGGATGCACAGCAGCCTATTGGGGGGTTTCGGTGTCAGGGAGAATTCCCACCTGAGCATCATCATGCCAAGCTGCCACGCTGCCACGATTTTGTAGATTTTCCAGATTTTTCGAGGTTCTAGATCAGAGCCTGGTGTAGCCGTCTGGGCTCAACTTGGCCAAACGGGTCTCTCTGCTCAGCCCTCGTTCATGACGAAGCTCATCGCTCTTCTACATATTGATCCAAGCCTCAAGGCCTTGATAGGCCATGGCATTGCGCTACAGAGCAGATGCAGTTGGGTTATCCTCGGGCTGAAAAGTCAGCTGTTCCAATGAATCTGCTCAGTCACTACCTTGGTGTGCCTCGAAGTTTACGCCCCCTGCTCGACCAGATGTGTCTCTCACAATGGAAATTAAGATACTCCATGACACATAGGACCATAGGTGGGAATAATCATGATTACAAGACACGGTCATGTGGTCGGATTTGGCCTATCAAGGGCTTATATAGCTATCCTCGAAGACCAAACAAGATATACAGATGGATATTAATCCACACTAGAATTGCAACGCTTGTATCTACAGTTTCGCTTGGAAAATATGACGTAAAGAATCAAGTCCCGAAGGGCCGTCGTAGATCTGCTGCTCGAGAGCACGAGTGTTCACCTGGCATAATGTGTCAGTTTTGCTCCAAAGATTTGAGTTCGATCTTCTTACATTGTGCGGTCCTAAATCTTCGATTTTCTCCACTCCGAGGAGACGCATGCAGGTATAGCTTTCATCTGTCAGGACTGTTGAGATCGTTAGTATCAAGTCACAAGGGATATTGCAAAGAAACAACCCCCTAAAAAAAAATCAGTGACAGTGAACTTACTCTGTAATGTCCGACGAACGCCATCGACACCACCCGCAGCCAGACCCCACAGAGCAGCACGTCCAATACCAACAGCCTTGGCACCTAAGGCCAGAGCCTTTATAACGTCTGTGCCACGACGGATGCCGCCATCCACATAGACCTCAATCTTGTCAAAGACCTCGGGGCAATATTTCCGGATTTCCAACAAGGTGTGGACTGCAGGAGGTGCAGTATCTAAGGCGCGGCCGCCATGGTTCGACAAAATGATACCCTTGACTTGCGGGGTATGAAGCGATGCCAGGTATGCGTCTTCGTGTGTTTGAAGACCCTTGAGGACAATTGGTAGATCAGTGTGTTCGGCAAGCCACGGAAGAGTTGCTTGCCAGTGCAAGCTGGGGTCAGTGCCGGCAAATAACATCTGGCCAATTCCAGCAGAGCCCTGAGAGACATCGGGAGTATCATCCGAGGTTCGAGCAGCAGCTTTGGGCGCCTGTTCCTCTTCTGCTGCGTCTGTAAGGCCATTCCGCTCGTCATCTTCTCGCTTGCCTGCTACCGGTGCATCGAGGGTCAGAACAATAAACTTAATTGCCTTGAGTTTATTGATCCGAGCCAACATTGCTTCACTTTTCTTGCGGTCAACGTTGACATACAATTGCCAGCCAAACACTTGATCAGGGGCGGCGCCCTTCACGATCTGCTCAGGAGTCATAGAAGCGTTGTTTGAGATGATCTGCAAAGCGCCAAAGCTGCGGCATCCCTCTGCGATACCTGCTTCGCCAGCTGGGTGGCCAAGCCGAGCCATGGCCGCGGGGGACACATAGATAGGAATTCCCACCTTATGCCCCAAGACAGTCGTCCCCAAATCGGCACGGGTGACGTCTCGGAAAACTCGTGGTCGCAATAATATGGACCGGTATGCTTCGTTGTTGAGTCTTTTGGAAATTTTGTCGTCGGAAGCAGAGTAGTAATAGGCCCAAGCCTTCTTGTTTACCTGTTTATGGCCCACCTGCTCAATCTCATCCAAATTCAGCAGATGGTGCATTGGCGGTGGCCCGGCTGAAGGCGCCGAGGCCTCTTGGGGCCCCTTCTTAGGTAATGTGCTTGCATCCACAGTGCCTATGCACTGTTCTGGCTTGAGTTCGTCCTCAAGAATCCCCGGAGGGTGGATTGGGTCGTATTCTTCGGTGGCATCCTTGCCAGCAAGCTTTAGAATAATTTTCGCACCGCCAGGGTGGCTCGACAGGAAATCCGTCACCTGGTAGACGTGCATTAGGGATGAGCTCCGGCAGTATGGGGACAGAACCATTGGCGCTCACATCATAGACTTTCCCATAGAGAATGACCCAACAGCTCTCTCTGGTGTTGTGTTTTGCGACTGTTCCTCGTTAGCGGGGAATGAGGAGAAAGGCTCGTGCGGAGAAGACCACTGACCCTCTGCCGCATCGAAGACTTTGGCCATGATCCTTTTTCCTCGAGATGTAAGCTGGGACAGAGGTGCTACCCTTCTTTTCGCCACTTCGTCCTGGAACTTCAGGAGTTGAAGAAGCAAGAAGCAAGCGGTTCGGAGACGTCGCCGATAGCGAAATGCTCAAATGTGGGGAAGTTGCGGGCATATGAATTTCTACTCTTGGAAACATCAATTGCCGGTTCTTGATTTTCTCAAAGGCGGCTGTGCCATTGGCGGAAAACCAGGGCGGGTCCAGGGGCTTTTCTACACGAATTAAACGCCAAGCATTGACGAGAAGGACCCGGCTGGCAGATGGTCGGAAACCATTTCTCCAACAGCCGGGGCCTTCGAAAACAGAAATAAGCTCCGTTGAACTCCCCCGATTTGATGCGGAGTACTTGTCCTGTGGGTGATGACGACATGGTGGCTGGAGTCAACATGTTAGGAAGACCAGAACACTCAAATTCGCCGCTGACATGTATATATATGATGCCTGAATCGAAAGGATATCTAACCATGGGAAGACTGCCCCCTCCTCAGGGTTTATCGGACTGCATAAGTAGTTAATACTCTCTCACTGCGCAGCTAGGTGTGTTCCAGTCCTCTAAGCTTCCTTTGTGCCATTTTTGTAACCATCAACTCTGGCAATCAAGCGCTCCAACAATCTATGCCCCAAGATATTATCAGATGGTGCCTTCAAGTCCATGCGAGCGTAAAATTTTGTGTTCAATTAAGCTCACAGGCATCGATATAGTCGGTGCTCTTGCTCGTCCTTCCCCGGATACTTCTAGTGCAGATCACATGACATCACCCGTGACCTTTTGTTTGCGTACAAGGTCAGCCGCGCTGTTGTCCACTCAAATTCCCTCTTGGTGATTCCCCGCCTTGCGGCCTCTGACACCGCCAGCATAATGTTCGAGGTGTGTATGGCGTATCGGCCATTCTATCAGTACAAGCAATCAAGCTGACTGCTCTAGCGACGTGCAGCAGATCGATACCATTTGCGCATGCATCGCGCCCGCTCAGCGGTTCTGACCAACGACGAAATCGTTGAAGTGCGTGCTGCACAGCGAACTTTCGAGGGTGCTTATGTTCGAACCGCTTTATCCCAGTTCTCCTTCGCTCTTGTCGTGTTGAAGATCTTCACCGCCGAATTCTACAGTATCGGCGCCCTCTTCGCGATCTATGGCACCGGAGTCTTGATCATTGGGCTTTTTCGCCGCTCACAAGGAAACCGCCAGTTCTTCTCAGAGGTGGGAGAGGACGGGGTACATCGTCCCAAGTTCCGCACGAGTGGAAATGCAGTTGTCGTTCTGACCGCTCTAAGTGTGGCGGCGTACGTGTGCTTGATTGGCTTGACTCTCACTCTCCAGACCTGATAAGCCAAGAATCTGAAAGGGGCCAATCCGGAGCATAGCTGGAAGCACCCCCCCGATCGGTAATCTGCACCCTCTATCAATCCCGGGCAATGTGTGTTACCCCCTGCGTTACCGCCAAGCGCCAAGGATCCCGTAGTGCCCCTATTGGAAAGGGCTGAGCTGTTCCCAGACTACCGGCTACAAACAAGCCGACTCAGCGGAGGTCTATCTACGGCATTTGAGTACGAACTTTCAGTCGTGAACTTCCCAGCGGATTGCGAAGAATCCGGGGCTTTAGTTCACGGAAGAAAGCCTGACCCGACCGGCGAGGCGGACGAGGCACAAGTTGTACAAGCGCTTTGGATCATGATCTATTCCAAAGCACGGGCTGGGCACTCGCCGGACTTGCCAAGATTGCAATAATACAGGATTTCAGACCCCAAGGGGCTCCCCAAGTTCTGGATCAGGGGGTCTCATGGGCTGAACAATCCAAGGCTGCTGTCAGGAACAAGGGATCAGGGTCGGTGGCGATCTCCCGAGTGGATAGTTAATAGATGGAACCAACACTTGAGCGTAATGAAGCGCTGGGCCCTGCAGGGGGCGCCAATGATGATCCCCCATGGCGATTTAGGCTGAGATACTCGAAGCCAAGCATTCTGGGCTGAAGATAAACGAACGCTGCTTGATCTCGCCAGACCTACCTGGGCACTCAACCCAAACATGTATATATAAGTGGGAGATGGATGATCCCGCCAAATTCATTTTAGCACCATTTAAATCTCACATGCATAGACCTTTTCGCAAACCTGACATCATCGCTCTAAATGCAGATACCCTGATCGATCCCCACTGTGGACTCGGGAGCTATTTCTATTGACAACCTTGAACTTCCAGGGCCACATTAGACCATTTCTCAATCCCTCTCTTTCTTTTCAAGCTCTGTACCCTCAAATCATTTCGAGCCTTCTAAGGAGAACTCAACGATACGTGGTATTGGGGCTGGGGCCACAGAGGTGACGCTCTAAGCTTCTTTCAGCGCGTCTGCCCACGCCCCTCCTCGACCGGAGCGCAGTGGTCCAGTGACATTCACTACAGATCCTAAAATTAACGCGCCACTTGCAGCCGTGTTTACACCGCACGTGGAATCTGCTCTCCTGGAAGGGCTCGGAGTCCTGAGAGTGACGTTTCGTTCATTCCAGATTTGCCGTCGGTTGAGTCATCCACAACCTCCGCCTTGTCCTCCCGCTTTGTCCAGAGGGGTTCATCAAAAAATCTGTCCTTCGTCTAAGCAGCGTCCTCCAAGTCCCTCCAAGTATCATCCAACCGGGGCCACGAACACTTGAATCAACTTTGCTTGTTGCTCCCTTACTGGGATGGCACAACATTCCAACATCGCCCGGTCGGCCATCATAAGCTCCGCCGACCACGCCCGACCCTGACAGCTCCGGACCAGCAGCACAACATGGAGCAGAGACCCGGCGATGGCAACACATCCAACGGGCCGAGCCTGGCTCCGGGAAAAGATGGCGCTAATATGCCTCCTCCCAAAACCGTGGTCGGGCGAGCGCTAGGAAATGACCTGCATTCCGATGCCCACAAAGCCTTACAGGCGCCCAAGGCGGAGTCGGAACCGCACTGTCTGACACTCCGATTTCTACCGCACCTCCGTCCCCACAAATGTAAGTATCCTTGTCTCTGAGTCGTCAACCCCCCCTTTCCCCGGGAACTTTGTCTATCGTGCATGTCTCTCCTGCCTATGAAAGGAAAAAGCTTATTACCTCGGATCGACATTACATACATGTTGCTTTTATCGGTGCCATCACAGGCTTTCCCGGCCGGTACACACGCTCATTTTCGTCTCCCGCTTCCATGTGGCTGAAGATCGTGCCTGTCGCGTGATTGTGTCATTTGCAAATTACGTTTCCTTTTTTTTTTCTTTATTTCTTTTGGGCCTTTTTATAGTTTTTGCTCTACGACTCGTTTCTCCTTCGAAGCTTGTTTCGACGTCTAACATCTTTACCCCCGCTAGGCTCGCCGGCACCCCCAACTCCAACTCCCGTATTCGAGCCACCACTCTTGACATTCCTGGTTTGACTAAGTCCAAGGTCTCTCCCGATGGTCGAATTGCTCAGCGCGATGTCGGTGCAAAGCTTGTTATTGTCATGGTTGGCCTCCCGGCCAGAGGCAAAAGTTACATAACCAAAAAGCTTGCACGTTATTTGAACTGGCTCCAACACGACACCGAGATCTTTAACGTCGGTCAACGTTCGTCGAGTCGCTGCGGGAAAGTCACCCACTCCAGCACCAACAAAGCTCGACCGGATTCCAGAACATAGCCTCAGCCCGCCAAACGTACACAAAGACCTTGTTGATTCGGTACGCCGACTCAGTGTGAGTGTTGGGGGCTCTGGCCAGTCAGACGCATCGCCGCCAAACGATACACCACTTCCTCCCCGGCGATGCCAGCCAAGATTCTTGTCAACGGACAAGATGCCGATTCCAAGTCTCTGAAAACAGGAGCACTGTGGTTCCTTCTATAGACGCCAGTCCTGGCCAGTTGGCCGTGGATGTAGAGGCCACCAAAGAAGCATCACCGGAGCCGATGGACCAGTCTGCGAGCTTTTTCGATCCTCAGAATCAGCGTGCAGTCAAGATGCGCGAGCAAGTCGCCCTTGACACTCTTGATGAGCTACTTGAATACATTCTGGTGCAAGGCGGCAGTGTCGGCATTCTGGACGCAACTAACAGCACGATGGAGCGGCGAAAGGCTATTGTGGATCATATCCGCAAACGCGCTGGTCCTGAACTCAACATTCTGTTCCTCGAGAGTAGCTGTGTTGACCAGACCCTACTGGAGGCTAACATGCGACTCAAGCTCTCTGGACCTGACTACAAGGGTCAGGACCCCGTCTCCGCACTTGCGGATTTCAAAAAGCGTGTCGCTCTCTATGAAAATTCCTATGTCCCCCTGGGAGAATACGAAGAGCAGCACGATATGGCCTACATCCAAATGATCGATGTTGGTCGGAAAGTCGTTGCACACCAAACTCACGGCTTCCTCTCTTCCCAGGTCGTCTACTTATTTGCTGAACTTCAACTTGTCTCCACGGCAAATTTGGATCACACGTCACGGCGAGAGTCTTGACGACCGCGCTGGCCGAATTGGCGGAGACTCTAGTCTTAGCGATAACGGTCGCAGATATGCTAAAGCCCTGGCTAACTTCATCGACCATCAGCGTCGCAAGTGGGAGGCTCATCAAGCAGAAAAGGACATCATCAATAATTTCCCGCCGCGTCCAGGTGACACAACCCCGCCAAATCCCTCTTGGAGGCCCCGTGACCGACCTCGCAATTTCTGTGTTTGGTCCTCTATGATGCAACGTTCCGTTCAGACCGTGGAATACTTCAATGAAGAACAGTACGATATCAAGCAAATGCGCATGCTGGACGAGATTCACTCTGGGGTAATGGAGGGAATGACCTACAAGGAAATTCAGCAGCAGTTCCCCGAAGAGTATTTCCACCGCAAGAGGGACAAACTGTTCTACCGGTACCCTGGTCCAGGAGGCGAAAGCTACCTGGATATCATCAATCGCCTCCGAGCTGTCATCGTCGAGGTCGAGCGTACTACTGACCACGTGTTGCTAGTCAGCCATCGTTCCACTGCACGTGTACTGCTCGCTTACTTCCGGGGTCTGAAGCGCGACGAGGTCGCCAACCTGGATGTTCCACTGGGTATGGTGTACATCCTAGAGCCCAAGCCTTACGGCGTTGATTTCAAGGCCTACCTCTACAACCCCGACACTGAGTGGTTTGATTACCAACCAGACTACGAGCTGCATCAGGTCAATTCCCATCAACTTTGATCCATCACATTTTCTTCGCCGGTGCTCTCAGCTTTAGAATTGACTGCGGCCAAATTGTGGAAGCCTAGGCCATCGTCAACATTCTTCGCTGGATATGATCGTCTTTGCTTTCCCCCACCCCCCACTCTTTGCAACGTGCTTCACCTGTTCTCGATCTAACGCGGGGCCTGCACTCTGTTCCTCCACGCCATGTGCTATGTATCACCTCCCCCGCCTGTTGCTTTTGCTTCCATTTCTCTTGATGATATTGACATTTGACTCGTGAAGGCGTCTGCGTTTGCATCTTTTATCTTTCTTTACTATCTGCTGGCTCTCTTTTGCATGGGCTCGGCGTTCAACGGAAGTGATGACTCGCCAAGATTCCCATTTCTTCCCCCCATGCTTTCCAGACTAGAGCTGGTATTTTATGACATTGAGCGAATAGATGGAGAGAAAGATTCCTACGACTACTAGTATTGCTTAAGGAATACAATTGACACTGATTATTTTCTAACCTTCGTGATGAGCCAGATGTGGATTTGAAGCCGATGTCTACTAGTAGTGGTGCAAAATAGGTCCTTAAAGAGGCACATAAGGAGAATCCCCCCCTTTTCTTCTTCGGACACGTGAAGTCAATTCTGATGTAAACGAACTTGACATTGCCGTTGTATTTAACGGCTTCAGAAAGCAAAACCTCCCCCCCCCCCCACCACCTTGACGTGGCAGAGGTAGGGTCTGGGGAAGCTGACTGGAGACCCCAGAAGGAGAAACCGTTATGGCAGGGACGATTTTAGACTCGCTCGCTTCGACCAGCCCAAGTACAGCTCTGAGCTTTGGCGTCTCACCTGTTCCACGAGCCAAGTAGTGATTCTACTAGTAACTGGGAGAAGCCGACGCCGGCGCATTCAGAAGACCCCTTTCAAGTACCAAAATCAGATGTGAAGCATCCATAAACTCGTCACGGTCAAAAACAGCCTTGAATGAGCAGCTATTAGGACATAGGACATGGTGATGTTCATCTCCTTTTGAGAAAGGCACTGAACAAGCTCTCTGGAAAGTGGACGAACGAATTAATCTGAGGATATGTTGTTGGTCACCTGTTCCGTATAAGCAAATCTTGTAGACTAATTATAAGGTAAGAGTAGACGATAAGCCTGAGACGTCTAGTTGAATGACCTTTGTTCCGCAATTTGACCAGGTGTACTAACAGAAAGGATTATAACAGTACAACTAGTAACTAGTATATAACGAAGGAGAAGAACCCAATCTGGCCAGGAACTCAGAACAAACCGACGCTACAGTGGCAATATTGAAGAGCAATAGGACTTTCATAGTAAAGTTGTCTGGTAGGAGCTTAAGGCTGGGGAAGGGGAGAGACAGGGCTATAGAGCAAGTAATGAACTTCCACTTCAATCCCTCCCCGGGTGCTGCAGTTGGGGGACGCCCCTATGCGCAACCTAGCACTTGCCGTTTTGGTCGACATGTGCTCATTACTTCTGGTGAACCCAGCCAAGAAGTAAGCGTCGGGGAGGAAATGGGGGTGGAATGGGCGCGTGCCCAGAACACGCGGGATAATGCTTTTTTTTCGAATTTTCAGAGAATATTAATCAAGGAAACTTTCTCTTCAACTTGAATGTATTTTGAGCTCTCTAGACTTTGTGGTTGTTGAGAAATTGGAAGATATCAAAAAGGCTGATGAAGTTTTTCGCCTCACTTCGACAGCCTCATTTGAGGAACAGCTGTTTATGTGTGAGTCTTCTAGAGGTATCTGGTTCGAGACACGACGCGGGCTGATATTATTTTTTTTTCTAATTTTCATTTTGATCTCGTTCTATCTCTCGACATACGCTGACAATTACTAGTAAAACTATAGGGTACCCCAGTGGTTGTGTTGGCTTATCCAATCACCGAGACGAGACTCGGGCTCATTTTTCTATTTGTCATTTCCCAATGAATCCCTATATTCGCCTGAGCTCTCCTAATGAAGTACAGTGCATTACCATTCATCATCTTTGATGCGCTTCTCATTTCCAACGTGGACCGAGGGACTTCGCGGCCCAGAATTTTCCACCAGTGCTATTTACAGCACCTGTTGGGCACGAGTCTGCGCCGACTCGCCAAACACTGTAGACGAGTTGGAGTGGACCGGGCCTCCACCGGGATTGTTCCCCCGGGCCTGCTCAAGCAGGGTGCTATACTGCCATGGGTTTTAGAATAGATGGAATAAAGACTCGGAATACAGGGTCATCTTACCTTGAATGCAAAGTTGAGAACAAGAGCACATGCTAAACCAATGCACACAACAAGGGGACCGAACAGGTTGTCCAAATCCTTGCCGCTACGCTGGCGGATGAGCCGCCCGCGCTTCTCATACATATACCAACCCCAACCAGCAGAGAATAAGGCAAAAAAGGTGTATACGATGGCAAGGGCCTGGGCAACACGATTGTGCTTGCCAGCAGCATTGTACAGCCCAAGAGACAAACTGGAGAGCAGGATGCTGATATGCAGCCACTTGATGAAGGTCCGTTGGTTGGCCAGCCATACCTTGCTTTCAACACGGACTGGGCCAGTGTCCTTGATCCAGACACCTGGGTGGCGCACACCGGGGGGCAGACGGACAGGCTCCTCTCGCCGACCCCAGCTAGCAGGGGCAATACCCCAAGACTGTAGGAATGCCACCAATCGGGAAGTCGGAGCTGCAGGCTCCGGAGCAGGCTCGGGGGCCTCGATCGCTGGTTCAGGGCGTTGGGGCTCAACAACAGAGAGACGAGGCTTCTTCGGCATCTCAATGACTGCAGAAGGCTGACGGAGTTTCGAACGAGACTCTGCTTCACGTAGTCGAGTGAAAGGAGACCCTGAAACCGCACCCGTACTAGGACTGCCAGTGCCACCTAAGAAGCTACCGACGGCCATGTCCTCTTCCGCTCGTTTCGCCAGGCGCTCTTGTTCCTCATGGAATGCTGTCTCAGGATCGCGGCGGATATCGTTCTCCAATTCACCAAGCCAGAATGGAAAGCTGTTGACTTGATCTTCGAACAACTGAGCCACGCCATGAACAAACTTGGAAAACCGCGGTGCATCCTTCACCAAGTGGGAAGACATAAGGTCATTGACCCATTCAGCTTCGTGGGCCTTTCCACGCAGCTTGATCTCAAGCAGGGCGTGAGGAAAGCGAACGATCTCTCCAGGCCGGATCGAGCTGAAGGGATATGTCATAGCTCCATCATCCAGGTCAGTACGGTGCCACTCGGCTGGATCGCGGCACGGGCGTTCTGGATCGAGTGTATCCTCTCGAATCATAGCAAGATTTGTATCAAGGGAAATTCGGATCCGATCATCGCCTGGGATCTGAAAAGCAGTGCGCGTATAATTTGCGCGGACCATAGGTTGCAGATTGTTCTCTCTAATAAAAGACTGGAGCTCTTCCACATTCCTCCGGAGAGATTCTGCCTCGGCGCCATTGTTGGCGTCTTCAATGCGGTGCACCTTTTTGTCAAGGTGGTACTCGTTATCCAAGAATTCCTTGATATGCTTTTCCTTCAGCAACACCTTGACCTCCCGGCTCCTGTCATCATCAGTAACAATCTTTTTTTTCTAAGAAGATTGACGGCTTGTCTTTCAGTTGTCCGGTCCACCGCAGACGCAGAGATCCAGCCTCGGGCGCGCGAGCAACCTTTTGGCCGTAGAGGTCGAACTGAGGATTATCGAAATAGAGGGAAGTTATGGTAGGGTCATCGAGAGTCTCCAAGTTTTTCGACGAGCCGGGGTTGTAAAGAAGAACAGGCAGGCGGCGCAGGATATAGGTCTTCACTTCTAGGACATTGTCGACATGCACCCAGAATTTGTGGGAAGAGTAGATGTCTTGACCGAAGCCTTCTTCAGGTTCTTTTTGCAGGACATCTTGGCTCAGTGTCTCCCGCACAAAGGAGTACATCACCGAGAGGCGATGGAATAATGGAGAGTAGTCTTCCGAGTTGAAGGGCAACTGTGACAAGCGGACCTGCAACAGAGGCTTAACACGGTAACGAGCCCCACGCTTACGGTCGTGCTTCTTAGCAGCCTTCAAGAAACCAGTGAAGTTTATACGGCTATATTTTTCCAGCTCGCTGACTTCTTTCGCAATGCTATCGAGCTCCTGCAAGACCTCGGATGCTATAGCGCGCTTTTCCTGGTCCGGGAGAGAAATCCCTTCTTGCTCTGCGCTTGGAACAAGGGGATGCAGCTTGGCTTCACAAGCCGTAGTACGCTCCCGCAATTGTTGAGAAGTCTCAGATTGAAAAGCATTGACTTTATCCAGTTGCACGTTCAGAAGTTCCTGCACAAAGGCTTCTTCGTCTTGTTCGGTCCATTGAACATCGTCAGAGTCACTGCCGTCCTCCGCATTGGTGTCATGCTCTCGCAGCAACGCCTTCAGTTTTCCATAATCAATGTACTTGCCCTTCCAGGGGGGGTAAACCGAATTCCGGAGTGTCTTCCCGAAACGCATGGTGCCTCAAGAGACGGGTGGACCTCGGAGGAGCTGGATTCTAGGAAGTTGATGGCCCTAAAGCGGATAGATTAGGGGATCGTGGAATGCAGAAAGAGGTCGACGCAGCTGGCACAATAAGTAACCAGGACCCCAGCAAATTCGACTTGAGATCGAGGAAAGTCTCGAAGACAAAATCGCAGATTCCACCATGAGGTGCTAAGCTAGCACGTGCACCAACGTCTGGCTTAGCTCCATCGACGCTTGCGGCCGTCAGACCAATCAACGATTACTACTGACGGCCGAGACTCTTTTAGTACACGATGACTAAGAATGACATGCCCATTCGTTCAATGAGGGGAAGCTCGAGATCGGCCCTACTATTTTTTCCGCGGTAATCGTATTACACGCTCCAATGTCAATACGAAAGCCAATCAACGAGCAAAGCGCAATGTCGTGGATCATCCCCCTGGGCTCCCGTACAGCAAGCCTAGACCCTCTACTTCGTACCAGATCCATTTAGGACCGTCAATCTCGGTTGTACAGTCCGTCCTGATGGACGCCTCCCCTGGTTTGTCTCACCATCTACATGGCGTCTTATCCACCCTCTACCGCCGGCCGTATCCACAAATTCCTAATCCCCCTGCCTGCAAGAAGCGGGCGTCAGTTGCCCTAATCATCCGAATTCGACCTTCAGATGACTGCTGGCCGACCGACCCTGTGAGCAGTGACCCGACGGAGTCCGTAGAGGACCGTTTGGACGATTTCTTTGCGCAGCCATGGGTCCACCATGGAATCCCCGAGGTTCTCTTTATCAAGCGTGCTTCGCGCGCCGGCGACCGGTGGACAGGCCATGTTGCTTTACCAGGAGGGAAGCGAGACCCGGAGGATGAAGATGACTGCGCGGCTGCAATAAGGGAGGCATGGGAGGAAATCGGGCTGGATTTGACCACCGACGACTGCATAGCTGTTGGCAATCTCCCAGAGCGAGTGGTGACCACCAGCTGGGGATCTGTCCCGTAAGTACCTCCTCCAATGTGGGAATCTTGGCATGAGATATACGGCTAACCAATCCACTAGACTTATGGTTCTCTGCCCTTTTATCTTTCTAACTACGCGAATTGATTCACCCAGCTTGCGCCTACAGCCGACGGAGGTAGCGTCAACTCATTGGGTCCCTCTAAAGGCTCTCCTGTCACCATCTCTTCGAACTGTTGAACATGTGGATATGTCACAACGGTACTTCAAACAAGCCGGCTTCTTGGGTCGTATGGCTATTCGGTCAGTGGTAGGCTGGATGCAATTCTCTGCTGTGCGCTTGGTGCCATCAGAGACTCTGTACAGCACCACCATGATAGATTCTGTTTTGGAACAGGGCAGTGAGCAAAAGTCTGTCGTACAGCGGCTATGTGGGTGGTGCTTGAGCAACCAAGCAGAATCCAGTGACACGAGCCGTCCTCTTCTGCTTTGGGGCTTGACGCTTGGTGTTCTGGCTGATTTCCTGGAGATGATTCCTCCCCATAACGCTGTCAAGCTCTGGGCATATCCCACATTCACAATGCCTGATCTGCGACTGGTTGCCAGTATACTAAGCTATCGTCTGCGGAAATTGAATGCACAGAAAGTGAAGTCAGGGTCGCGTGCCAGCAATACCGCTTCGGACAGCGAAACTACAGCACTTCCTGTGTCTCTATCTTCACATGGGACTCCTATGCAAGAGACTACTGGGGCTGGCACCCAAGGTGTTGGAAGATACTACAGCGCTACCGGACAAGGTGGTAATGGACCGTCATACGCGGTAGGTGTCCTGCTGCAAGGTTACTACCAGAAATTGCAAACAGCAATCTATATTTTCCTGGCGTTGCGCATTGCTATGGGCTCCGCTGCAGCTTTTGCAGCCTGGCGGTTTTTCCGGCGACGCTCTTGAAGCTGTACCGCCGTTATGCACTTCAAGCCTCTACTTCTGGTCGCGCATTGCATGTGCCTTAGCGTTTGGTTCGGTGGTTTTTATCATTCTCGTAGATACATAAGATAATGTAATATAACCTCACTCATATCACAGTTTCAGCGTACAGTTTTTCCAAATGTCCATTGCATGAGTTAGGCTAAACCGAGTTGTGTTACGGTAATTGGGGTCAGGCGGGTCCACGGCTCCAGGGCTGCCCAGGTGGTTGAGACCCCCCCGTTACGTAATGCTGCGTGGCCGCGGGCGGAAAGTAAACAACCGCGACGGTCCAAGCTGGTCTTACGTCCTTCTCCTCACTTTGCATTATGGCAGCCACTCAAAAGCTCTATCCTCGCGGAACTGTGAAGCGGATAGTTAAAGCTCACTCCAATCGGAGCGTGAGTAAAAATGCCGATATCCTGGTTGGTCCCATTGCCCCCACGCGATCTTTATGCTTCATAGCTAACAAGCGCTTTATTGCGATCTTGGCAGATATTCCTCGACTACATGCTGTTTATGCAAGAGTAAGTCGAAAACATAAAACCTTCGAGCTCACGCTGTTCCTTTCCTAGTCGCAATATCCACATTGGACACTAGAATTTGGAGGTTTGGACCATTCATGTGCTAATTTTACGCAGACTGATGCGCGAGGCTTCCATCCGATCGCGCAAGTCCGGTGAAAAGAACATTTCTGCGAACTCGGTTCGAAAAGTCACTGAGGTACGCCTTGTCCAAGTATTACTTTGCGATACTGCCTTCTACGCTGCTGTTGCTATCGCATTCACAACCCGCTCACTCGAAGCTCTTGGATACAGAAAACTCTACGCAAATTCCAAGGCTAGGCACGACAGTTGAACCGATTCAACCCCACCTCAATAGGAGAAAAAAAAGGATTGATGTGGAGCGCAAAATACGGGACTCTAATTCTGGTGCTGTTCTATAGTGCTTATTACGGCGTTGCGGGGAATGATATGATACCCATGATCCCTTGAGGTTTTGACTGTTTCTTAATTTACAATTTCTTGGTTGGAATCACCGTATGTGCAAACTATTTCTCAAAAAATTCATATACTAGGTATCTATGCGGTAGGTCGTAGAATGGACAGGGAGGAGTATAGCTGCATCTTCAGCTGAGGGCTGCACCGATCAGGAAAGGGTTCGGGCGACTTCCATCCACATCGATTTCTCTCCAACATCACTTTCACAACTTCCCCCATTCAAGTCTCTGCCCTGTCGGCTCTGACATCTGATCCTTGCGTGTTTGCAACATCGCATGCCCATTGCAAAACCTATCTCTTCTCACTCATTTTAAGTTTCTCAGTTGTGTCACCAGCATTCCATCATGGCTCCCGCTCCCGCCGCCACTCAGAAATCCAACGCCAAAGACTTGAAGCGGACCTCGCGCGCCTCGAGTGTCGTCTCGAAGACCGAGACGGACAGTCCGTCCCCCGAAGCCAACGGTTCTGAGCCTGCCTACCTGAAGGAGTTACAGAAGTGAGTTTTGGCTGCCCATTTGCTCCTAACGTTCCAAGTACAAGCTAACCATGAGACGCGACATTTAGGAGCCTGCGCAACGCCTCGAAGAAGCTGGTACGCTCGTTCCCTCATATTCTCACTTAGCCCTTCGGTTTATTGCCCGGGCAGAGCTTCTCCTTCCTCTTCATGAGGTTGGTTTTCCATCATGTTCAACTTGCTAACTCCTACTCTCAATGAATAGAATGCTGCCTCTAAGATCGACGCTACGCTTGCTGCGCATCCCGGAAAATCCCTCGATGACCTCGTGGGGGAGAAGGTCATCAACCCGGACCAAAAGGCGCAGGCCCTGAAGAAGCCCGCTCTTCAGGCCACGATCGCACAGCTCGAGGAGCAAGTCCGCCACTTCAAGGATTTTGCTGCCCAGTACGAGGAGAAGCTTGCCAGCCAGAAGGCGGCTCTTGAAAAGAAGCATCAAGAAGAGCTCGAGGCTGTTCGTGCAAATGCGATCGCTGATGCCACGGAGACCTCATCGCGTGTGTTACGCGAGCAATTGCTCAGCGTGAGCAAGTTCTTGTACGCTGCTGCCAACTTGCGACGCGATCGCGAATCCGCCGGAGGTGCAGAATCCCTTGAGGGGCTCGCCTTTGAGGCTGTCCTCTTCCAGGTTTATGCTGGCAATGAAAGTGCCGTGAGCTCGATGGTGAAGCTTATCGAGGGTGCGCCGGAGAAGGTACAAGATATCGAGGGAGGTGTCCTGGAATGGACTTGTAAGTGATGGTCATTCGCGCTATAGGGGTTCAAATTGCTAAATCAAATTCTGCTTCTTCCAGACAGCGATGTGAAGCAGGCAGCCAACAACTACGCTATTCCTGTTGTCGGCGAAACTGAGACTACTGAAGCCACACCCGTTTCCGACCCTACCTTGGCCCACGCTGGGCTGACGGAGCTCGAGGATTCCTCTGTCGGTGCTGCGGCCACGTCTCAAGCTGAACAGAACGCCGGTTCTCGAGCCGATCTCGTCGCTCCCTTGGCTCACTCCACTACTGCCGCGGGGGCCAATGCCGTCGCTGAGGGCTCTTACGGATCGAACTCCTTGGCCTCGTCCACTGCCACAGACGGCTGGGTGGAAGTCCCTCGCGACCCTTCCGAAACTATCGTAAGCGCCGAGATCCCACCAGCTCAAACAGAGGGCGTTGCCGAGCCGGAGAAGAAGGAGCAGTCTGGTGGTCGTGGACGGGGCAGAAATGGACGCGGTCGTGGCCGTGGCCGGGGCGAACACCGTGGTGGTGGCCATGTGGCAACCCGCGGTCGTGATGGTGGACGACGCCGTGGACGTGGTGGAGCAAATGCCGAGGCTGGGAATGGCCAGGCCTCAAAGTCTCCAGTCAAGGCGACGCCCACAACCTCTGACTAATTTTCTGCTCTGGTGTTATGGATGATGAACGTCACGAATTTTCTTTTCTGCAGGATTTGATCTTCCTTACGAAAAGTTCTCCCATTTCTGTTTCTCCGAGCATGCATACCAGACTTCTTTTCACATGTATTCTGCATAATATTTCTTCTCCCGGGAAGTGATAATTCGACTGCAAGGTCCCGAGTGGACATTGACGATCTTCTCTGACCATTTACTCCCTAGTCTGAATGATTTCAGTAAATCCTAGCAATGTTGATCCCTTCAACCAGCGGATGGGGCACTTGTCTAGGGAAAATATCGGTCTACAGTACTAGCAGTACAATAGGCCTTGCGTTGAAATGAGACAAGGGAGAAATAGGCATTGCATCCGGGTCTTATTTCAAGCAGCTTGCGCCAAGGTGTGTATACCGATTCCACTTTGTGTAGAGCTGGCTCTACTAATGTGAAAATGGCTTGCTCTTTCACGAGATGCTGCGAGTCGAAGGTGCAGCATCTCCGTACTGATGTCTTCTGAGTGAGTGTTCTGGGGTATACTGGCATAGTTGCCGATCATATCGCGCAATTGACTGGTCAGCGTTTCTAGAGCTCTCTGCTTCTGACCCAACTACGACTCTTCCTCATACCAAAATCAGGCTCAGTGGTATATTGCCATGGCTCCTCAGAGTAGCCTTCAAAAATGATTTTTGCATACAACCTTCTCCCCAATGCGACAAGTTATTTTTCGCTTCACTGCCAAGTAGCTCCTGCAATGACCAACGCTGGGGTCTAGGCATGTCTTCAGTTGTTATCCCCGGGCCACCGGCAGCCCCATGAGAACTAGCTGAGGACTTGTTGATGAAAACATGCAACAGTGTTCATAGGCGGGGTCTTTGACTTTCGTACCGAAGCTGCTCAGCTTGAAAAGCTAGATTATCAGTCAAAGAAAGTCTGACCTCAACTTAAGAACGTCCCTGCCGCCGGGCCTCTCCCAGTGGGCGCAGGATTCATTACCTTCAGCCCTGCAGGATTTGCTAAGAATGCGATTGCAGTTCCCAAAGCTGCGGCCATTTGGCTCTCTTAGCCAGGAGCTGATGCAGACCATCTCCCCATGAACCAAGCCGTTCGGCAGGCAAAACATGAGTGGAATTCTCAAATATTCGTGCAAATCGGGACAGTTCATGCTGCAGGGTGCCGGTGTTTGTTGCTCAAAGGGGCTGTATCTAAGGGCAGCAATGGGCTCGAAGCGCTAGCTTGGTATCGCTGTTGTCCGAGATTTATGATACACTGACAGCCACTGGAAGTATCCCGAACACAGCAGTCCTCGCACATGGGGGGCATTGTCAATGGCAGAGGCCGGGAACACGAGCATGTATAGACAAGGGAAGGGAGAATTCAAATTATAAGCAAAGCTAATGATACCAAGTCTGCTGCAACTACAGAACGTCCAGTCCCAGCACAGATCAAAAAAGCCATTGTATCCACGCATGATAGTGCCTTGTCTACTATCAAATCGGTTCAACAGGACCTTTTCAATTCTACTGACGTCTTTCCTCGACAATAAGACGGCAGAGCTGTACTCGGAACCAGTCACCACAAATCGAAGAGAGGAGCCACTAAAGAAGAAATTATTCAGCGATACAAAGAAGCTATCTCGAAGGAAGAAGATAATCGCCGCACCGCATGGACGTACGTATCACCTTTCTTGGGTTGTACTTTACCTTCCTAAAGCACGTCGCTCTGTATGGGAGCACTCATAGGAGTCATCAATGAGCTGGTCTCAGTGGCTGATCTGATGAATACTAATCGAAAAAATGTGAAGTCTGCTGCAGAAGGGACTAGATCACTGACCAAAAATTGGAACTAGCATTCACTATTTCACCATTGCGAGTTCCACTACGGTATTGTAATTCTGCCTACTTCTTTATGTTGAAAGCGGACTTGAGAATATACATAGGTGACTATACGTAACATTTTTCCTATGCAAGGTGGGGCTTTCCTATCTTAGCTGCCGCCGCTTTTATGAGGGCGCTCAGAGTCGGACTCACTGAGTAAATTTCAGTCCGGGCGCCAGACTCACTGAGCTGCTCAGTCCTATCACGTGATAATCAGTGAGGTCCACTGAGCGCTCAGTGAGTCTGATTGGCTGCTCACTGAGCCATCAGTGATTACTCGGATATTCATCATAGTTATCTATTTCGCACCCAGTCGAAGCTCAGCCTATACCCAAAGGAGCGCTTTGCCCCACAGTTCTGTTTATCTTCCCACCTACTTTGTGATGGACCTCAATTTTCACTGTGCGGGTACTTTCTGAGGTGCTCGATCCTCTGAGCTCTTTTCCCCTCAGAAAATGACTGACTGGGGCATGATGACGCAAGAATGGTGGGCCTAGCTCGCCCGCCATGCACTCACGTAGAAAGAGGGGTTCTGCTCTTATCGGACGCTAAGATCTGTATTTAAGTCGTGAAGTATAAAATGCAGCTATGTCCCTCCATTTCAACCGACATCACATATTCTCTTTGTCGTTTACTCTACTCTCTACTTTCATTCATTCGTTCTGGCGTTTTGTCGGGATCCTTCCAGTCATGGGTCAAAAGTCTTTCTTTGCTCAACAAGATGAGGCTGCCAAGAAACTGGCAAAGAGCGGCTATGTATTTGGCGCTCATGCGGAAGAGGATGCCATCCGTGGAAAGGATAAAAGAATAGTCAAGACCAAGAAGATATATTCTGACGCTGTCCGTCGTTGGATGGTGTGAGTTGTGACGTACTTGTCCAGGATTGCCCGCCGTATGCATTGCTGACTTGCTCTTAGCTTCGTTGAACAAAATGGAATCAAGGGCTATGATTCTAGGCCAGTCTGTGCCACTCCAGACTATAAGCTCCTCAAAGAATTCTTCCGCTGGTATGGCCATACCGCACAAGGAAAGAAAAGTAAGAATGGAAGACCGGTGATGACATCATTTCTCAACTGTGCCGAAAGGCTGTTCGGCGGGTTTGAGGAAGAATTGCAAATCAATATTGTGATGGAGGACCGAAAGGAGATATTCAACGTAAGTTTATGCTAAATTCCAAGGTACAGGCAAGACTAACCGCACTACAGTGGATAAGGAGAACATTGGCAGGCACGGAAAAGTGGGTTGAGAATGTTGAAGATCCAGACCACAGCTTCACCAAGAAGGATTTTCTGCGAGTTATATCGTCTATATGGCAGTCAGATCATCGCCAATTCATTCCCGGGTTACTGAAGGCTATCATCACGCTAGCTCTTCAACTATATCTTTTCACCGGAGCAAGAATTGGAGCTTTTATACCAGCCTACGAGGAAAGAGGCGAAAGAGGCCTAAGATATAAGGTGAGTATATTCTGGCATTGCAGCTATGCTAGGCTAATTCTTGCCTAGCACATAGAGCTGGTCTTATTTCCATCCTTGACGGCCCCCTGGAAGGTCGAGTGGAAAGTCAATCAAGTGTGGCTAAAGAATAACCGAAACCCAGACTACACTGTGTGAGTGAACAAAGAATTCATTCATTAGTATTCTGCCTATCCAGGAGTGTTCACATGCTGATATAATTTCAAGGTTTGGAATTGGAATCCGTGACACTAAGAGACCACAGTTTGCATCTGGCTATGTCCTTCTAGCTATTGCCCTTCAGCATGGTGCCCTATTTGGCATCGAAACAGTGGAGGACCTAGCGCAGTATGATCTTTCAGATGGACGACCAATTCCGTTACGCTGGAAGGATGAATATTTGGATAAGCCTGTGCTCAGAAATGTCACGGCCAACGGCCCACAGGATGTTCCACTCACCAAGGAGCGATTTTGTGAGATACTGCGTGGGAGAGTCACTGCGGCTGGATACAGCAAGAGTCTGAATATTCATAAAATTCGGAAGCATCTGGGAAGTGTAATCGAAGGTGGGACATACTATTTCCGACGTTGGGAGATAAAATATAGCTTTACTAATTGCTGGTACAGGAAAGCATGGTTCTGCATTGGTATCGCAAATATACGGACACAAAGATGCGGGAACATATCCTAAACACTATTTATTACACTGCTCTTCGATCGATACTGTTTCGGCTGTTCTAGGTGAGGAAGATCAGTCGAGTCACATTGAGTACTTCCAAGGATTTGAAAAGTTTTATGAGTGCGGACTTCCGGGGGAACTGCCAGCGGAAGTCGAGCAGAATATCCTGCTAAAGCCGGAATTGGTCGAGATCAGAAGTCGGATCGAGAAACTTGAATCCTTACATGGAGATAAACTATCCCTCGCTGCGGAGCGACTGAACTACAGAAAGTCCCTGGTTCGATGCCGCCTTTCTGAGCTGAAGAAATACCAAACCAGCTGGATACGGGAAAGAAGAGACAAAAGAATTCTCAATAAAGGGAAAGAGGAGCGGGCGCTTGATGATGATGATGACGTTTGCACGCGGGTTCAAGCTTTAATTATGCCTGAAACTTCACGAATTTCAACCTTGATGCATTTTGACGGCGAGCTTTCCTTCAATGAAATGCTCCTTTTTGTTGAAGACCTAAGGAGTCACTGTGAACGTGACTTCGATGTGGTCTATCTTCCACAAGAAAGCCCCATTAAAGGTCGCTGTCCCGCTACAGACTGCAACGAAGAGATTACACGGTGAGCAGTGTAACTGTAGGATGATGAAACTATACTAATGTTCTCAGTCTGAAAAAACTTGACAGGAGTATCCACATTCACAACTGTGTTCGACGCGAGATTTCTTTGGAGCTTGGTGTCTCAGAATCAGAGTTGAAGTTTTGCTACGAGTGCATGAAGTGGTTTCAGTTAACTCACTGGCGAGACCACTGCTCTTCCCACCTTCAGTCATGGGGAACTCGGCACTGTGAGGTGATCAGTTATCGTCACACGGTGATTCGCCCCGGCTACTGCCCCTTTTGTTTGTGGAACAAAGATCTTGTCGCTGAAGACCGCTTACACTACTGGTTGACCAGTGGTAATTTGAGACAGCACATTGAAGAGCAACACATGAACGGAGATCAGACCCCTGGAACGAAGTCGATATGCGGATGTGGCCAAATATTCGACGAAGAACGTCGCCTCAGATACCATTTGCATGACATTCACGGGCTAAACAAAGCCATATGGCTAGAACCGACGCGCCGGAAGAAGAGAAAAAATGCTTCCAAGACGGAAGCGCAAAAGTCATCAGCAAAGCCAGAGGAGCGATGCTCTAAAAGAGCTCGCTTTTACCACTATCCGCCTCCACGTCACAAGCATGAATATCAATTATCAAACCAAGTTTTCATGCCTGTTCCCGCATTGCATGCCTTTGTTGAAGAACATCCAGAGCAAGATTATTGTTCAATTTTGAGCGATAAGTCAACTAAAAGCAGCGATAGTAGTTCAGTTACTCCCTGCTCTGCGACAAGTTCTCCGCTCTGCTCACAACCGACAACTTCTGGTTTGGATGTCATTGATCCAAGAATCCTCACCCCGTTAGAGGCTGACCAAGCCTGGCGACCTCAACTCTGTGGTCAGGATACAATGGAAACGAACATGCTTGAAATTCCTCTAGATGGGCAAGATAACAAACCCCAAGCATTCAGCTTTGGAGCACATCCAGGGGATCATATTCAAGGTGTTGCCGATCAAAACATCCCTAATTTGGTGGCAATTGGTTCTTGCTCTCTCGAGCCGCCTGATCATAACACAAATGGTGCATACGAAGCTCGTGGTGAGGTTGCCAACCAGCTAAAATCCCCTAGCCTATCTCCAATCAAGGTCAAGGCCACAGAGATGGCCACAGAGAAGGCCACAGCAGTGAGTTCTATGCAATTGCACATTCTGAAAGTGCCCACCACAAGCGAAGTGAATGCGGAGAAGAAAAACTCGCGAGATGCCCAACCCGTTTCCGAGTCAGACAACCGCATATGTTTTAATGTGGAGAACAAGCTAGAAAGTCATCCTCCCGCCCATCAAATACTCATCGATGCGATCACACCTCTTGGTGGGGGTTCTACCACTGATCTCAACAAACCTCTTACTCGAGCCCGGGCAAGACAGCTGCCGATGCAACAGTTCGTGAACCGTTCGACAGAGAAAACACTCCGACAGAAGCTTAAGCCAACGGAGAAACGGAAACTTCGTGAGCTCAAGAGCCAAAATTGGACTCTGAGGCAAATTGGGCCTCATTTTGCGGATATAGATATGACCTGCTTACGGCAAGCTTGGACGGATATCACACCTCCTCAGCGATGCACTCGACCACGGGCTAATCTGGTAGGATAGTTAAGCAGCTGTTACAATCGATAGCGGATACAGCTTCTACCCTGACGCCTGCTTTTCTTTATTCAGTCTCCACTGCCAAGTCATTAGCGCGTAAAATTATTTGACGGCTAACGGTACGGTAATAAGCACTCAAGGTAATGCTCTGTATACGAGAGTAGACTTACGGTATTATAATTACGGAAGATTACACATTGGTTTCATTATCCTTTCGTCGGGGTGTACTTGGGTATTGGATAGTGCACGTGACTATAATTATGCAAAACGATTGGCTGCTCCGGACCCCTCGCGCAACCCGCAACTTACTGTGGGAACCGTCCATGTGCGATGCATCGTAGTAGTCATCAGCACGGAAACCAATGATATGCGAGTAGCCAGCTCATATTCTTACGTTGCTAACATTCCATCTTCTCAACTAGAATGAAAGAAAAGAGAGACTTTTGGTGAATCTTCTTTAAGATTTGGAAGGACCCTCAATATTAAATGCTGACATTACTCCCAATCAGGAATGTGGCTAGTTTATATATGGAAGTGATCAATACATCCAGCCTCCATATAAAGGGCGGTTTAATGTCCTGAATGCTGGCCTTACATTTCTTTTTTAGTCTATCGTTTGGAGAAAATTAAAGGATATTGACTGTTGTTTCGAAATTGGCTTTATTCATCCGGTGTTTCCAATCCGCCGGCTGATCTGACCTCGACAGTGATTTCAATTTTGAAACCCTAGGGTCTGGAGTGAAGTAGTATTACAACAGTATGCTTTTTTTGTGATTATGAAAATGAGCTGTTGGTTTTCAATATTCGTGCCTGATTGATGCGCGAGCCGGCGAATTGCGTGTAAGTAATCAGTTGTGAGTGACGAATGGGGTCAAGTTTATTGTCCATATCGAACCCTAAAGCTTTAGCAGACCGTGGGTCCAAGGCAGGGTCTGGTGCTGCTTAATGAAGTGGCTTCCAGGCTCCTGCTTTATTGTCGGATTCTTTTATTCGGCCCAAGTATCCCGATACTCCGACTAGCATGAAAGAACCTGACATTGGATCCAAAAGTCTCATAAAGTATTCACTCCAGAAACTATCTACAGAACCTTCCTCTACAATACAACGGAGGGATACCTCCGGCTAGGGTATCTAGCGGAATGAAATATTAGATTGCCAAGTAAAATCTCTCCGGTTGATTTGTCCCGGGTTGGATTGCACTGATGGCGGATAGTTTCGAGAGAGCACGCATGCAAGGGCCAGCCACTGCTTCCTAGTCGCTCTAGGCCCATCATCGCCTGACTCACGGACACTCCACAGCTTGCTTTCTGAGTTTATTGTACAGCGGTCGTAGAGACGGTCTGGCATGATCCGCTCCAGGACAATTTCCACCTCCGCGACTTGAACACAGTCCAGAGAGCCGTGCTTATCAGGATCTCATCAGCGTTCAGAACAGTCGTAAGAGGTTGAGTAACCAGGAGTCGCATGTGTGCAACAAAAATTGTTCCTACAGAGTCGTCAATTTATCGACCTTTCACTGTCACAAAGCCTTGACCAGCTGTCCAGGTACAGATAATAGGCTCTGAAAGGGAATGCACGGATATAGTAAAACAGAGAATACTGTAAACCCCGCCACAGTGTTATTCTGATTCAATGAATCCAGATGTCCGCAGACTTTGAAAAAGAGAGACAAGCGATTTCATTCCCTCCCGCTTGGATGAATGATGTGGATCCTCAATGTAGTGCTAGACATTGCCCTCATATTTAGACCCAACGCTCAGGAGACTTTGAGTCAAATACAAAAACTGAGTGCTCACCATTCGGAGCTCATCCTGGATTGCTACCAGAGACGGCGTCTATAAAAAGCGCTTGGTTTGGTAGCAAAAATTAAGTTTATATATTCTTAGCAGTGTCAGGCATTAATATGGGCTCGCTCATATTGTTCACGCTCTTAAATATTTTGTTCCACCCTTTCCAGGTGCTTGGAATTTCTAGCCACAAATATGGATCTGTCAACCTCTATAATCATTGCCCTATGATTGTTCATGTGATAGGCGTGCAACAGACAGAATACCTTAGGACGCAAATAGAACCATTACGGGCTATATCAATCCCATTGCGGGAATCATTCAGTGGTTTCGGAAATTCCGTCAAAATTACAACACAAGAAAGCGCAAGTGAAGTACTTCAACTAGAGTATAGTACTTGCTTCGACTCAAAGGAGACATGTTTCCCCTCGCAGCAAACCTACTGGGACCTGTCCAAAATAAATGGAGACCCATTGTTTGGACACGGTGTCAAGGTGACTCCCTCTAGCCCGTCCTGTTCTGGAGTCACCTGTCCTGCAGGTGTCAAAGACTGTCCTTTTGTCTACTACAAGCCTGATGACAACATAGCAGTGAAGGAATGCGATAGCCATTCTGATTTGAACGTGTATCTATGTTATTCGGACTGACGAATCAATGCATTCGTACTCTTTATCGCAAATAAAACCACAATAAAAGAAGTATCTACTTTTCTCTGAAATTATTTCCCACCTTTTGCTTTGTCGCTTATGAACACGCGCCAGCAAAGAGTCTAAGGGCGACTCATTAAAGATCTCCCGTAACTACTAAACTCATTACGAATCGCACCTGTGAAATATCCACCACCGTCGAAAGATCTAGCACCATGAAAGGGGTTTACATGTACTCAATACTATCTATAGTCAAATATTCGGGCTGAATATTATATACAAGAGGATTGTTACGGAACAACGCTACTGTCAATGGTGGCCTACGTTGGGGAACAGGAAGAACCAGCAACGGCGCTCGTATTCGAGATACTAGAACTAGAGGGGGGAAAGGAGAAGGGAAAGAGGGAGGAGCTACTGTAGCGACCTATCTACTCCTACGCGAACCTCCATCCCATCTATGCCCACCTCGTAGTTCGGACGGTCCTTTTTCCAGCATCAGGGCGGTGACAGGAGGCAGAATCGAGTGAGCGGTGACACTATACTGTAATAGTTCTAAAATATGTTATACAAAACACATTAGGATAATTAGAAAGACCTATTCTCGTATAATAATAACAGAGAATTTTACTCTTTCTCCTTAAAAATATTCTATAATCCTAAAAATTCCGTTCTAATTTTATATATCATTCTCCTACAGCACAAAACCCATTATCATTTGTAGATAACCTACATCTACATGCTCCTGGAGTCGAATAAGCACGTAGCACAGCGTACCAGCCTTATATATCAATACTGTACTGAACATTTCCTTAAACTCCTACACACCGCTCAAAATGAAAGGCCATCACGCCCAACGTGACGTGGTACCTTGGACGACTCCTCGATAGAGAGAAACCACCTGGGAGCATCCAAGCTGGTGAAAGAATCCTTCAAACTCAGGAGATGAATCAGACATCAAGAATTACAAGAGAAAAATCTTCAGAAAATCAAAGAGCCACGGCCTTTTCCTACCGAGCATAAAGTGAAAACTTTGCTTCTTTGTTGTACATAGTCAGTCTCCTTATCGGATCTGTCATCTAAGTCAAGTTGTGTCGGCTTTTGTGTCTATTACTGCTCAATCATACTAGGGGCCTGTAACCACTTGGTTCGGTGCTCAAATTGGAATGCTCAAATTGGAATGCTCAAATTGGAATGCTCAAATTGGAATGCCCAAAGTGAAATGCCTAAAGTGAAATACTCAAATTCCGATACTCGGAATGGTATGTTCAAATTTGATTAATTCACTCTTGTCACTTTGGAGTTACTGTTGCAGATCTATTACTGAAATTTGGGCAATCAAATCAGAGACCTTCCAATTATAAGTGACTACATACAAACACAATACAATATCACAAAGCTTTAGTAATTCAGCCCTAATTGACAATCTGATAGGAACGCCACTTAGAAGGAATGCACCCCCAGCAGGCCGGATGAGAGACTTAGTATCAGAGCAGAACTATGGCAAAACAAGAGCAAATATTCAGATTGTTCGGTTGTACTCAGGAGGATACCCAAGTGTATTGGAAGTCCTTCACCTGGCTCTACGCTTTGGCCCTCGCTCAGATGTTGGCGTCCCGGCAGCTGAGCACCCAGGCTGCGAATGTTTTGCCGTAAGTATCAAGAGCCGTAAACTATATGCTTATACTCTATCTTCTCCCAGTCATTGAAGAAAGTGTTCAATCTTCAGGAGACGCAAGAAAGGCCACAGGGCTGGCCATCTAAAGCACGGCTGTCCCCGACCATAGGTCCAACGCTATAAACACCTCTAGAAGTGAGGAGTAGCCGAAGCCAAAGATGGCGCATTCGAGGCAGCGCCCGGCTGTAACTTCAAATTGGACTAGACGACGAGATATCTGTTTCCGTATCTCCGAAACGAGGGACCCCTGAGCATACTGGTACATTCGGAGGTGCCAACCTCCCCGGCTCGCCCTTGCGCTCGACCGTATTTCCTGGCTGAGGAAAACGGATGTCCACGCCCTCAGCGGTAATACATCCATTGATATTCGCAATAAACATAGGTGGGAACGAGGAAAGCTCCTCCGGCAACCCTTGAGTGGATCCACCAATTATTGTGATTGGAGCACAATTCATATACATCTCGCGGTTGCCGATTCGATTAAACCACGTCCACGCCAATGTGTAGTTTCCCGGATCAATCCCTCGAGGTATGGCAAATTCAAGACCAAAGGGATGAACAGCCGTCGCACCACCAGCAAGATTACCTTCCACATTTGCTGGGCAGCCGCCTTCAAAGGACTTTATCACCATCCATTTCGATTCTTTCGATGGAATGCGGTCGGTAGTCAAACTGATCTGGCAAGAGCCCCCGCCATGCGTGGCGCTTCCTTCGAGTATCAGAGGATATGTTTCCCCCACCGCGATCATGGCCTGCTCCGCAGGGAGCTCGAATGCGCCGGAGCGTAGTTTGCAGGGAAAGTCACTGCCGTCCGCTGCGAGTGGAGAGTTGTTGAGTGTGTCTCTGCCAAAGGGTTCTGGGCTGGTCAATATCATGTGGGCTCTAGCCCATCCACTGAGAAGCATCAGAAGCCCAAGAGCTCGCGAGGTAGGCATTGCGGCGGGTACGGTGACGGAAATTTTTACTAGTTGTAAGTTGAAGTGAGGGATATGCCGACTTCGCTAAAAGAGTTTCTGGCGGAGCATGCAGTTATATAATAATACGCGTTCTGCCAATGGAGAAGAGCTCAATTTTAGGTAGGTCTTCTGGTCTGCAAAAAAGAAAGTCCGTGCCAACCGCAGTTTTAGGAGTTGCTTGGTTCAACCCAACCTTAAAGTTAACAAACCCTGGGATCGTGAGAATGACAGAATAATGTAGCATAATAGAAAATGCGTACTGCAATTTCTGTAATGAGGCCACTCTGGATCAGAATGTACTTCAGAAGAAAAAGCTCTGTTTTAATAGCTACCAATAGGACCAATCATTCTGACTGAAATTTGGTTCTATTTCATAGCCGCCGGTCATGCTGAGGGAGGTTGCAGCCCAAGGCCGGGGTGGTTTCTTTTTTTTTCTTTTGAATTTAAAAAGCAAATGAAAAATGGAAAAGGGTTATACACCAAGACACCGTATCTACACCTGGGAGGACTCGGACCAGGAATCAAGGCCCTATGCGCTGGGGATAACATCAAGAGCCTTCTGCGACAGTATGCCTTGTTCTGTTGAGCAGCTTTTCTGGTGACGTCTCCTACAAGCTGAATAGTTTTTTTTAGGCGTAGTGCCTTTAGGCTAAGTCGGCTACCTGGAGAGGAAACACCATCTAGGATGCATAGACTGCTCGAAAGTTCCGGAATGTCCCATGTAGTTAGCTTCCAGGATGATGAGTAATTTTACTCATCAAGTTACGATAAAGTTCAAATCTCCATATATAATAGCATCATAATCCTCCGATTCCTACCCCGTGGAAACCAAATCATTATGGACTTCCTAATCTTCTATGCCATTGTAGCAGGGAGCTTGTTGATATTTTTTTTTTCTACTCCGGATCAGTCCATCATTGGTAAGATTATTTGGACTCCTATTACTGACAATAAACAAGTACCTGACATACCCCTACTTGTGGAGTCGTCATAAGTTGGTTGCTCCTTGCACTCGAGCCGAGGCTTTGTTACATGCCGCGTACACCGTGCTAAATGTATTCTTTGTTGCTTTCAAACTCCCATCAGCAACAGTAGCGAGAGACCGTGCCGGAACACTATCAGTCCTCAATATTGGATTTCTCTTCTTGACGCATCATCTGGGGTTCCTTGCAAATGCTTTGGGTCTTTCATTGGTAACATACAAACGTATCCATCGGGCCGTGGGTTGGATGAGTGGTATTGTTCTTTTGATACATGTGGTAATGGCCATTATTGTGAGAAAGAATAAATGGAGCCTTGATCAGATTAACAATCTCTTCGCGCTCATTGTGTGTCCCCTCCACTCGAAATAATGATAAAAATTAACTTTTCTCTCAGGGAGCCGTGGTAATGGCGGCAATTCTACTACTGTCTCTTCCAGTCATACGTCGTTTCCTCTACGAACCATACCTTCGATTACACCAAGCCCTGGCAGCAACTTGTCTTTATTCCATATGGCGCCATTTGCCATCTGATACTTTATTGCCGCGGCTATACCTCTATATTCCTCTGGGGATAATGCTACTTGGGTTTCTGATTGAAATATCGCTATTTCTTATACATAATGGAGTGCTGCCTCCCCCCCTTACACTCGTGCCTATATCAAGTGCGATATATTACAGCAGACACCGATTCAAGACAAAGAGAATACACCCTTGAAATTCAGAGTGGCCCTTCCGAGGCCCCTGGATGTGCAAGCCGGCCAGTACATATGTATCTGGATACCAGCGGCAACTCTCTTCTCCTGGGCTCAGATACATCCGTTCATGGTAACATCTTGGTCCCCTGAAAAGCAGGACGTCCTTGAGCTTTTTGTTCAATCTAAAAAGGGCCTCACCGAGAACATCCGTCACCGAGCAGCTCTGGAGGGCCATACGTCCTTGACGGCCTTCGTTAGCGGCCCATACGGCGTAAGCAAGTCTGTCGACATGTATGAATGCATCCTAGCAGTCGCAACCGATTTTGGCATTGCAGGAGTCATCTCTTATCTTAAAAAGCTTCTATATGGGTATAACACCTCCACCTCGCACGTCCGCCGGGTGCACTTTGTATGGCAAGTTCAAACATTAGGTGAGTCCAAGCCGCCATCTATGTTATTAGCTTAATGCCATACAATTCTAATGTCTTAGACATTGCTGTAGCAGCCCAACCATTACTTAATAGTTTACTGAGTGACGACGTCTTGGACGATGGCTATGTGAGTGAAACCCCTTGGGAAAGCTTAGTTCCTCTGACCAACCGAGAAAGATTCTCGAAATGTCATTTTATGTCGCATCAAATGAGATTGTAGAGCATGGCAAGCCTTTCGGCCACCATCGCCGAGCGACAGTCTTCAATGGAACGCCGCATTACGAGAACATAATTGCAGAAGAGGCCTCCGGCCGGAAAGTCAGAAGATTGGCGAACACACATGAAGTTCGTGGTGATGTGCTTGTACTTGGTATGTCCTTTCTCTCGCACCGCAGAATATACGCTTACCCCTTAGTATCTGCATCGCCTGAAGTAAGGGATCGCTCAAGAGAAACAGTTCTTAAACACCTCGAAGATCGAGTACGGCTACACGAGACAGAATTCCAACCTTCGTAGGAAGGACGAAACACATGCCAAAAAGGTTTTTGCTTTGCTAATTAGAGGATGAGAAAGTGGGGTTGGGTGAGTGCGCAATGGCCCAGCTGTCACGGTGACCACTCGATATTGGAAAGATTGTTCGCCAAAATTGGCAGATCGGACTTATCCTGCCCTCCTAGCTTGTAAGCACCCATAATCATGATGATGTATAAGAATATCTCTCAGCCACGCAAATGAAAATCAAGAACCCGGCATAATGTACGACCAAGGACAAGCAGATAAGGCCATATCAACAAGAAGAATCTCCTGCCAATGAGAACCGATTCGCCGATCAGACCTATATAGAGCTAAAGGGTTGTAACAGCTTGTGAGAAAACAGATTTTTGGCACACAACGACCAAAGTGTTCAATTGCATAGATTAATTGAGTAGTTTGCTCTACCTGCAGGCCACTTTGGCTGCGATAGAATCATCCTTTTGGTTTAAAACACCCAGGATGGCGTTTCTACCGAATAAGACGTAATTACCAACCATTTGAGATGAGCTATCGGAGGCTGATTTCGGCCTCTATGAATATAAATTATGTTGTAATTTTCTTGCCTTCTTCGGTCTTCCTTCCCAGCGACCACAAAATGGACAAATACCTTCCGTTCTAATAGGTATATCTTGCGAGTGTTTTCTGAGATACTCACTTCGTCTTGGCTCTTTTTTGTTTCTCTTTTCTGCTATCTTCAATTTCTATCAGAGTAATGCCTCTTTGCACAGATGATCTAAGTGTCCTATGGGAAGATGAAGATCCTATAGAATGGGATACCTGGCTTGCAACGGATGCATTTCAGGATAATGAGAGCCCGAACCTCTCATATTTCACCTCAAACTACTTTGAGTATAGCAACCAGGCTCCTAATCAACGAGAACATACTCCTCGTGCTCTCATGAAGCAGTCAGAAGGTCCCCTCTTAGTTACATCTGAGGGCATAGCTAAGTGTAAAACCTGGTCCCGTGAAGGTTCTGCTGTCTATAAAACTTGCTAACCATGGACTTCTGACAAATAAAGCTTTATCGACGGCATATTCTTCCCAAGAGCCAAATGATCTCCGCGCGCTATGCCTCTTAGACAGGAATCCGCAACTCAAGCAGCCCACAGATGAAGGTGGCTTTATGAAAGAGTCGGCCACTCTGAGCATATGCGAAACTCTGATGGATCAACATGGCTCTTTCCAGCTCGAAAATGGAAGCCAGCACAATGCTCTATCCTTAACAACAGAGGCCAAACCGCAGTCTACTAAGGTGGATACACCCAATTCACTGAAACAGCCAGTTCTGATTTTAGAGCGGACGCATGAATATACTGACTGCATAAAGACAATATGTGAAATCACCACTGGCCAAATGTTGACTGAAAGTCAATCTCAAGAAATCAAGAATTGTGGCGATGATCTATTAAAGGCCATGCAGTCAGAAGGCGTGGTTACGAAGTTAAAGTTACTTCTGGCCGAATGCCATATGCATACATTACTTGATGTTGACTCAAACCGCTTCAATTCCTCAGTGACAGCGTGTGTGACATATTTGGCTTGTATCAATTCTATAACCGGTTCCGGTTCGAACTTCAATGCTGTGCGGCGCCGTATTGCACAAGTTTGTCTTCATATCCATTTCGAGAACCTGATCAATTCTTTGAAGACGTCGGAAAAGAAGGGATTTCCTATAAGGCGCAATGGTCGCTCGATTTCCACGATTGCCAGGGATTCAATTTTACAGGCTCTCCATGGCCATCCATTCTTTCCACGGAAAACAGATCGGGATATACTGAGTGACCAATGCCGCTGGGGTGAGCGTTGGTGGAAAATGGCTACTTGCATTGGCCTTGGTGTTTTGATTCTAGCCACTGACGACTTGGCAAGTCAAATGTATATACACACAAGCCCCGTGGTGTCTCCAACTGCTTGAAGTACTAACTCTAAAGCAGAGGCAAAAGGACAGCATTTCGAAATAAAATGGTAGATACGTTGGGCATTTATCTTCTGAACCGCTACCCATCTATTGCTAGTCTCTACCAAATATTTGAGCCTTTTGCTGTTGGCCTTATGCTAAGTGGTGATAGATCTTGCTCTCATGAAGACCTAGACTATTTCCTACAAGCACTTATAAAGAGTGGACCACATAAGCCAGACAAGCCGGAGAAATGGCATTTGCTCAATCTCGAATCCCAATCGCAGCTTGCGGCTTCTCGTCTGGTCTTATTACAGCGTTCCCAGGCTACTATTACCAATCAAAAGTGTTGATTTTGGTAACATCTACACTACAATGTCATGCAATGATTTGAAAATGATAGATACTGCCCTGGTCCTTCGCTCGGATAACTACTGCATATGTCACTCGGTTTTGCTGCCCGTCAGCTTCTTGGCGTAAGAGAACCTCGGACTATGGGGAGAAAGGACAGAGGACTTGTGTTGAAAATTTGGGTCTTAGTTGTTTCTGTTTTTCCTTTTCTCTTCTTCTTCTTCTCCTTGTCTTTGGTACATATCTCGAATCCCCCGCTACTATTTTCTCCCGGTAGTAATTGGCTTTGTCGAAAGTTGCTGAATAATTGTGGATGTTCACATATCAGTATATTTGTGCTCCGCTACAGTATCACTTTGTTACTTTCGCCGTGTCTGGAAACCATGAAATCCGTGGATAAAATCCAAATCACGAAAATTAGTCCGCTATTTTTCATAGGAATAGAACATCTTTGCAGTGACTAAAACAACCCGAGCGAGAAGAACCAACTCCCCTAGCAATCGATCTTTCTTACGAACAAGTGGTTGCTAGATAGAATTTAGTGTCATGTTGCTGTACTTGTAGATAGTGATAGGCGTACATCTTTCAAGGACTCAATGGACTTTACCGTCGAGAGTGCGGCGAGAAATCCAAAGGCGTCAGAGTCAACAGGCCAACGATCCACATCATCCACCCCCACTACCCCATCATCTTTAACATATTTCTGCATGATTTCCATGGTAATAGAGGATAGGGCTTTGATGTATACTTTCTGTATCTCGCTTGGTCGACTTTCAATGCACATTTCTAAGCTAGCTAAGAAAAGATTAGCCAGTTAATGCCGACAGTGAGTTTCGAGGTACATGCCGATTTTAACGACACCATCAAGGCCAAGGAGTATATGTCGACTTGTTAAACATTGATGCTTTAGTGATTTACTGCTGAGATAACAGAGACCATTCAAAATCTAAAGTTGTGAGTAGTCTGAGCAGCTGAATTAGAAGAAATGCATACCTGCCAAATCATGGAAGCCAATTCCGTCTCGGTGGGGAACGTAGTCCGACATCCCACGAGTTGCTCCAAAGTGAGCGGAAGGTCATCAACTAGAGCGTACATAGACCCGCCATCCACAAAGCATTCCCTAGCAGATAACAGATTATCATGGTCGAGGGTTTCATACCACTGAAGCATTTTATTTACATCTCCTTTCGTATACTCCCGAATAGCAACCACTTGCGAAGGGCGTGAACGGCGAGCGACAATGAATACCTCACCTGCCAGATTACAGCGAAGGCAGCGGCGAAATGAGTCCCAAGGCGATTCCTTTCTTACAACCAAGCGGCGATATTCATTTTCCCCACACAATTGAGGTAGACCGAAGTCTTTCGTGCCCCCACTCACAACTTTTCGTGTATGCTTGCCCCGGGCCGGCAGTGCTTTGCCTATTTTGGGGCTCGAATTTTTACCTGGTTGAGCGGGCAAATCAAGTCGTTCTGGTTGCCTGCTCAAAGGCGCCTGGTGTGGTTGATTCACAAACAATTCCTTGTAGCTCGCGAAGTCGACAGCTGTGCAATGTTTATCCTGTTTCGACATAACCGGATCAAGCTAGTACATTCGGGGAGGAAGAAAGTAGGCTGATATTGTAGCTGAAAGGTCAGGAGGGGCGACTTTTATAGTTGGAAAGTAGATCCAATTTCTCTGATGCCCTCAACTTGTTTTAGCAATATTGGCCACCAGGCACATGAGTAAGCACTGAATGAGTGGGGACTCTGTGTGGCGCCAAGTATTCAGGAAATATAAATTATTGGGCTTTCGTATTGCCCGAAGTCTATACTACGCTTTCAATCCCTGGTATGGACGAGAATTTCTACACGGAGACCGAGCTTCGGCTTGTGACAGAAAGACATCGAAAGTATCAAGGGACCGCAAAAATTAACATTAGTCAAATCGTTCCTCACCCGTCTGTCTCTCAACATTTGAACGCCAGAAATGTGCAAAGGCTTTGTGAAGTATTTGAAAAAGAAGGTTGCCGGCGACTCGATCTCTACAATCATGTTAGTGCTGTCGTGTCGAGCCAGCATCTTCATGATGCTCTTCGGTTGGCACAGGTGAGTGCCGCCGAAATGATGACCGACCAACCGAATCGATACCCGTACCTGCAATTCAACACCGATCAGGTAAAGTGTCTACATGGTCAACATCGATTGAAAGCTGGTGAGGAGCATTTACCACCCATCGACCAATGGTGGACCGTCGATTTGTACTCGGATGGTAAGCTCGAAGTCTGGAGACTACCAGCAAATCCCTTCTTAACACCCTCAAGATATCAGCGCCGGCCTGCAAACAGCCATAGTTGAAGAATACTCAAATGAAAAAAGCCCGACCGATGGTGAAATCTACCGCAAAGTACGGCAATATAGATACGAGGCAAATGCACACTTTGAGAACCGTTGGCTGGCACGATTGTCAGAGAACAAGGCTAGAAGACTTCGTGGATTGGAGTCTCATCCAAATGTTAGATCTGCTTTTGATTCCTTGCTCGCCATACCCGCTCTAGTAGTCCATGGTATGCAGATCGGTTCTTTTCCACAAGCGCTGGCTATTTGCTGTGATGAGGTAAGGAGTCCTACCTGAAGACGCAGAAGGTACTGATCAGTGTTTACAGGAGATCGTGCATGCGCTAAATAAACTCCTAGAATTCTGGTCATCACTTCTGGAAAATGACCGTATCAAAATGCTCAAGGTCGACCCACATACAGTGGAAGTCTTACAACTTTTGGCACCCGGTGTTTCTTCGAAAGACAGAATAACTGTGAAAGGTCTGGTGCATAGCGGTGAAGTGTTTCCTGGATTCACAGCATCAGAACGCTCGTCGATCTGGAAACGATTGAGAAATATAGAAGGCGTCATACCGTCTCTACATACCTTTTTCAAGAATCTATGGTACCTGGAGTCCTGTGCAAACTGCATGAAACGACTCGTCACACCAACCAAATCTTTCCCGACGATCAAAAGCGCCATGCGTGCCGCGTTCTTACCGTCCGACCCTGACAGTGCGCGTTTCCCCATACAGATATCGGAATCAGAGTTTCGTGAATGTTCAAATACTCATGTGGATCATGCGGAGCTTGGATACAGACAACTTTGGCTTTATGCTATGCGCCACTACCCAAGGTTATCCAAGAAAAGGCAAAAGAAGGACCATATCGCAAAGCCCCAACATGAAACGGTGGATGATATGACCCTATACGACATGGCTATACTTGCAAAAAAGCTTGGATTTAAATCACCTGAGATCGAAGAGCTCATCCAAGAATCACCAGATCGTCAAATCGCCCGAGACGCTCTTCTGAAGGCTCGCCGGCCAGATTGTTACCGGTATGACGAGGGAGAAGTTGAGGCACTCACCAGCAAAATCATCGATTGCTTCTTACGGGCCATCCCTCTTGACCATCGGCCGCCTACGAAATACGCCGGGGAAGAGAGGTCAAGAAAGAGGCTCGACAGGGACACCCTCAAGCCAGGGAGCAGTTGCAAGATCGCCAATTCCTTTTTATTGACCAAATACATGATGGGTCTCTCCCAGATGTACAGAAGGTCACTTCATTCTTTGTGAGGCGGAACGTCTATTTTACATTCTTCACTAAGCTGAGGATACCAGATATGGACATGGACAGAGACATGAGAGATGTACCTCTAGGCCCTGGTTTGCCCACGTCTCCGCTTTTCGTTCCGAGAGATAATCCACCCCAGGATATAGAAATAACATTCCCAAATACATCAAGAAACCGTGGCGCCAGTGCAGACCGGGACCGACAGAGAGAAATACGTCACGAAAGACGCCAAAAGAAGCGAGACAAAAAAGTCCAAAGACGAAAAAGACGACAGCAACGAGAATACCAGTTGCTTCGCTCGGAAAAAAATCCAAGATCCAATCCTGGCAACCTAACAACATCAAATTCTGCATACGAAATGGAGCTTACTACAATTGAAACAATGGAAGGCGGACAACCCAGGGCGGAAGTAGGTCGGATTCTCAGCGAGGAAGAGCGGTCAATGCTCAGCTACGCAGAATCCAACGCGGAACGAACAGAACGAACAGAATCCCCGCACGGTGACCACATGGAGGAGACGGTGGACGTACAGGAAGGCGAAGTGGTAGAGGGAACAAGATCACCATGCTCGACCGGTGGACATGGAAGCACACATGTGGAAACGCGGACTCTCAGCGAGGAAGAACGGTCGACGCTCGGCGATGCAGAAGCCAACACGGAACCTCAGCAATTTGAGGCATCTAGAAGAGAATCCCCGCACGGCGACCACAGGGAGGAGACAGTGGAGGTACAGAAGGGTGAAGCGGTAGTGGAAACAAGATCACCATGCTCGACGGGCGAATATGAAAGCACAATGAGGATATTGGAAGGGCATGAGACACACGATGACAACATGGAAGAGACGGTAGACGTACAGGAGGGCGAAGTGGTAGAGGGAACAAGATCACCATGCTCGACCGGTGGACATGAAAGCACACATGTGGAAACGCGGACTCTCAGCGAGGAAGAGCGGTCAACGCTCGGCGATGCAGAAGCCAACACGGAACCTCAGCAATTTGAGGCATCTAGAAGAGAATCCCCGCACGGCGACCACAGGGAGGAGACAGTGGAAGTACAGAAGGGTGAAGCGGTAGTGGAAACAAGATCACCATGCTCGACGGGCGAACATGAAAACACACTGAGGATATTGGAAGGACGTGAGACACCGACTGGAGTGCGAAGATTATCTAGGTCCACGAGCAGACAAAACCACACGTCGGAAAGCGAAAAGTGGCAACCATATGATGGGACACGGCGGCGGTACCAGATATTACCTGGGCTACCAAATTCGCCACCCCACGATGCTTTGAAGCAGGGAATGAACGCAGTGTTGCAGCCACTTACTGGCGTTCAAGATGCAATGGCAAGGCCTCTCACCACAGTTGACTTTCTCGAGGCACATCGTCGAGCACGGCCTCAGCCAGATGTAGAGCGCAGTCGCCTAGGAGCCACAGAAGCGAGAGATGCTTTGGGCTATTCAAATGGACCAACAGAAGTAGCGGATTCAGAGGGGGATCATGAACAGTCTCAAGGGATTGTACGGCCGGGTGACTCGCCGCGAGTTGATGAAGGCCTACAGCAAGAACCTGGAGCGGGAGCTACTCCTCACATTTCACCGTATGCAAGTGTCGAGGTGGCAGAAGGCCCCAGTCAACCCAAAACAGGCACGCAAGAGGATAAAAGAAAAAAAGAATACCAGGCAGAGACAGAAGCTCCAGCCGAAGCATCAAAAGTGATGATAACATTCCGTGGACGTGATAAACACGGCGCATGGGACCGTATTGTCCATCGAATGGTGGTCGACCGATCCGATCCATCTCCTGTGGAGAGAATGGCGGCAAAGAATGCTCGCGAGCGACATGCTACTTTTTATGATACGAACCTGCGCCAGGTGGCCCCAGCGTTGTGCTTTGACGCGGCGGTCGAAGATGGCACGAATACTCTCTTCGTGACATCTGATGACGACCTAGTCCACAATGAAGAAACTGTGGATTCTATCATGCGGGCAATACAGGATGACAGCGACCGGGGTCGAGCGGCGAAACGCCGGCAGTAGCAACCAGAGACATCTGGCAGCTATGGCTGCAAAGCTACCTTAGACGCCAGTTGGCAGACTGAAAGCCAAGCTTGACGGAGAGCTGTGGACGTAGGTCCAATATGGACGTACAACACGCAACATAGATCCAATATGGACGCACAACAAGCAACATAGATCCAATACAGATAATTGGCCATCTAGGCCAGTAATCTACCTTCTCTCGGCCATGCAGGCTTTCCGACATCTGTCACTTATAATGAGCTTATTAGATATCCAGGAGGACGGTGCGGACGGGCCAGACTATACAGACAGGACACGCGATAGGAATATGTAAACGGCCGAAGGTACAGGCGTCAGCGGTCCTAGTTATGGATATGACGTTTTCTATTGGCGTTTGCTAGCTCGTGTATCTCTCTGATCTGTCCATCACGTGTGCCAATTCACTGAAAAGACGTCCTCTTTTCATTGCGTCCTGAACTCGCTATCCACGCACTAAACGTGTCCATCGCTCCCTGCGGCTCGGTTATCCACGCCCACGAGTACCCCAACCCTTCTGCAGGATGCCGTTACGATCAAAGGCCGACTCCTGGAACGCCCTCGGCGCCGGTGAGGATCGCGCGGTACAAGATGGCATCACCGCACAGCTGAGACAGATCCTTGAGCAGGCCCACCTATCTGGGAGTGAGCTGAGAACCCCAGCAGCACAGGCGCAGCTGCGGGGAGCGGTCGAGGCTCGGATACCTCTGATGCCCGCCACGGTCCAGGCAGCATACTCCGCCAACCGGCGAGCCAGCGTTGAGAGCTTACTCCACTTGACATACCACGAGAAGCATCTCCATGGCCGACAGGACCGTCCTCGCTCAACGGAATCACCTTCATTCTCGATCGACAGCACCCCTGCGACCGTTTCTCCTGGACCGGTGGTCTTACTGTACGACAGCGCCATCCGAGTCTCTCGCGCCGGGGCGAGCCAACGGTGTCGGTTCCAGATCAGCCTGTACCTTGAGCCTCCTAGGAAGGTGTTGGCCAGCACGGCTATCGACGTGAACCAGCTCGTGTTCAGCAAATTCACGGAGGACCTGAAGCAAGAGTTCGGATACGACGATCTGCAGGACGAGATCCTGTGGAGAGATCCTGCGGAGACTGCCGAAGGGCCCCCGCCGGCAAATACCATCCGAGGCCAAAACACGTGGGTGACGGCGATGATTGAGATGCAGCAGGCTGGCACGGCGGCCCCCCCCGGCCGAGCTGGGCCCGATTCATTTCGAGATTGGTCCCCAACTGTCGACAGGTTCGTGAACCCCACCCTCCTCCTCCTCTTCTTCCCGTATCTTCTAATAACCAAGATGATCTAGGATCTAAGCGAGGCCAGGCCGGAGACTCTGCCAGCGAGCGCCACCCAAAGCGGCCGTCTGTTTGTCATCGCGGGAGTGACAGCAAGAGCCCAACAGAAGACCCAACCGCCGATGAAGGGAGGGAAGAGAATACAGGTCCCGCTGTCGAGGCGCGCGCTACTGGCCCTTCCGATAACCCGGGCGGTTGGGATATCGGACATGGCCCTCGCCGTACCAGTGACGCTAGTGATACGGGGGATATAGGCGGCGAGATAGCCGGAGATGCGAACAGCAGTCAGGACCACAAGAGCCCATCCCCTCAGCCAGCCGCGCGTGACCCGCCCGAGGTGATCGAGATCGGTTCGGACACGGACTACGATGCGTCCGAGCTCTTCGAGGAGGCGGGCCTGGTCGACCAGGAAGAACGGTACGCCGACCCAACAACCCTTGCCCGAGTGACTGACTAACCTCCTGATCCTTGCAGACTTCGTCAGTTCCAAGAGGCACTCAAGATCGACCAGTACACCGCAGAGCGATGGGCCGAATGCCGCCGATTCTACCAGATTGCCGAAGACTCCCAGCTGGGAGACCGTCCGTCCGACTTGATCCCGCTCCGTGGTCTGAAACGGCCGTTGCTACCGCACCAGGCCTTTGCGGTGTGGTGGATCCTGCACAGCGAAACCACGACTGGCACGGGCGGGTTCGAGGCGGACGACATGGGGATCGGGAAGACCTTGATTGCGCAAGCCACGGTGGTGGTCGCGCGGTGGGTGATGCGGGCCACCGAGGCCGTGCAGCAGGCGCGAGCGACCAGCGGCGCCACGCACCTGGCGGCCACAAACGTAGACCCTCGCCGGCGATGTCCCAGCGCGGGTCGCAACCCGTATCCGATCTGCTGTCCATGCGAATTCGGAAGCCCGACCGGCCGTCTGCAGCCCAGCTGCGGGCTCCAGCTCTTCATGGTGCCCCCGAAGCTGATGGTCCACTGGGTCAAGGAATGGACGTTGAACGTGGACACGACGGTGGTCGACCTCGAGCTCCTCCTCGGGTACAACCCCGCCCACGCGGCGCTACGGGGCGTCGGCTACCGTTTCGTCAGCCAATTGGATGACTCGCAGAAGGCGCTGCTCCAGTACCGCGAGGCGCAGGTCTGGGGCCACGCAGCGGGCCTACAACGCTACACCGCGGCCACCGGGGAAACGTTACAGCGCGAGCAGCAGGCACACCTGGAGGATATACGTCGGAATCAGCCTCTCGCGCGACCGGGCCAGGATCGGTACGTGATCCTCACGACTCCCAAATCCTTCCAGACACAGGTGGTCGAGCCGCTCGCGGTGCGGTTTTCGCAGGCGCGGCCACGGCAGCGCGGCCCGAAGGGAGGACTCAGAGCACCACAGCCGCCGGTGCGATACTTCTTCCGGGACACAACAATCTGGTCGCGGGCCTTCCGGGACGAGTGCCACGAGGAGAAAGGCCGCCAGACAAATAGCCTCCGTGCCCTTCGCGGCCTCCGCGGGCCCACGCCACGGGTGGGGCCATCCACCGATCCCGCCGACGTTGCCCCAACAACCCCCCCCGCCGGTGTGGTTCATGTCGGGGACCCCGTTCGAGACCTCCCCGGGCGATCTAAGCGGCTACCTCGAGGTGATCGAGCGGCCGCAATGGACCGGCGATGAGAAGCTTCGGTCCTGCGGCAGCGGTGCTCTGCAACAACTCGGACACGATTTCCGCCGGGCCGTCCTCCCCAGCTACGAAGTGACTGCGATCATCGACCGCTTCCGACAGGTTTTGAACCGGATCAACTACCTTTCCCGCAAAGTCTCCTCACACTGGCAGGGCCAGCCGATCATCACCCTACCACCGCATTGTTCGATTGACATCAACTGCCCGATTCCCCCCGCGTTCCTGGCACAGCTCCACCACCTTGACCGCACGACCAATGCGGACTCCCAACGGTTCCCAGGACGAGAGAGGACTCCCGATTCTCGTGCACCCGGGGTCCATCTTCGGGCAACCTTACAGCGTCTCCGGGTTTTCGTCACGTTCCCGGCCCTCTATCCGATCTACCAAGAGCGGTCGGACCTGCCCCTGACGATCGATCGGCTTAGCGAGCAGGGCTGGGACGTCCGACCCGAGGCGTCCTGGTTCGCGACGCATCTGGCGCAAGTCGTCGACCCGAGCCCGAAGCTCCAAGCGCTCTTCCGCATTATCCATGGGCTGGGGGTCGACTTTGGCGGCCGGAAGGAGAAGCTGGTCATTCTGTCTATGTACCCAGTGGTAGCGCTGATTGTGTATCTCGTTCGTCTTCTGCCCCTCTTTCCCCCGCTCGTACATGGATACTAACCGTGGTGGACATATAGGCCGTCCGGGCCGACTTTCCCGAACAGCACGCGTCGCTGATCCTCTCGACGACTCCGAACCGCCAGAGCCTTCTCGATTCGTTCCAGGAATATGATATCGGGCAGGTGGTCGACGGGTGGCCTGCGCCGGGCATCCTCATAGGCACCACGGGCACCCTTGGTACCGGAGTAACGTGCACGCGCGCATTCCGGCTAGTCTTGATGGAACCGTGCTTCATGGGGCGGGATGAGCGACAGGCTTTTGCTCGCATTCGGCGGATTGGGCAGCAGAACCCGCGCACGTACGGGATCCGACTGATTACGGATAATTCCGAATGCGAGACGCGGATCCTACACCGACAGTTCTTCCGGCGGCGGCTCCAAGAGGCTGAGGATGTTCCTAAAACACGAATAGTTGGCTCCCCACGTCCATCGTATGCCAGCTTTGAGGATATGGTATAACATGGGGAGGCTAGATGTCATCAGTCCGTATTAGCAGACTAGGAGATCGATCAGAATGCCTTGGTTATGTTGTCTTAAGGAGCTCCTTAAGTAGGCTACAGTAAATTCAGCTACAGCCCTATATAGTAGTATGAAAAGGGGAGAAGAGTAGAACTATGTAGATGGAGTTGTTGTTCTCCTAGGATAGGCCAGATAGAGTAGACAGGAAAGGCCAGACGCTCTGGGAGGGACCAGCAGAGTGTCAGCGATAAAACCTGTCTTTGCGACCGCCCAACAGCGGTAATCGAGACAAGCACCATGCTAAGCAACCCCCAGTCCAGGTCTTCAAAGATGGCCGACGTGCCATTTTCGCTAATAGAACCTCAACGCGATTGAAGCAGTGGCGAAGTGCCAATCTTTACTACCCCGACTGACGTACGGTGGTCTATAAGAGCCAGCTTGTTGACAGGGTGGCACAGCAACGGCGCTTATATTAGAGATACTCAAATTCAGGAGGGGCGAGAAGAAGAAGAGAAGCCACACCGATGACTTCTTTATCTCAACCTTCTGTAGGTCTCATGACATCTTCCAATATAGGCTGGTAACAGGCGGAGAAATGAGCAACAGTGGCGTGGAACGGTGGTGTGGAATGGTGGTGTAGAACTGTTGTGTGGAACCGTGTCTTGGAGTTCAGTATTGACTCAGTCCATATACATCAGAATAATCCAGTTTCTGGGTCGCTTCTGAACATCCCTTTGATGTGTATGCCAGGTTTGGATTATTTACTTGATCAATGTATCGTTCACATTGTAGGCTAGGGGAGCTGGGCGAGTTGCTAGCTCTTTGTTAACATGATAGGCCTTCTTATCAGTGTGTTTGATGATTGATAGGAGGCATATCTGGATCTGAGCCTTCTGAACAGTAGACAAAGCTGTTATAAATAAATAGTATATGGCTTTATATAGAGACCGGCGGAAGATAGATGATATATATTATAAAGACAGATAGCTGCCCTGCTAGGTGAGAGCAGAGAAGGATCCTTTATATGGCGGTATTTGGCAGAAGAAGAAGAGAGAGAAGAAGGAGATGGCGAGAGGAAGGTGGTATTTATAGATGTAGGGATAGGGAATGATCCGCCTAGTGGCTTATAGACAAACAGCGAGATATTTAAGCGAAGAATATGGTGATATAGAGAGGGTGAATGGTAAGTAAATGTTATAACTCTGAGATTATCACCGCTCACTCGATTCTGCCTCCTGTCATCACCCTGATGCTGGAAAAAGAACCGTCCGAACTATAGTAATATTCGAAATCAGATTTATCTCTATACTCTTCGCCTTTAACTCACGAACCTTATCTGAAACATGCTAACCTAGATAGGGTAAAACCGTCGATCCCCTAGGTCCTAGAATAGAATCTGTATTTTATATGACGCGGGTGGGACCTTGACTCTTGTAAATTACAGGAAACTGTGAGACATCGATACCACTCTACCCCTCCTTCCCCTAAGCAACGGGATTCTTCACCTGTAAATGATTCTTGAGCGACATCCTACACTAGGCTTGCAATAGGGCCCCGAGACTGCCCGCCTCCAAGCTGCATCTTATCCGAGATATGATAGAGAGCCAGTTACTAACTACTACTCAAATGGCAGAAGAGGCCGAGTGCAGCAAGGTCACGATTATAAATATTCGTAGAAACTTGCGGCAGTTCGGCAACGTCCACGTACTCCCCATTCGCATAGGTCGGAAGCTAACTGTAACACCGCTAATGATCGACGCGCTCTGCGACCACCTGTCGGAAACACCGGGCCTTTACCTTGATGAGATGGCTGTCTTCCTCTGGGATGAATTTGCACGATGATCATAACCTCAAGTATCAGAAAAGCCCTGGTGGCTAAAGGTTGGTCTTACAAGGCGGCCCGGCAATATGCAAAGGAGCGTAATGCTGACTTGCGAGAACTTTATCTCTATAATTTATCGGATTTTTACTCGAATCATCTAGTTTATGTGGATGAATCGGGATGTGACAAGAAGGCTGGGTCCAGGTGCACAGGCTGGTCACCAATTGGCGTGGCCCCTTTGTAGGTATCGTAGTTCCATCGCGACCAGCGATATCAGATACTAGCTGCGTATGTGTAGGATGGGATCGTCCTCTCGCGTGTATTTCGCGGTGTAACCGACGGTGCTGTCTTCGAAGACTTTTTAGCTCAGCTTCTTTAGTACTGCGGACGATGACCTGAGCCTAAATCTGTTGTGGTTATGGATAATGCGTGATTCCATCATTCGGAGTGGGTTTTGTAGATGTGCGCGGACGCGGGGGTGAAACTGGTATATCTGCCGCCTTACTCGCCGGACTTGAACCCGATCGAGGAACTTTTTGCTGAGCTAAAAAGCTTTATTAAACGTAACTGGAGTTACTACGAAGTGGACCCCGATCAAGGGTTTGATGTTTTTCTTGTATGGTGTATTGATACGGTCTGTGCAAAGACAGAGTGCTAGAGGTCACTTTCGACACTCAGGTTTTAGAAGAAAACTACTTAATCTCCACCACCCGTTCTTTCCCCACCGCCACCTCCGCTTCCTCCACTTGGCGCGGTGCAAACGTTCAGAATATCAATGAGAAACTGATCAGGTTAGCCATTCTCGATGTCGCAACAAAGAGTCTGGCCGTTGCACGAGCCACGCACTATAGACCGGTCAGCATAGCACGAAGCGAAAATACGCTAGATAGCAATGTGAGGAGGTAGCATACAGCTTGTACACCCAACTCCGATATCGACAGTTTTACCCAGACTCTTGACAGGAACTAGAACCTGGCAGCATTTCGGAGTTTGTTTGCTACTGTAATCAAGTCATTACTAGTAACTTACTCTCTAAATCTGCAATTGTGTTCCTTGAGGAGCCAGTTTCTGTGTGGCATTTTCAAGTCCACGAGGAATCTCTCGGCACAGGCGAGCACTGTCCAGGCTGTAGGCTTTCCATCTTTGCAAATTCGTCCTTTTGATCCTGCGATTTACCATAGAATGAACTCTTTGATCAAGCTGATGCTAGAATCTAGTGAAGCATATATCTTCGAAATGCTGAAATTTCAGAAGCCTTGTCGTACATTTCATGAGTGATTGCGCTTTTAAGAGATTATCTGGCTCAGCTCTGCACGGGCATGGCAAGACTCAATGGACATCTCTTTCGAACCAATGCGGCCAAGACAGATCAATATGCATGCGGACAAGTAAGGGAGACGTGGACCACTTCCTCTTCCGATGTCGGAAGTGGACCGCACACCGGACAGATATGCTTCAAAACTCCCCAGACACACCGACTTGCGATTGATCGTCTGTGCGGCATGCAGGATTGGTTGACATCATGGCGACAACGCCGCCGTGTTCGTCTGGTAAGCCGCCGACTGCACCGAAAGGATGAAATCTTCACCCGCTTTCAAATACTTTGTAGGAAAATGCCAACCGAGAAATCTCTTTACGAATCGCAGATTGGAGAGCGCAGCTTTTCATGCCATCTTGTCACTCACATAAAACCAAAGTGGCTAGAGTCGAAGGAGCAAGAAAATGTCTCTGCAGATCTCTAGCGGTCAGCTTACCAAACCAATTGCATGTTTCACTGGTTTTTTTATTTCGTCATGCAGAATGGTGTCTGCATCAAAAGCAATGGTTAGCCATTGGGTGGCAATCTATTGTTTGCTAAACTTTGTGGGACTGCTGTTCGACTAGCGGTGAGACGAACAGGCTGTCTTTTAGCGTGGCTGGCTGAACGATATTCATGATTATGACGTAAGTGGGAGTAGGTTGCCAGTCTTGCGTAACATAGCTGGCAGGTTTTGATTGGCGATTACGATTATTTACGTTAAAAAAAGCTTTCCCGTCAGCTATATAGATCGGATTCACGTCTTTCGGACTCTCAAAATTTGTGGAATCTAACATTATCTCTCTGAATATTATCGCATATATTGCTTCTTTATCATAATGTCCGGTAAGCCTTTGTGAACACTGACCCTTTGTGAACACTGACCCTTTGTGCAGGGCTATACAGGAGCTGACCATATCCAACAGGTGCCGCCGTCAATCTGATCGAAGGAGACCCGTGGCAGGCTACCCAGGAAGACCTGTCGCCGGATTATGACTATCCTGGGGATGGAGAAAATATACAGAGATTTGACTGGTCCTTTGGTCCCGTGATGGTATGCTACAAAACTTATCGCCCTCCCAACAGGATTTTAACAATTAGCGCGCAGAATGTTGGTTACCTGGATCTGGACACCTTAGAAATCACAGTGAATCCAATGTATATGGGCATTAGTGCTGGAACCTTGACAGGAAACTTACGGGATGGAGTGAAATTGAATATCAGTTACCACCTGGGTAAAGGAACACAACATTGGTATCTGAAAAACGGCAATCAGTTGTGGACGCATGTTGACTTCAGTGTCAGCTTCAATGGAAGCTATCAAGGCGCTTACAAGATATTCAGTTTGTAGAATCCGCTAACTGACTATATCTCGAAATTATTATCAAATACGGGCAAAATCAGCTTCGAGCGTACTGTGTATCTAAGCTCTACAATAGAACTTTGTAATACGCTCATTTAAGGCAATATGCTCATTAAGCTACCAAAAATCTGTAAAGCGACAAGAATCGTGGGCTGCATCTCGATAGCCGTCCAAATAATGTCGGTACAGCATTGTCAAATCGGTTACTCAAATTGCGCTTAGTACTATCATTAACTGAAACGACAATGGCTGTGTCGTCAGCTATCACTCGACGATTGCGGGCAACTTTTCTTCGCAAAACCTTTTCTAGCTTTTTCTCCAAGAACAGCTGCTAGAAGGCGCTTGGGGCTAAAACGAGGTCATCCTCTGTATCCTTTTCCACCTCCCGATTATTGACTGTTACTCGGCACTCAATACGATAGTGGATGCAGGTCGATGGATCCTGGTCGTTTACTCTTCCTTCCTCCCATTCAAACAGTCGGAGCAGCCTAAGAGCATCAGGTTGGGACCGATTCTCAATAACAGAGGGAGAGGGACTGTAGTTGGATCGCGTGTCGTATGGACTGCCATAGTATCCAGGAGTTGGAGCGTATTGCGAGTCGTGTTCCCCGGGTTGGGTAGCGTCGGGCTGAGAGGTCAAGTTATCGTAATCTGGGTTCTGTGTCTTTTTTTGCAAATGAGGGCAGTTCTTGCCAGGTCCATGTCAGCTTTCTTAACGGTCAGCTTTCAACCGACAACGGCGACCAATGAAGACTGCAGTGAGTAGCAGTAGCCACAGGAAGAAAATGCATATTTCCCTGCCAGAGTTAGTACAATGCAGCCTTCTATTATCTGGTGTCAAAAGGAGTGTAAGCGAAGGCTGCGTGTGGCGGGGAGATCAAAAAGAAAGCAAGGTGAAGTTGGCGGGGGAGGGGGAAGAAGGGAATCTTGCCAGATTGTTATGGTAGGTCGACCCCTTGCTTGGTTTCTTTGCATGAAAGATTCTATAAAGTTCCAAGGAAGTTACGGTATTATAACAATGACCCACTCGCTGTTACCAGGGCATACAATACAGCCTGACCAGTTCCTGCGGGAAAGGCTAAAATTAGACTAGCGTGTTTTAAGCTAGGGGTCGGGAAAGCTAGGGGTCGGGAATGAAAGTCCAAGAGTGTAGAGGTAAATCTGATTTCGAATATCACTGTACAAGGTGGGCATAGATAGGATGGAGGTTCGTGTAGGAGTAGATAGGTCGCTACAGTAGCTCCTCCCTCTTTCCCTTCTCCTTTCCCCCTCTAGTTCCAGTATCTTAAATACAAGTGCTGTTGCTGGTTCTTCCTGTTCCCAACGTAGGCCACCATTGACAGAGATGAGTCAACTTTTGAGTTCTAATAGTAGAAGCTACCAATCAGAGGTCAGAAGATGTTATTATGTGTAAGTCAAACAGAATGATTTCTGGTCTTGGATAACACTGTTTCCTTGGATTATTGTTAGCTATCCTAAGGCGATAACTATTTATTATTCATAATCGATAAAACAGATAAAGAGTGATAGAAAGATCTATTAGTTAATTTTAGTATATTACACCGCTGAAATAAAATCATTAATAGAAGGCTGAAAAGAGAAAGAGTTATAGTCCACCGAATCCAAGAGGCGATAAAGATAATTTAGGCGTTGTGGATCTGCTCAGCACTCTCCTAGGAGCTACTAAGGCGCCCTACAGAATAGCCGCAAAAAATAAAGGACCGAAGAATTATTGATCTATTTAAGAGCTTGTCATTCCTGGCCCTCAGCTTAAAAAAAAAACCCCCTTCTTCAAAACTCATATCGAAGATGCATCCAGAGTCAGACCGGAGAAATGCCGAATTCTTTACAGCCACACAAGAGCTTTCCTGGCGGCTTCAATTCGGCATTTGCCAGAGTTTGGTATTACCAAATGCCTCCTCGTCACCGCAGCAGTATGCCAGTTAGGACCAGCGTTCGAATACAAGCGTCGAACAGTCGCGAAGGACAGAATCCGGCCTTTCCAAAAGCCCCCCTCTGAAGGTTCGTGCAAGCTACATGTTCTGGATTGACATCTACAAGTCGTATGGTCACACATTCTAAAGCCTTTATGTACTGTAGGGCCAGACGAATATCGCAACTGGGCAAAGTGACCCAATTTGGCCTAGTCATCAGGAAGGAAATACATACGGTCTAGCCATGGGCAAGTGCTTAGTGGGATTTGTTTTTCCTGCTTGCTTATTTTCAAGGACTTGACTGGTCTAAGATTGTAGATACCTCATCTATGTAGACTTTGCGATGATATATTATTCACTCGATGCTGCTATCTGCCACCCTTGAGTATTAGGGGTAATCGTCTGAACTACGGAAATTGGGATGCCGAGCTTAAAGTTTCGTATCTCCCATATGTTACGGACCCACTTCGGTTGAAGAAAATAAGTCAACCACGACCAACCGATCTGTCAAGATTGACACACACGTGACAGGGGAGCCAGGTATGGCAGCCGACCAATTGGCATGAAGGAGCCAGGAACAGCTGTCTAAGGCAGCAAGGCAACAGTGGCTCATCAGCGATGTGCACTGCACATCAGCGATGCGCGGAGCGCATCAGCGATGTGTCCCGAACACATCAGTGACAGGAAGGACTGGATATATAAGGACACTCACTTGGCACCATGTATTTAGTTCTTCGCGATCAATCTCTTCTTGATTCTACATCATTGTTACTTAGGAACCACAAGATTGGAATACGACAACGGTTCATTGTTCATACTTGTCTCGAATCCAAACCTAACGACGAAGGGGAGATCCATAAGAACCTGACCTCGTCGGCGCCCTCAGCAGCTCCACGTTTACTAAGCAAGACCTCTAAGGACTTGAGCATCTAAGGCCTGTTGCCGTGTGTGATCGGTAGGCATTGCAATAGAGTGACGAGACACCCTTGGCGTGCAGAGTGACCAAGAGAAGTATCACCCTTTGAGGACCCACTCACCGAGACTCGCTAGGTAGTGCGTAACACCATAGCCCTAGGTTTTGAATCATGGAGTATCCTTGTATCATAGTAGTCTGAGCTCTAAGTTTAATAACTTGTCTATAAGTACTAAAGCTAGCGTAGGTAAGATCACGATATTCCCCGTGCTCCTTTTGGTAGACCCCTTAGCTGCCACTATATGATGATATCGCTTCTGAATGGATGATTCCATCTCTCTACATAATATACAGTATAGACCCTGTAAAAAAAGACTAGGGTCGGATTTTGAGGAAAGATCTTTGCAGATTATAGTAACTGATTTGAATATTTGATGTATATATAATTTGGATACCTAAGCTTTCTGCGGTCTTTGGGGCTGATCTATCCACATACAGTGTAGGAAAGCTGTCTAGAATACGATGGTATACTATGTCGGCTGCAAGCAGAATATTAATAATAGTTGTTCTCGAGACGTAAAGATATAAAAAGGTTATCCTCTTATGCTTTCCGATCCAGACTTGTTCTTTGACACAAGGTATTACTTGAGCAATAGCCATGGTGGAACTACGTGGCGGCAAAACTACCGATCCCGCCCCCTTCCTCAAAGGCGAAAACTCCTGGCACTGGAAAGAAAAAAGGGGACAAGATACAGAAACCGAGATCAGGTCAATCTAAGCAGAAGGAGAGAGAACGTCTTGAAAGGGCCTTGAAACAAAAAGCGAAGGAGCAGACAAGATACCAAGCTCTTAAAGACGAGGTCGCTGCATTGAGATTGAAACTGGACTCAGGAGAGTCTGACGAGTTAGGCAGTGACATTGAGGCAGAAATCGAAAATAAACTGCAACTTTTAGCGCAATGCGATGAATCTCTCAAAGAGATTCAAGGTGAGATTGACGAAATGGATGTCGACGAACCTGAAGACAATATAACAGTGAAACCGGAGCCCCAGCAGGCAACTCCTACCCTGGAGGGTTCCAGCGAAGCATATTCAGGATCAACAGAAAATGAAGATCTGAATCTTGAGTCCGGGGCGCGCTATACCAATGACCCAGAGCTCTATGGGGAGAGTCCGGAAAAGGCCGATAGTAGCTCCGATGAGCCCCACCAGTCCGATGATCTGTTTGTGCCGCCAGATGACAACATCAAGTCTGAAAGAGTGCCAATACCGCCGACTTACAGAAAGCCCACAGGCTACTGGGACTTTGAGTTGGTTGATCTGACTCTAGACGATGAAGATGCCACGGAGGATCAGCTTTTCACAGACGGCATAGTCATTTTGAAAGCCCAGTCACTCGCAGGTAAAATATATCTAAATCAATACGGACCGAAAGAATGTCCAATGGCGGTATGGAGCGCTAGCGCAGCACCTCAGGAAGTCAAGAAATGTACATTTCTCAAGGGACCTCCGCACAAAGACGCCATGGACATTCATGAATACGGCGATGATACTGGAAAACTGAAGTATAGGTTCCTGATTAACAAGATCAAGATGGTAGCTTGGAAGCCCAGAAAGGCCTGCTCTACTATGCAGGATCTGATGGATTCGGTGGAAGAGTTGAACCCTGCCAAGAAGGAAGAAAATCGAAAGTATATCTTCCCATTCACAACCGCTCTTGTCGAATTCAAGGAAACAGCCAACCTACCATGGGTCTGGGTTGGGCGTGCAGACCTTGGGAAACTGTCAAGCTCTGCGAAGAGCGAGAAGGCAAAACAGCATCGGGACATATACAAGTTGGCACGGCAGCAAGTCGAAAACTACAGAAAATGGGTAGAGCAAGTACTCGGTGGTCCACTCCAGGGCATTCATAGTAAGGAGAAAACAGACGTCCCTTCGTCGTCTCCGGGGAGCCAGTTCTCTGAGCAGTCTCCAGCTCGCCCTCGGCGTAGCCAGAGACTTGAACACCAAAATAAAGCTGGAGACACTCTGAGCGTGACCGAGATTATACGGCTGCAGAAGAAAGTGCAGGAGCTAGAGAACGACCGGATTGAACTCCAGGATACGCAAAGCAACGGCCGGCGAGGCCAGAAAGCTACTATCAAAACGATAAAGGTCACTAATCAAGTCCCAATCAGCCGTTCCTTTAGAGGGTTCGCTGCAAAACGGAATATCAAAGTTGCTCCAGAGGATTGGAGGGACCTTGCCGATGCGGACTTTGCGAGGTTCCAGGTGATGGCCGAGATATTCCTCGAACAACAGCGGGATAATGGCAGGTCGGTTGTGGATGATATGAAGGTTTTCGACGCTTTGGGTGTATCGGATTGGTGAGCCAGAATATCCTTCCGCTAGGTTTTTGGGGGCGAACTGAGTACAAGGCCTTCCTCCTGGGAGCCTCTACCTCTGGAGTGCTGTTCATTGGGCGAGTCTCTTTGTACCAGAATGATTTCAGGTCTCTTTCGTGTAGTTAATGTACTCGTTTCATGCACTGCGCGTCCAAGAGCAATCCAATTTTCTATTCGATCAACCTTTTCTTAGATAACTACAGTATCTAAAAAGCCCGCTATAGTCCATCAGATCCTGTTAGATACTAGATCGATCTATCTCCAAGTAACATGATTGCCTTCGAGATGCTGGTTCAATATTTAAACTTCCTCTCTTTTCAGGCTCCTTACAGCCGGCTTGTTAGAAGCCTTTCTAATCATATCGAGAATGCTTTCCCTAGAAGATACTGTAAACCACATTCTCCGATGAAGCTATTTTAAGTGATCCTTGCGATGGTTTACTGGCGTGCTCCTGTGACGGCTGGGGTGGGCAGAATACTTTCTACCGGGACTCGGTAGTGTTAGCCCATAGTACTCTTTTATGAGCATCTGCACCAGGATCGCTTCCCTCTATAGCGGTGCCAGTTTTATCAGGCTAGAGTCACCCATGCTACACTCCCATCTTTGGTTCCCAACGTCACTCTTACCGCTTTATGATTGCGAGTCGGAAGATAGAATGGAGGATCGCTGGAGGGAGTTAGGTTGCTGTCGTCTTCCTCTATATGCTTTCATCTCATGATGTCGGATTATATGTCAATGCATATAAGCTGGGAAACTCAGACATAACCACAAAACGGCCGTCCCACTGTATTCAGCCTGGCACTATATATATAACAAGAGACGCCTTTTCTCGAAGCGATATAATTTACAAGCTGGTATATGGCTCGCTTCGATTCAACATTTGCCCTGGGGCACGGATGTGTAAGGATCGATATAAGACAGATCTTGGGGCTCTGGGCATGACATCATAGGATCAGGGTAAACGGGGAGAAGAGGACTGCCGGGCATACCAACCTGCTCCTTCTGCCCTTCCCAGGTTGTTTCCGCATATCCATCCCCCGGCAAGCAGGTCGAGAAATAGACATTGTTCGACTCCTCCAGTTTCTTCCAGACCTTGCCGGTCAACGAAGTGGCGACGGCATGGATTTCCTCCAGAACAGTGTTCAATTCGGCTCGTCTGATATAGCCCTGGGGGTCCGACTCCAAATTCCCGACATGGTCTTGAAGACGGGCAATCTCCCCTTTCAGGCGGCCCACCTCGTTGCATGCCGCGTGCTTGTCCGCGTTGGCTTGATCCGCCATAGACTGGAGTCGAGCCTTTTCCTCTTGGCTTTGCTCAAGGTGCGCTGCCAGTTGCTGGTAACGTTGGTCCGCCTCCCGGATCATCTTCTCGCACACCGGATGAGCGGCCTTCATGGCCTGCTCGAAGTCTTGGGGGATCTCTTGACCGTGCGGAGCGGCCTCTGCGAGACACCGTGCTTAGCAACGTTACGTTCGAAAGATCATTCCCAGCAGCGGCCGACACTCACCTGGCTCTGTCGCGGTAACCCAGCACTGTTCGCGTGGGGCGCCTTCTCCATCCCGCCAGCCCACGCTCGCGGAGCTCGGGCTACGCCTCCTCCGCCTCCGCCCCGGGTGGGGCGGCGGGTTGGGTGAGTTGTGGCACCTCCCACCGTGTGTCGGGCGTTGGACATGTTGATGATCTTGATATTTTGGCTGGCTCTGGAGGTGGGGGTATGGTGACTGGGAAAGACTGACGGGGATTTAGGGGGGGGCTTTAGAATACCCAAATAGGACAGTCGGTGCTTTGATTTCAGTCGTGCTCAAATGGCGCCCAAATCTTTCTCGATCTGTGTGGAAAGGTAGAAAAAGATCTTTCTGGCAAGCGAGGGACCTTGATTCAGAAAGCCTGCCCGAGCTCTTATTGATATTGTACATCTCTATCTTACTCTAGGTACTTAGATACTTAGACCAATGATCGACTTATTTCGAGAAGCCCCCCCTCTCTGGTGCATTGCAGAATTGGGGATACAGGCTAGCCAACATGAAGAGTTGTAGCCAGTGAAATTTTGAACTATGCAAGAACTGGAAAATTAGCTGGAGAGCTATTTGGCTGAATGTGGTATCCCCGAAATGGCCGCTAATGTGGTCGATAACCGATCTAGGATGGTCAAATAATGCGTAACATCCATCATCGGCTTTCAAACCAGCTGTTGAGCATTGGGATATAAGGGTTAGTTTACTATGATTCGGTATTCGGCCCAAATTCAGTAGCTTTAATCAAACACTCGCTCAGATGTTCAAGTCCGGTATATAGATGATGCTCACATAAGGTGTCAAGTGGGATATTCAAATTGGCCGAAATTAGGTGTGCAAACGACGCTTAAATTATAGGTCTGAATAGTTAGTGCTTGAATTAGTTATGTGATTCAGGCTTAAATTGATGCTCAATCTTAGTACCGCTCATTCCGTGCTTAAATAAGGACTCAAGTAAGATACACAAATTCGCCCAATCGCATGCTTAGAATAGATGCCCAAACTTAGTACTGTTTATTCCGTGCTCAAATAAGGACTCAAGATACTTCAGTTAGCAGAAAACAGATGCTTAAAAGATGCTCAAGCTAGGTATCTAAGTAGTGCTTAGAGTAGGTGTGTAAACGATGCTTACATCAGGTGCTCAAATTAACCCAAATTAGGTGCTCAAATGATGCTCAAAATAAATACTCAAACTTATTACCGTCCATTCTGTATTCGAATAAGGACTCCAGTATGATACTAAAATTACCCATAATCAGGTGCTTAAACAGTGTTCAAAGTAGGTACACAAACGATGCTTAAATCAGGTGCTCAAAATTGGCCCAAGTTAGGTACTTAGGCAATGTTTAAACCAGGTCCCTAAATTGTGCTTGAACTTGGTATCTACATCGTGCTTGAAGTAGGTGCGCAAACGACGCTTAAATCAGGTGCTCAAATAGTACTGTACTCAAATAAGGTGCCCAAAGGCGCTCAAACTAGGTGCTCAAGTGGTGCTCAAATGGTACTCAAATTAGTTGTACAAACGACGCTCAAAATAGATGCTCAAGCTCAGTACTGTTCATTCCGTGCTTAAATAAGGACTCGAGGAAGATACTCAAATTAGCCCAAATTAGGTGTTCAAATAATGCTTCAACTAGGTACCTAAATGATGCTCAAAATTGACACTCAAACTTAGTACCGTTCATGCCGTGCTCAAATAAGGACTCAAGATATTCAATTTGGCTCTAATAAAATACTCAAATTCGGTGAAGTTGATGTGGCGCTCAGTTTAGTACTTGAATTCTGTGAAGCCTATTGTACATGTACTATAGGCACGAGCTTCAGATGAGATAAAAAAAAATAAAAGGGGGGGGGAAGCTAGCACGAGTATGTACAAGTTTGTTATACTATATCAGTATTTACAGTCAATTCACTATCGCAACTGGATGACAGTGTGATGAAACGCCCGCCAATTACATATCGAGAGCAAGCCGTATTACTGTACAAATCAATTCTATTAAACTTTTACACCCTCCTTGGATCGTTATGGGCTGCAAAAGATGTACTAGAACCCCCTACCTCTACACCAAATAATGGGTACTTAGCTGAAAGATCAATTAACTGACCTAATTAAGAGCAAAGATACTCAACAATCATCTTAAAACCTAGAGAAATTAATTAAAACAAGCAAGAGAAATATGGTAGACTATGCCGACCGTCTTCTTGAACGGCATATTTTGCTTCTAGAGGCCCAGGACACCCACAGCTCGTTGCCTTCTCGACCATCTGGAGCTAGCAATGAGTGTGTGAATTTTCGGAAGTCACAGCAGAAAGACACCGAACCCTATCACTGAGCGTAACAGTCCCCTTAGATAGCACAAGCGAGAGACTCCATGTCTGCCGTTTCCCCTAGGCCGCTGCGCTTCGTGCTGATGGTGATATTGATGGTAGCTCTGCTCAGCCTTTTCCATTGTCGACCATATTCAAGCTCTCTCCCGGCTCTGCGATGCGCTGCCCTAGAAAATCAGGTTCAGAATGTCGACTGGTCGCGCTATGCCTACATCCAATATGTCACCGGGACCGATTACCTGTGCAACTCTGTTATGCTTTTCGAGTCCCTCCACCGTCTTGGCAGCAAGGCTGATCGATTGATGGTGTACCCAGAGGCCTTTTCCCTCAAGGGCGATGATACTTCAAAGGAATCAAAGCTTCTTCGTATTGCCCGGGACAAGTACAATGTCAAACTGAAGCCTATCCACGTTCAGCGCAGGCTCGGGATCGACGGTGAGTTTACAGAGTGTCTTATGGTGATTCATAATTGACGCGAGGTAGACACGTGGGCAGAGAGCTACACTAAGCTTCTTGCATTCAACCAGACCCAATACGATCGGGTTCTGAGCTTAGACTCCGACTCCACTGTTTTACGGGTGAGCCTTATTACCGACATGGCCGCACCTAGTAGTACTCCGTTAACCCAGGGGTTTACTCAGTCAATGGACGAGTTATTCGTACTACCATCCTCCCCCGTTGCGATGCCGCGGGCGTATTGGTTAAATCCGCACGACCGAACATTGAGTTCCCACCTGGTCCTGATCCAACCGTCCAAGTTCGAATTTGACCGGGTCATGGAAGCGATCAACAATGCCAGCTCGAATGACTACGACATGGAAATCTTAAATAACTTATACAAAGACAGCGCCTTGGTTCTACCACATAGGCCATACGGCCTTTTGACTGGAGAGTTCCGGGGCGATGACCACGCTGCATACTTAGGCAATAAACTAGAAACGTGGGATCCATATAGGGTTCTCTACGAGGCCAAGTTTCTGCATTTCTCGGACTGGCCTGTGCCCAAGGTAAGACTCAACACATTCCGACTCTCAGGCTGAATCGGCTAATATGTCACAGCCATGGCTCTCCGCTCCCAAACACCTCATTGAAGATAAGCGACCTAAATGTCAATATAACCCGGAGACCAAGGAGGAAGACAACTGCGATGCTTTAGAAATTTGGTTGGAGATTTACGATGATTTCAAGAGGAGACGAAAGGTAAGCTTTCCACCGCTCTTCATATTCTTATCAGGTCTCTAACCCCCTCAGGCCATTTGCGACAGCGAAGGCGATACTGCATGATGGAAATCATAGGAACAATTGGGAATTACTGGATCATACTCCTTGGGCTTTTCAATTTATCATGATATAATGACGAGGCTTATAAGTTTATACCGATCGTCCGATCTTGGGACGCTGTATAGTATACAGGATGGTACCTGATTGTTCGAAGTCGAAGCGAACTGTATCTATTGAAACCACCGAACCTAGAAGTAGTTATTTTTCTGTTATTGAATAAGGGCGCGGAGACAGTTCTTATATATATAATTCTATGAGGCCCACGCCCAGTGCGGTCCTAGTAAGGAAGCACCGATCATGGGTTGGATCCGCGATAGCTGGTCTAGATGTAAACGGTTCAGAGAAACTCTGGACGGATCCTATCATGCGTCAGTGCCTAAGGTGTCTAACGATATCTCGGAGGCCTTAGTCCTTATATCGCTCGACCAATGCAAATCTTGACTGGATGGCTGAGCTCCCTAATATCTGTATCACCGTATATGGAGTGCTTCCGCTCGTGGGATATAGTTATTATACCCTATCCAACAATAGGAAGGCGATCGCCTTTATAGCTCCTAGGTACTAGGTCAGAGATATAGACAGATCTTATTGAATAATATGTAAGTACAGTAGGCCTTGACCCAAGCAGCTCCATTCAAAAGAGTGCACGGCCCGCGGCTGTCTACTTCTTTTCCAACAGATTCTGATTGCTTTTGAGGACTTCTATCGCGTCCAGAATGCTGGTCCGGGAATTCGAGACGTCTTCTTCGAGTGTCTGAATCACCTGCTGATACGACACGACCTCGGCTTGTAAGGTAGCAATCTTTGCATGCCAATCCTGCTCTTTGCGCAAAAGGGATTCGGACTGCTCCCGATACTGCTCGACCTGCCCAACGAGCCTTTCATTCTCCACCTCTAATCTTTGAATCACCTCAGTAAAGCTCTCTGGGTGGGGCAGTAATGTGCGGTTCTGAATAGCTGTCTTAGCTTGAATTTGATTTGCCCGGACGAAGAACGCTTACCAGACAGGCCGACGACGCTTCACTGCTCCTTGGAGTCCCCTGCGGGGTTTGTGGCCGGACGGCCTCGATGGATTTCCCCAGCTCGGCGATGATCTCTTGATAAAGCCCGACCGTACCTCGACCGAGTGGGGTTTCAAGAAGATGTTTCTGGGCGTTGGAGACGGACCACGCGTAGCCATCATCCGCCGAAGGTTGAAGACGTACGCGATCGGGTGGAATGGTGAGACCGAGCTGACGATCTGGTCGACGGAGCAAAAGTCAGTTGGTCCTGACAGGGAGCAACACGCGCGATACTGACAAATATGGTTTGCCAGTGCCTCCCGGCAGGCTTGCCGTTTTTCAGCCCGTCTTGTGTTGCTATTGGAGCTCATACTAAAGAGGGCAACTCTGTAAGATTCTGTAGGGAGAGAGCAAGGCGCTCGTGGATATATATTACCAGTGATGGGAGTCCACGGTCATTGCTCAAATTTAAGCATCCGCATTTTGTGTTCCGTGTTGCAATCAGACCCAGCCGGATTAGACGCCCAAGTTCGACTAATTGAGGTAGCTGTCAGAAAACCGCCATGCTGCCCCCCCCCCATCAACGGAGATTCGGGGCAATCAAGTTCGTGGCGCATCAAACTGGCATCCGGGCAACCAGGACTGAAGTACGTGCAATGGCCATAGCTAGCCTCGGGAAACAGTACGTCCTGATCCAACATCGTCAGCACACCTCAGTATTCTCCTCGGCCGGTCTTTCGGGTTGCCTCCCTCACGGCCCGCTGCCTCAGGATCTGTCAAAGGGCCATCAACATCAGTCCAGAGGAGGGGTGTCTGAAACCTAGAAGATCGGAGTCTACAAATAAGGGCCTACCATGATGTATCCCGCTGTGTTCGTTTACATATTGTTTGTTCTACATACTCAAATAGCACGGATGTCTCGCACCCAGAGGATCCATTCTAGAAGGCATACCGCACCCTCTGATCCCCAACGCTACCATCAACGATTGACCGGTACATCTCAGCGAGACAGGGTCAGTGCCAGCGCTGCAGGCAGCGAACAAGATCCCATCATGCCGGAGATTCAAGTCTGTCCCTCCAGCCGGCCAACCCGGATCATTCTTCGCATGGGACGGCCGCCCGCTCCCAGCGGAATGCTAGGCAGCCCAGTAGCGCCTTCGACGCAGGTGGGCCCAAAAATCAGAAATTCGCATCACAGCGCCGCGCCGAAGCCCCGCACTAGAGAAGACTGGCTCAAATGTCTCCGGTCACGCAAGCCCATCAGCACACCTCTTGTGTCCGGTAGGAACTCCGCGCGAAAGCCTCAACGCAGAAGTGGGTCGCATTCATAGAGAATGCCACTTGCCGGTTATGCTTTACGATGGGCGATAAGCCGTGTTACATACAGTACAGTTAGGAACTAGATAGAAGAGTTCTCCACCCAGTGTCCTGAACATGTCAAGGACAAGACCTGTAGATACAGTACGTACGGTATATACATGTTCACAATTAATGCTTCTTTATGTGGGAGCATTTCCATTATATTTTCATACACTACTATCCTGTCAATCAAATTATCTTCTGATCTATCATCGGCGGTCTACAGTATCACCAGCGGTCTCCTAAAAATTCTTATCTCACGGGAGAGGGCTATTTCTAGGAGTCTATCTCTAAAGCTATAGACCTCGAATATAAGACCCCATACAGTATCCGCTCTCTGATTTGTTCTGACCTTCTGTATATCATCCTATTGTATAATAGCTTCATGTAAAATTGCCGCCACGAAACCAACGATCTTCTTGGCTTAGATACCGATAGCAAGTTTAGTAATTGATATGAGTATAAAGATCATCCAATTAGTCTTACTAGCCTCTTAACAATTGGATTAATAGGATCTAAACCAAAAAAAAAAAAGAAAACACGCCTAATTTATCCCAGAAGTGGGAATTTGAGCGATAGAATAAAAAGGTCTCCCGCATCTTTTGGCGGCCCAAAACCCCAACAGGAAATAATGGTTGTACCATGAAGATTCCCATCTCTCCTATAAATATATTACCTGGCAAAGAGGTGGTCTCTATCAGTATCTGCGACCATCTACCATCAGGCAGCATGACATCTAACAACGAATATGATCTGAGCGGCCAAGAATATCAAAAAGGGCCCGAGTCCACACCCTTGACCCAGGAGAACAATCCATCCCCTATAAAATCAGACACCAGCGAGAGCCCGGTATGTATGCTGTACATGACGATAGGATGTGCTGAGATTAGCTTCACTGACTGTCTAAGCCACAGCTGCTTGGGGTGTGTAGTGGGGTGTGTAGCCCACAGGATCTCTCCATTAGTCCTTTTCATCCACTTTTGAATGAGCTGAGCAGCCTCAGCCAGGACAAAGCAGATCACGCCTCGCATTCTTTTGAGATCATCCGGTTATATTCAACTCTGTTGGAATGCCATGCCGCCAAGGTTGCATACACACTACAATTAGAGGAAGAGAACGAGCTCCTCCGAGCATCGAACGGCCATTTAGGCCAGAGGATCGAGTTGATGGACCAGCGTATTGCCAACCAAGAAGCGCTCCTGGTCTGCTATGGCAAAGTTTTTGAAAGGTTCCATGCAGAAACTGGCTCAATGCTTTATCAATGGAATAGCTCGGCGGCGAACCCGGCTGTGGCAGGGTTGGGGAGCCACGGCGGGACGATGTCAAGTCAATGAAGCCCTTGCTGTTCCGCCCGCTCCATTATCGCTGCCATGTAAAGCAGGCTAGAACGGGAACAGTCGACAAGCCGACAAGATCCAGTGTAACTAGTGCTATTTTGGTGGGATCTTGAATATTCCTCAATGGGGCTATATTCTGCAAGGGCTGCAGTTCTGGGAATGCCCTGTGAATTCTGTCATCTGATTCTATGTTTCAAGAGAGGACCCTAATACACAGTGACACAGGAACCTGCGCTCCATAGAACAGCATTGAGAACTCCAAGACACAGTCCAGTCGTGGCAAGTTCCAAATTTGAGCACTTTGACAGCGGCAGCTCTAGCTCAATTTTCGTAGTGCGGGGACAAGAAGCAACGCTCAACCTAAGATTAGAAAAAGAGAAAAGCCAAAAAAAAAAAAAAAAAAAATCAAAGGGAGGAACAGAGATTTCAGAAACAGAGCTTCATTTATTCTCCACTGACACACTGCATATAGTTTATATATTCACTATGAGAGCCATCTACCTGCTCAATTAACATCACTTGGCGCAATAAGCCTCTTCGCAACTGAGATATTACGCACCAAGGCAATTTAAGACTCAAAGTTACCTCTACCCAGCTACCAAACTATGCCTATCACATCATTAGGACGGACAGCTTAGTATAAATTAGACCCAGGCAGCTATCCCAGGCCCCCTTCACCGTCCTTTGCTATCGCTCAGAACTCGCCCAAATGATCTTAGCGCTTGACAACCACTTCCAGCTCCGGGAGGAACAGAAGCGTGATCAACCTGACATACCCAGTCCTTGGGGTGAGTGATACGATCAGGGACCCATGTGCTTGTGTACTTCGATGAGCTGACGGAAGCTGGACCAGGGTCGCCGATACCAATCCCTGGAGCGGGGACTTACTCCCCCTGTTGCGTCGCTGTTGACCGTCATCCAATTCACCCGGCTACGATGGTGGAGTTGGTATTTTATCCGGTGTACGGCAGCAACTATGGGGTTCTCTGGCCAGGGCCCGATCCATTGTCTGACCGGACGCTCAGCGCCGATCTATTTAGCACCGCGACCCTCCTGGCCCGAAGGAGACCGAGTGGATAGAGCTTCGACTCTGCGGGTCCTATTCTAGAGAAATCGAAAGCGGAGACCCACAGGTCTTTTTCTTGCCTCAGACGGAGACAGCGTTAAGCAATCTGCCTCGGGTGCGCCACCAGATCCGGGAGATCATTTCAAACACCTTGCTATGGTCGCAAGCTATGCTGCACTTCCGCTTGGCTATATACCTGCACGGAAAGGGACCACTGTCCTCCCCAGTGCACACAACAAGCACACGCTGGTCGGGGGCGTCCGCCACCTCAAACTTGCTCGATCCGGAATGGTTTGTGCTCAACATAGATGCCAATTTTGATTCGCGCGCGAGCTCAGTGGCTGAGAAAGAGGGGGGCATGGACAAGCTTCAGTGAATTACCAACTTTAGTTCTATTTCTAGGTACTCCATCGAACATTCCGCTTTGTACCAACCTACCCTTAGCTGCATTAGCCCTGTTTGTTCCTGCATGGTGCTGCTTCTCCGCTAGACTGACAGGTTATGGTACTGTAGCTTCGCCGTAGCAGCACTTTGGCCTTGATATGGCCACGCCGGGCTAGGGCATTGCCGTGGCCGATCCCTTTCCAACAGGACAACGATGCCGACAATTTTGTGGAGGAATAGGAAGGGCATGGACAAGAACGGTGCCAACACATAAGTCGATGTAGTCTAGGATTGAAGCTGGAGCACTGGTGAGGCGTTGGGTGGCACGGCAGTTGATTAGGAGGGATCTACCCGAAAGGAGAGTCCATCAAGCTATCAGATGGACACGAAGACAGGAACTCGAAATCTACGGCCCCAAGGCCCGGCCACAGCTCTGCGCTCGCCGCTGCGACGGCGAAAGTATCGCCGTCTGTAAAGCAAGGCTTGTCTTCGAACTGGCCGCGGCCGTCCTGCCCCGCCCTTGGTCGGACGAATAGCACGTGCTGCTGCTCGTACCGACCCTCGTGCGAGAAATCGCCGACGCCGAGGAATTCCAAGGCGCGTAAGCCCGTTGGACCAAACGCCCATTCGGCAAAGTCAAGAATCCCTTCCACGTCGTCGATAGGGCAGCAGGGACTAGTCTCGACCATGCCGTTTTCCTGGGCTCCGGGGATCTGCGCGTCAGCACCGTCTGTCGTACTATTCTGGTTGAGCCTGCTGATAATCGATCGATCGGGGTGGGTCTGGGGCACCGAGCCCCTGGCCGCGCTCGCTCGCCGTGCCCGGAGACGAGAAACAATACCCTCCCTGGGGTCAATGCCGAAATGATCATAGGCACTGAATCGAAAATGAAGGACGCGCACGGCTGACGTGCTGGCGTGCGGCTGAAGGTAGGCCAGCTGTCCCTGTCAGTGGGTGTCATAGACTCGGTGATCCTCACATACCATCAAGGAAGGGGAGGCGCTGAGAGCTAAATGCGAGATGCGAGACAAATCCACAACATGCGGTACGAGGGGTAGCCACGTTGGACCGTAGCCCTGAGCCCCGTCGGGGTCTGCGGCGATAACGGATGGCGCGAGACATTCATGATAGACAAGGCCCTTCAGGGATGACCGATGGTGCGCGATCGCGGAGTGTATCTGCTGCATGTTTCGAAGACGGGATAGCCTTAGGTTGAGTTGTATCAAGCCCCGAAAGGAGAGGAGGAAAGACATCAGTGGTCTGATCTCTCGCTCGTGCTCTCCACGCCCCGGGGTCTCGGCAATGCTCAGTTCAAAGCGCTGTATGCGCATGGAGGTGGTCGAAAGAGCAAGGCCGTCTAAAAAGTCTAGCTCGTTCGGACAGTCGCGCAAGATGAGCTCTTCCAATGAAGTCAGAATAGATGCTGCCGGCGGGTCCAGGAGGGGGGGTAAAGTAATCCTTGACAGTGACAACCGGGACAGGGCCCCGAGGCTTTGCGCATCGATCGTGGCATCGTCCGATATACACTGGTCAGCGATTCCAAGAACATCAGACATGAGATCTATCCCGTTTCTGCGCGTGCCGGATCCAATCACTAGCGTCCGGAGATGGTGGCGATTCTGTCGCAAACACGCCCGCAGGGCATCCACTTCGGTCGGATGCTGGACGCCTTCCCACGCCAGTTCCTCTAGGGCTGTCAATTGACCGAGTCCACGAAGCGAGGCGCCCGCGTGCGGACAAGAGGCATCCGTCACCAAGGCGAGGCTCCTCAGACTGTTGCGCTGTTTGGGAAGCAGGCCCCTTTCGTCAACAACGCCTTGCGGCAAGCAGACGCCAAGTCGCCACCTGGCACGTTCAGCAATCGGGTCGACAAGGGGTCTCGTTTTCTTTGATCTGTCCTACCGGAACGAATGGAGCTGATCTGATTCCAGGCGGCTCAGGATCAGTTGGACCTGGCGGGATATATCATCCACGAATTGTTCGTGGGCTTTGGCTTCGTTGGAGCATCCCAGGATACCTCTCTGCTCGTGGCCAGCGCAGTTGCGAAACGCGTTGAAGTACGCGCAGCGATTAAAACGCGCAATCTGGATCGGCGCCGTGAAATGGAGATTCCTGATCAGATGAACATACCATGCAGCTTCCCGCCCCCCCATGCGCGCCAAAGAACTTCTCGACATCGAGGATGTTCAGCGCCCATTCGCTCTCGGCGCGGATTGCCAGCGTGTGATAAACGATCGTTCGGTACGCAGCAAACAGGCGCGATGATACCAGGCATAACGACCGTATCGATTGGGGGCAGAGCTTGTAAAGTCAAACAAGGTATTATTAGACAGGACGTGACCGTACGCACCCATTCTGCAATGATAAGAAGGATCTCAAGTGGGAATCGTTCGAGCATAGTATATCCTTGCCAGAGGGTCAACCGCAGAATCCCCCTCCCGAAGCCATGATCCTTGGATATATGTATATATGGGCGCTCCTTGCTCAAAGTTTTCTGCTTCCCGATCGAACTTGCGTGCCACACGGGGTCGATCTTCAAGCTCGGAACCGAAAGCGAGCAATGCAATGCCGATAAGGATTTCAGCGTCTCAGTCCGTGCGGCCGCCCCACAACTCCCCACCCGAAAAGGATGCACCAAATGGAATTGAGCACCTTGATCAAGGACATGCCCGGTTGTCTGTGATGCTCGAATCCGTAACCCCGCTGTTCCGATCTATCTGCCTGGTCGGGATTCTCTCTGTCTTCCCTGATCTACAGCTTCGCTCGCCATGAATGTGGAATACCCTGATACAGCAACCTAAGGAAGAGTACGACGACACCAGCATATCCGGTGGAACACGAACACTTCGGCTAGGTAAAAGCCTACTACATATCTATCGATATATAAATTCACAAGCACTGTACATATTATGTTCATCCCGCCCTTTCATATCCGGGAAGCGACATTGTTGTAGTAGAAGATCGTAGTATGTACAGAAGCATCGTGGATAGCGCTCAAATGCTGGTAATCGACGATACACCATCCAGACAACCTCCTTGGAACACTCCTATTTTCAGCCAGATCTGAGAAGGCTGTTCTGCATCATAACCCGTGAGTAGACCAGGGCATTATATAATATCGCCAGGTGCATCGCATACAAGCTTGGCCGCCATCCGACGATGAGGTTCAATCTCTCCAAAGGCCTGACCGCGTAGTTGAGCGCGCTCATTGCAATCCACAAGGCCGACCGGAAGAACTGAGTCGTCAAAGGCGAATCCGTATACCCTGGCTCGGCGAGAGCATAGATGGCTGGGGCCAAAGACAGGAGCCCGAGCGAAACGCAGTGGTACGGAAACCTTGCGCGAGCCACGGATGCATCGGAGTCAACCCCGAGAAAGTCCACCAAATACGCCACTGCAACCAACGACAAGGCACACACAGAGCTCAGCTGGGCGGAAGGGAACGCCGTATACTGAACCAGCACGTACGGAATGGACGTGGCATTAATGAGAGTCATTGCACCGCAGAACTCAAGCTTCTGCCAGTCCGGGCTTTCGGTTTGGTCGAAAGCTTTGATGATGCGATACGTTAGACTGGTCAGACACCAGAAGATCACCCCGCCACAGAAAGTCAGCAATGAAACCATGTCCAGGAGGCCATCTGGCCTAGACGGGAAATGGAAGATGCATAGCTGGATCGCAAATAAACCAAAGTACACGATGCCGAAAAGGTTCAGTATGGCGAGGATCATGCAGTCGCGGAGACGGTCAGTGGGGGTGGGTGGCATCATGGAGGGATATCTTTCAGTGGGTTTTCACATACACGCACACAGTGCTGGGGTGGGCAGGCTGCTTTATAGGCGGCGAGGAGGAGGATACAGAGTTGGAACGATCGAATACGTTTAAAGCGAGGAGAGAGGGAGGGAATCACGAACGGGATTGTTCGTCGCTCCAGCCTTTTGTGAGGGCTTGGTGATCAGGAAAATCTAGCTACTTGGTATAGAGGGCCCGCAATTTCGTGTCCGACAAATTTGGTAGCGCTTGCCTTTGCGAAGCAATCCACGGGAGTTGGTCATACCTTTTGGTCCATGGATAGCCAGGGGGTATAGGTTCGGGTCGGATTGGCTGCTGGCTTCTCACAGGGAGATGGTTTCTCAGTAATTGCCACCATCTTGGTGTTGCAAGTACAGTATCGTCCGAACTATGCGAGTTGGGAATTCTGGATGGGAATGCTGCAAGGGAGTTAGGTCGTTGTTCCATACAGGTCTTCTCTTCCTTATATTCCCCTTCCTCTTCTTCTCTCTACTTCCATGTATCTCGAACTGCAGCGCCGTTGCTGTTCCGCTCCGCCAAGGATAGGCTTCTATTGGTAGGGGTATATTCTAAGCCATCAAGAGAGGGGGGTAGTTGAGATACAGACTACTGTACAATCCAAACGCCCGACTTAGTACTATCTTTTTTCTGTATAAGATCCCATACACAGATTTAGTTAAGATCCTCCTTCCTAGCATAGCGGTGCATATAAGCTTCACACCAAGTAATATAAAGTACAGATCTTATTCTGATAAATGATAGTTAGGTCACCGGTTTCAGATCTTCCAGTCACTGTATGTCTTACAGGTTTTCATCAGCCAAGAGCCAAGTTAAGATCAGGCAAATCAACAGCAGGTTACGGTATATCGTGAATTATAGAACTTTCTATCTTGCTTGGTATACGACGACTACACGACATTAAATTACATAGACTAATCACAGTTCTTGTGACCTAGATACAGCAACACAGTAGGGTTATAGACCAAACTACTAATGCCCCGTAAGAAAGAAGGACCGCAGACGATGCTATCACCAGCAGACCACCGAACTTCACTTTGAACTCAGCGGCCTGAAATACTCCTTGTACGCTGTTAAAAGTTACTACATATGCTATACTAGAAAGCACTGTAGCATAGGTTACACAGACCGACGATGCCTATTATCTGTGAGTAATTTGAGCCTATCCAGAGGGCGTGTATCTCTTACAACCGCAAAGAACATGATAAAGATAGTCCCATTTGCACGCCACAGCAACCGGATTCCGCATATCGTGCCTGCAAGGGTCATGAGTAGTCCGGCCATATAAGACCAAACCGCATGGGCAAGGTATCGTCTGGAATAGTGCAAAGCCGCGTTTCCATTAAACTTCAATCCCTGGATAGAAGATTGGTCCGGTGTGAACGAAGTGCTGACGACAGAGCAGTTCAGGGAGTCGGGATGGTCCGTTAGGCTATGACAGTAGTTCAGAAGACCAATGAAATAGCTGTCCTCGTCTAGCCATAAGCATTAGATTCATCATCATAAGGGACCGGAGCTTACAAGGCCTACCTTTCAAGCTTCTTTCCGACCTAGACAGGGGATGCTCTGTCATATTCGGGAGCGAAGACCCATGAATCTCGATCTGTCCTATCCTATGGGTCCCCTATGGATACTGTAATCAGACCCTGTGAGACGGAGTAATCAGGAGAGGTCCAGTACATTGATACTTCCTATCGTATGCCCATGGGAATCTATCTTTCTGCCATATCAGTGACCACCTCGACGGGGTGCGTAAACAGACATCTACCTCTAGAAAGCAAAATATAGACGGCAGTAATGGAATGTTAGGGCCAGCCAGTATAGTAGATAAACAGAGGACTACAAGCGCTGAGAAAGTCACCGCTAGCAGATAGCCCAGACGTTCAATGGCACCCATGATGCAAAGCTCCAGAGCCGCATCGCTGAAAGCTACATGATATATTACGTGGTCTCCAAGGTAGGTAACAGCGCTCGTTTTCCCCGCAGCAGATAATTGTGAGGGCAAACAATCAAATTCGATCCTGCTCAACCCAGTTTCGGGTCAGCAGGCTTTGCCGTAGCTACAGCTAGAAGGCTTCCCGGCAAATGCTTTGCGAGTCTTCATGCGACTTTGGAGAGCTTCCGTACACCGGACAGGACGGAATAGTAGCTGTGCTAGTATTCGAGATACTAAGTCTAGGGAGAACAGAAGAAGAAAAAGAAGAGAGAAGGAGAAACCACAACCAGAACCCAAATCCCCAGGCCTCCCTCCATCCCATCCCTGTAGTTTGGACGAAGGCCTCTCATGCCGAGGCAGTACAACAAGCGACAACCAAGTGACAACATCGAGCGGCAGTGACATGAATGACGCAAATTTAGCCTGGAAAGCACTTATGGTTGAATAATGCTTTCAATAACAGACTAGCCCCCGAAGAAGACAAGGTCCATTTCCACTCCTACTCTCCCTCAATTATTCCTATATTCCTTGGAGACATTCTCTGTGACGTGCTGGCGCTTCTCGGCGGAAACATTTGCGGTCTCGGTGAGCCGAGCTTCCTCGGCTGCATTGGGGATCTTAAACGATCCTGGACCGTAGGATTTGCCGCGGCGTTCCCCAGAAGCCTTGCCCTGCTCCTCGAGGGCCCCTGCATTCGATGCTGAAATACCAAGCTTAAAGTCCGTCTCCTCACGGGCTTTGCCTTGGCTGTCCTTGTTCGATGCCATTCTGGGGGAGCTTGGTAGGTATATGTGTAAATTAGACTTGCAAGGTGGCCGAAAGGGGGAATCATACGTCTTTATATTAGGGCCAAGAGGATGTGCTGGGTCTGGAAGTAGATGTGCTCACTGTAGCAAAACTCCTGAGAACGTTTGAGATGGATGGAAAGTTTGGTTTGTGAGTATCCCCAGGAAAATAGACTGCTTTTATAATGACCAGACTGCCGTTCTTCCAGAATCGCCTCATGGGCGTACTGTAAGCGCCTTTACTCTTCCAGGCAGATTCAGGTCTATTATTAGAGCTTGAATCGGAAAAGTCGTTAGCGCCGCGGTCAACTAGCCGCCGGGGCACCTATCAAAAACCAACTGTTTAACGGTCAGACCTTACTTACATCTCACTAGGAGTCTTAAATTACTTTTTACTGTTCCCAGGAGTATCCAGTCGCTGCCTGAAGATAAAAGGGATCGTTTCATAAACGGATCTGTTCCTAGGAGCGAACGGGTCACCATTTGATCAGGTAAGACTGCCCAAAGCTGCTGAACCCGATCAACTCCGCTGCATAACCTTTTTCTTTTTCTTTTTCTTTTTTTTTTCCTTTTCTGCTATACGTTCACGATGACGTTGTACACAACTGCTCCTAGGAGCCTCAACCACATTTCGCAGTTCCTAGGAGGCCTCAACTTCTTGTGGTAAGGATCTCGCGGCACCACTAATCCTATGAATACTCTTATTCACTGCTGCTTTCTTGATTCTACCGTACCAAAAAGCTCCAGACGAGCCATAATTTATGATAACGGTAGAGATGTAGTAGCCTATTTTGGGTCGGCAGGGATGGGAGCGGTGAGCAACAGACTAACTACTGTTTGAAACACAAAACTACTCAGTCTTTACCCGATCCGTAGTACGAAAGGTGGAGCCTCGAAGATTTCCATGAAAAAGTGCCTAGTTATATTATCTAGTTAGAGCGAACTCCGAAGAAAACCGAAATGAGGGTTAAAATACAATCTTCCACCCGCTTCCCCTCATGCTCGAACCTGTCCCGTAGGAACGGCAAGTTGGTTGTCGGCAAAATTCCCAAGGCGGATTCGGTCGCCACACGCACAGGAGGGCCAGCGGCGTTTAACTATGTATTATCATTGGTGGCTGTGTAGAAGAAGTGGAGCTGCCTCAACCCGTGTGCTCAAATGTTCAGTGCTCACCCCCTTTTAAGAGCGCCGCGTTGTCCTCTTCAACCATCAAGCATCTGGTGATTCCCCGTTCTTGTTTATTCCATTCACATCTTCAGAGATGCAGACTCGCATGTGCTTCGACGATGTCGCGTGGGAAAAGAGTGAGGCCATCCAAGACGATTGGGTACACGAATTATTCAAGAAAGAGACTTTGATCGCAATAGGTAAATTTATCCTGAAATATCGAAGGGGAAAGCCTATTGAGCTGTGTGATCCAAAAGCCGGGGCTTTCAATGTTTCTTTCAGAATGAAGTTTGAGGACGGCCGTTCTGCAATCATTCGATTTCCCAAACCCGGTGCTACGATGTTTCCTGATGAGAAGGTGCGCAACGAAGTCTATATAATGAGGTATATACAACAGCATACGACGATTCCCGTACCATTTGTCCTGCACTGGGGCACGAAAGAGGAAAATCCTCTTGGCCTTGGTCCATTTGTCATCATGGAATACATCGACCATGTAATGGACTTAAGCGACGTCCTTAACACCCCTGGATTTGCGGTTAAGGATCGCCCGTCCCTTGACCTAAACTTCGATGTCGCCAAGCTTGAATTGCTATACGGACAACTTGCGGATATATTGCTCCAGTTATCCACGCTACAGCTGCCTAGGATAGGATCATTGGTCCAGGTTGATGATTTTACCTGGGAGGTGGCACAAAGACCACTATCCTACAGCGCCAATGAACTCGTTCGTCTAGGGACTCTTCCGCGCTCGAAGTTACCAAGGAGGAACGAAACCTTTCAGTCAGCATCATCCTACTTCAATACACTGGCAGATCTCCACCTCGAGCATCTCACACACCAACGGAACGATGCTATAGAATCCGCAGATGACTGTCGACGCAGATATATTGCAAGATTGTTGTTCAGCAAGCTCGCTAGGGAGGGTCGATTCACGGCTTCTTCCACCAATCTAGGACCGTTTAACATCTGGTGTGACGATCTTCGGCCCTCTAATGTCTTGGTCGACGAACACCTTCAAATCGTAGGGGTTGTGGACTGGGAATTCACTTACGCTGCGCCAGTGGAGTTTTCTCAAGCCCCACCGTGGTGGCTGCTTCTTGAGCAACCAGAGTATTGGCCGGCGGGGATGGAGGCGTGGATAAAGGTGTATGAGTCACGCCTTCAGACGTTCTTGAAGGTGCTGCGCGAACAGGAGAACGTGGCCATAGACCGCGGCAGACTGAAAGATGAACAAAGGCTTTCCCGGCCAATGCCAACAAAGCTGGGAGAGCGGTGATTTTTGGATCACCTATGCGGCGAGAAAGAACTTCGCGTTCGACGCTGTGTTCTGGAAGAAGCTTGATAGCCGATTCTTTGGATCCGGAACGAGCACCGAAGACGACCGTTGGAAAGAACGGATGGGCCTTCTAACTGAAGACGAAAGAGCCAACATGGAAAAGATAGTCGAGAAGAAACTGGGACAGATGAGAACGAGGGTTTTAGCCTGGGAACCTGACGAGGAGGACATGAAGACTTTGAGCTAATACTCGAGATGGGAGTATACGAAAGGGCACGGTTTGAGAAGGCCACCTTCTTTCATCAACATTCGCGACTTACAGTATTATAGAGCAAACTTTCTAAAGTTTCATCCTGTTAATAAACCGATAGGCCTCCTCTAATTAGGGAACCGGGTCAATGACTGCCCACGAATTCTTAAATTGCCTGAATAAATTTGCTTAAATAGACTCGCGTGAATAAACTTCATAGCTATCTTTAGAGTATCTGATAGGTAATGTGGAACTGAGAGCGCACCTATCTCACTAAGAAACACTAGGGGCGGTTTGCCTCTGTTCCGTGTCTCAAAATGCCACATCAGCTGATTATAGTACTCTGCTTGCATTATTTCTTGCGGCTGTATATCAGTTGCACCGGGGAACCCAGCAGATGGAAGTCTTTAGCAACCATCGTATGTGAGAATTGGTTTGGTATCACTGTATTGATCAGCGTAAGGATGCTTCATCAGAAGAGCAGCAAATACTACCGAGCCTAGAGAGAGCCCCACACAAAACCACGCGGGGACGAGGAGGCTTCCTAGACTCGCGTCGACACCCACCTTATACAGGGTGTGACGGACAAGAGAACACATGACGCTGTAGACAATGGTCACAGTACAGGACGAACCCAGATTGAAGACCAGGGCAAGCTGACGATCGGTTAGCCACTTCGCGCACTATCGTCTGGAAATACTCACCGTCGTGGCCACGAGAACGCTGGCGTTGATGTAGCTCCTCCTAAGCCCGAGCTTTCGGCCGAAGAGCGCCGAGGTGCCGACAAGAATGACCGTCAAGACCGCGGACACCGTCCCGATCACATAGCCGACGATGGCCCACCGAAACGCAGCGTGGTACTTGCGCGAAATGCTTTTTCTCTTGCGTCGGCAGAAGGGCTTCAATCTCATCCGACAGTGGGCCGAAAATGTGTAGCAAGTCGAAAGCGAAGTCAATTGAAGGCTCCGAGCAGTTTGAGAATGATGGCGCGCCCTTGTTCTCCTGGCAATAACCGCGGAGCCCAACGGCGTAGTAGTCTGGATACTGGGGCTTGAACTGTCCCAAGGCCGAAGAGACCGCGTCACTAGCTTGGCTGGCCGCATTGCTGGCCGCGTTACTCACGGTGCTACTGACAGCCGAGACGGTCTGGGAAGCGCTGTCCGCCGCGCCTTGAACAGCTCCGGCGGCGCTACTTACTGCGTCGGACGGAATCCCGTCGGTGATACTTGCCGACCGTCGGAGCTTGAGATTCTTCAGATCGGGGAACGACGTCAAGTCGACCTAGGTCATGTAAGCTCGCACACGCCATCCATCGAGCCCAGGCTCTCCAGACGCACCTTCATGAAGTAGAGGCTCTGGGGTGCCGACTTTGAGCTGCACGCCGCGAAGAGGATTGCTAGCGGAATAATACTCAACACCGACATCGCCATGGTCATCCCCATCGCAAAACGCGAGGGGTTAGCGGCGAAGATCATCCTGTAGGAGCCCTGGTGAGACTGGTAACCGCTGCCGGTTCAGACGATAGAGTGTTGGAAGCAGACTTTATGGCCGGTGAATCTCGTGACTGCGGCCTACGTCAACTTTGTGAGCCAGATCAGCCATCAACTCAAGAGGGTGGCATATTGACAGGTGGCTCGTCTGCCTCGGACGTGAGAGACGCTTCCCACATTTGCTGCGGGCCCTGCATTCTATCCAATCCGCCCTCCCTTTCAAGGGCCTTGGAGTATTTGGGCGGCATCTCTCCGACGGCACAGAGAAGCTATTAAAGCCAGGTCGGAGAAGCGTGGATGTCGGCCAGTTCCCACTAATTCTAGCCCACGGCGTGGGACTCAAACCGCGAGTTGCAAGGAAGAGCCCGCTCCCATGCAAGAGCTACAAGCTGTCGTTCGCCAGATTGGCCGACAACAGATCGAAAACACATTCTATCGCACCTGCTATAATATATTGAAGACTCTTCAGGACACGGTGGCTCGGTCTGCCGACGATATGATGTACGTCTTTCACAACGGCTCGCACAGTTCCCTCGAGGATCCTGCACCACTGCGTCAGCTCGCAGAAGAACTCAAGTCGGCCATTGCGGAATTCCAGACACACGAGAGAAGAGCGGAGCTAGAGATGGAGGCGCTGGATGCCACCGCTAGCCATCGACCGAGCCAAGAGATGGAGTATTAAGTCGCCAGAGATTTTGTACAGTACTGTAACTAGTTGCAAGATATAACTACTTCAATACTATTATTACACTATATAACAATATCAAAATCCAATACCAAGGCACTAGCGACGAGAAGCTCCCAAGCAAGGAATCCTTCCTGGCAGTCAGCGGAAGTGAGAAACGGGCAGGCGTGCTCACCATAGGAATACGGTGCTCCGTCTTGCACAGAAGCTACAACCATTGGGGTCAAACAGCGAGGTCCTGGCTTGCCCGACCTCATCATAGCCTGGAAGCATGACAAAGTGTCCCGACCGCTACGGACAAAGTATCGATGGATAGTGGGGTCCATCACGTACGGTCAAAGTAAACCTGCGGGCAGAGACTATGGGAACCTCAGAAATGTGCCATAGTTAAAGCGTGCCTACCCCAGTCGCACTCTGTAGGATCGGAGGACCAGTCCTTGAAATGAGGACGATAACTCCGATTTGAGCGTATTTATTCTATTGATTTACGATCTGCTCACACCGCGAGAGTATAGATAGTATGAACAGCCGCTCCCCGGCTTCCAGGCCGTTGTGCTAGGTTCCGCTACGATAAGAAGATGCCCGCCCTGGCAGGGTTCCACCGGCGAAAATGGAAGCTCCCGCCGAGGCCGGTTGAACCAGGAATCGGTCGAGTCGAGCGAGCGGCGGTTGCAAAGCTTCAAAAATATCTGTTGCAAAGGTTCCGCCGTCGTCCGGCTTTCAGATCTATCGGCAGGGAAAGCCGCCTGGCGCTTGGCGGAGGGCCCAGACAACAGCGATCGGATCGCGCGCATTCTGAGAGTGCAAGGCTGTCAGCGACTGAGCAAACACGCCCATGTGCCCATCCTGATACACCCTCTACACTGGGGGTCTCATGTTTTCTTGCAGCAGCCAAGCTTGACGGACCTGGCCCTCCCCCAGCTCGGCGTTAGCCCCGGTTACACCCTCGTCCCACTCAACCGCAAAAGTCTGATCGTCGCGGCGGAGCGATACTTTCGCGAGCTTGGCACGCAAGACCCGTGGTGGATCGTTGATATTTACCTTGCAGAGCCGAGTCGGTTGCCAACGCGACACACAGCGCGAACAGGAGTTGACGAGCGTCCACAGGTAGTGAGATCGCTCGCCAGAGCGATGCCTTTCGCGCGATCAACGAGGAATACGCCAACGAGAAACGGCCCACGGACGGGCAGATCTATCACAGCCTCCGCCTGTATCAGGGGGTGCTTACCGGGGTGAGAAACGAGGCGGCGAGAACTATTGGTGGGGCATTCTCGAAGCCGAACCTGGCAGCAGGAAAAGCCGCTACCTACGCACTCTACGTCCCGTGCTCCGCCACGCGTTCGACGCCCTTCTCCCCATCACGGGGATCTGGGAAGGCATGAGTATCGGGGTGCTGCACAAAATCAATGCCATGAGATGCGATGAGGTGCGTACTGTAGGACTGCGAAGCCCCGGCATGCTGACGTCAGTTTGTTTTTTCCACGGCAACAGCCGATACGCTGCTACCTGGAGCATATACGACAAACGTTCCGGTATATTGTAGGCGACGAGGGCTTATTGCCCCGGATAGATGCGGCCAGTGTCAGGATCATGTGTTCACGGGCCCCGGCAACCTCTCCCCAGGACCTTTGCGCTCTACAGCGTGAGTGGCGGCAAGGGACCCTGTTTCAGTTCATGGAACCGCAGGACCGGCACAGAGCATGGGCCAATCTACAGAGGATCAACTTCATTATCCCGACGCTGACTACCTTCTTCCAGGATGTTCTATATCTAGAAGTCGCCCAGACCGCCATGCGGAAGTTGTGCCTCATGCCTCTCAAGGGGGATGAGACCATCGATACGGTTCTAGGGCGCCAGAACTGGATGGCCGTGCTCCTGGGAGGCGTAGCCAGCCAAAGAGACTCTCTCTGGAACCTTTGGCGGTTCGGATGGCAATACGCCTTTGAACTCACGCACAAAAAGGACCACCATCGCCGGGTGCCCCGGAAAAGAGAAGACCTTGATCGGGCGTCGCGGCTGAACCTCGGACGGGAGCCAGACTCGTTCCAACTTCCACTGATAGATCGGTTCTTTGCCTTGGCCGTGAGTTTCGGGTTCGATATCCCCGTGCAGCCTCCGATCCAGGAGTCTCAGATTCCCCCCAGTGTACCCTCGGACTTTCCACCGGATAGTGAAGACGACGTGGATCTCGAGAGGAGATGCGGGAAGCCATTCACTGACTCTATTGATGCCGATCGGTTCGCGCTCGAGGAGACATCCCTGAATCAGGTGTGGACCACCCGTCGAGTCAGTGCTGGCTTTGTCCGGCGATGTGTCTTTCACGCCTTTTTCGCATATCTACGAACAGGCGGTAATGGCTCCGGTCTCCAGCGGGTGTCCGGCTCGAGCGAAAACGATACTATATCACCAGGCGAGATTCCACGCTCAATCCGTACCGCCGATCCGTCACTGCCGCTTGTAGACTCCCAAAGAGAGGCTGAATTTCTTGAAGCATTTGGTGATATGCCGTGGGAACTGATCTAGAGCACCTAGTACGGAATCTAGTCAGTGCCGACATGTCATGAGGGAAATAGCCGAGAAGCTTCTTGAGCACAGCACAAATTTATATGTTTTCTATGAGCGGTCCCTTTATTTTAGGTCGTACATCTTGCCCCTGCGACCGACTCGACGCGAAACAAGACGCGACGATTCATACTCAGAATAAAGATGACTAGCTCAGCTGCTTGTGAAGCAAATCGGGGTAAGCCGATGCTATTTTGCACGAACGTAAGCATGTGCGGGCCATGGATCAGCGGTTGAAGCTGGGCGAATAATATAGAAGCCGATGCAAGGGTGAGTCAACGATGAGAGTTTGCCTGGACTAGCAAGTGACGGGACCCGCATTGTTCGGGAATACGTTCTCCCGATGGAGTCACAGAGTCTTCGAGTAACTAGTTCACACAAGGATCGTGGACTTTTATGGCTATGAGAGGAATTAAATGGCTTTGATGGTCTCGGAGTTCCTGGGAGCTCGAAGGCGCAGAAGACCGTCGTATCAAATAGAGGCGTGATACCCCTGAAGGCGGACACCATAGCTTTGGCAGAAACTGCAATAAACATGTGACCGCACTAGTAAAGTCAACTAACTTCATCTAGTTGGCTCTGATCATGAAAGTATCCTCTCCATATTTTATCCAAGAGTCCTCCCTACAAACGGTCTTGAGCAGACCACGCACCACGCCCTACGTTTTTGTTGTTGCTAGATTTTACCTACATTATCTTACCACAAACCGGACTAATAGTCAGCAATTTGGTGATGCTCGAGCGCCTCCCATCGCACAACATCGAAGCAGGACCAAATCAGCTCCATCCGTCATTTGCCACGATACATCATACACAAGCCTCAGTATGGACCACACAGAGAGGATGAAGGCATCTTTCTGTGATCTACCGCTGGAGATTTGGGAATCAATCGCAGTGAACCTCGACCTTCCTGATTACTTACATTTCCGTGCCCTTTGCCGTCGGACAGCATCTTTATTTGGCCGCAAAGCTCTCATTTCACCCTTGAGAAATCCACGCTTGAAAAATATGCAGGCCCTTGGAAACAATCATCTGGAAATGCAGGACAAAGATAAACAATTCGAACCACTTCATCTCATATCACGAAGCCATATTTTATCCCAGGCCTATCAAGAGAACGGGTTGATTCCAGAGGTCGATGGTCTGGCCAAGCTTGGAGCATCCTTGAAGTACATCCCTTGTGGCGATATGGTTGAGCGCGCAGCTTGTTCGCGCAATTATAAAGAGCTATTAAGTTGGCTGATCAAGCATGGTGCTTCTTTTCAAGAAGTTCCAGGTGGTATTAATCGGCTCTGTCTCGAAGCATACGAACAAGGCGACTGGGAAAGGTTTCGCTGGTTGTTCCACCGAGGGGGGTCTCTAGATATTTTGGCTGGGGAGGTATTCCATTATCCTGGTTCTTACAGGCCAAGGTCGCGTCTAGCTTGTCGTTCTCATCGAGTCTCGCTAAAAATGGCCCTGAAAGAGGGAGCAAGACCTGATAGCCACCACGAGGCCTGGGCAAATGTCGCAAGATCGCGTCGACTTAAGTACTCAGTGACGGTTGGGGAAAGTTGACCGGCTAAGTATGCAACTTGTATAGTATATTCAAAATATTAGACACAGTATCCCAGATCTGTTGGGTATAATTCTTTAGCTTGGCTAGTTGTGAAACCTTGATGTGGATGAAAGCCTTAACAGCACCTGCGACAGACGCTTCATCCAGCGCAAGACTTATTCTCGTCTTCTCAGGAATCAAGTGCAGCCTTTCCGTGATCTCCGGCCAAGATCGGCTTGAGACCAACCGTTTGACATGCGGAAACCTCGAGACGTTCTTCGTGATCAAATCTAGAAGATCGAACAGCCCAGTTGTACACTCGTCGAGAGCATCAATTACTGTACCATACAGACTGTGCTGTAGACAGTCTCAAGCTCGCCCAAAATATCGACAAAGATTTTTGACAAGGCATGCCAAGAGTTGATGCCTTCGAAGAGCTGCTTGTCTAATTCATACAATCAAGCAATCTATTCCCTATCTACAGCAAGCAGTATTATAGTATATATATAAGTAGATCACGTTATACAAGATCAATGTAGCGTCTAGCAGTAGAACTGTCTATTTGCCTGATAGCAATCGCTTGTCTACACCTGTACAAGATCTAACTACGTTCTGTTACAGTGCCTGTCCTCGGCACGATGCTATGTCAACAGCTACCGTAGCGTGTTAACAAAACCTCCTTGCCTGTCGTCGTCCTCTAAGACACCTGGTCTCATGCTCTCATCGCTGTCGCCTTGTGGCTCCGCCTGCTTGGCCAATGGACCCAAATAGTTTCAAGCTTGTAGTCCTGGGCACTGGCTGCTTCAGCGAGAAGTTGGTCACAACCCTAAACTTCTGATTCACTTCATAGAGGAGCTCTGTTGTACATGTATAGCTTTACTATTTTCTCTAGGTTTTTTCTCATATAGACCAGCAATTGACTCATTGCAATAAGCTCTTCCTTGATTCTGGTAGCAGTCTATTCTGACTGGACGATCCGTATTTTCGGCGATTCAATTATACAGGGAATCTCCTATTATCAGTCAGGTCTTTGGGCGATAGCACGCATATATTAACGAGTCGATTTTAGTCTCTGCAAAGGTTGAAGAGATATAGTAGATCTATACATAAACAAGACCTATGCTATATAGATTTGCTACCTGGTTCACGGTCGTACATAGAACAGGTAGGCGATTAATATGAGGGCTAAGAAGAAGCAAGAGCAGCGGACTGAATGCCTCTCTTTTACTTCTTCCGCAGTAATTTGAGTACCCTGACCCGAATGTAGGGGTGAATAGAGAGAACAGCCAATAAGAAGGCTTAATTGTATCAGTGTATATCTATGGTGGCTAGTTATCTTGCCCTCACTTGATAGATAGTTCGCATCGTTTGGTTTCCGTCATATTGTAACATAATATAATAATCATGCAACCAACATGTGGTAGGTGCGGTCTTTAGAAGCATCCCGGCCCTTATCATACATAAGCACCATCCCAAGCTTGTCTAGAATCGCCAATATATTGACAGGAGCAACTATGCCCGGCTGTCTTCCCACATCAGAGAGCTTTGACCGAGCGTACGCCTCCGACTCGACAGCCACAGATTCCGAGTCCGAGTATATCCCTTCTGAAACAAGTGAAGATAGGGATTTCGTTGTTTCGGATACAGATCATATATCCGATATGCTGAGTGTTTCTGGTGAAGACTCCGACAGTACGCTTGAGAATGAAAAGGCGGGTCAAGCCATTCCTCTTACCTCTTAAGAATCTCTGCTGACCTTTATATAGACAACCCTTCACTGTGCGGAGCCAGAGCAAAAGGTATACATCAAAACAATTATGAAAACGACGGCGGATACCAAAGACGGTGAAAAACTCCGCTATATGGTACTATGGTGTTCTTGGGAGACTGAGGATTCAATGAGAACAATCAAATCGTAGATGCTGGCCTACTTCGAGACACTATACGGTATGACAGTCTGGGTTGCTAGACTTAGAATATGATGAGCAGGTCTGAGAAGGCCCTCTATTACTGAGTTATGTATAATATTCATTCCCGTATGTCCTATAGGACGCTCTTAGTACAAATTCCTATATGTACCATAGGACGCTTTTGGCGCAAATTTACCGACATGGGGTAGATCATTTCTCGAGGCTCGCTGATTACGCTTCTCTTGCTCATTACTGAGCTTCACCTTTCACACCTTAAACACCAAAGGAACGATGCTATAGACTCGGCTGACGGCTGCTGGCGCAAGTTTATTGCTAGATTTTTATTTCGGAAACTCATTCGAGATCGGAATCTCAGGGATAAATGCATGTCTCATGAAAACGGCCTATTTCCCGTCTGGTGCGACGACTTTCGACCTCAGAATATATTGATCAACAAAGATGAAAGGGTCGCTGGGGTAGTGGGCTGGGAGTTTACCTATACCGCGCCCGTTGAGGTCACTCGTACTCCACCCTGGTGGCTTCTTCTCGAAAAGCCGGAATATTGGACCCAAGGCCTTGATGACTGGTGTGCCCAGCATGAGAAACGGCTTCCGGTAATCCTTCAGGCAATAATGAAGTGCGAAGAGGAGGCATGCCAGACTGGGAATGGACAGCTCCAAGAAAGCCAGCGACTCTCGAGTCAGATGCGACGTAGTTGGGAGAGCGCAGATTTTTGGATCATGTATGCTGCAAGGAACAACTTTGCCTTTGATGCCATCTACTGGAACAAGATCGATCAACGATTCTTCGGGTCTAGTGGATCTGACAACAATATATGCGATGTATGGAAAAGACTTGGTCTCCTGGAACCCGAAGAATCAGAAGTCATGGAAAAGTATTCGAGTTTGAAGCTTCAGGAGAATAAGACAAGGGTTCTGTCTTGGGGCCCTGATGAATACACCGCAGAATATATGGCCAAGATGAAAGCTTGATGCTCTTGTCAGATGATTTGAGAGCTGTTTGATTAGCGGGGAGCCTATCATCTCTCAGACAGTCAAGTCCATAACTAATTTGGAAAACTATCCGAAAATCAAAAAGAAACCCTCTTCTCCGGTTATTCAGAGCTCTATTACACAGAACCCAAAACACTCTCGCTATCCATTCTAGATAATCTCCAAGCAGCAAGAATCTCCCAGCCTTATGAATACTCTGAGAACCGGGAAATCTCTCTTAGCTCGTTATCGTGCGGAGAGTGATCAGGCAGCGTTCTTGCTTTCTTCCTGTCAACTCTGTCTCTTCGAGGTCGCTGAAATTTGCGGTAGCACCACCTGTGCAAAAAAATGATGCCACAGAAGGCGGCAGCTCCCGAGAGGATCGTTCCAAAGAGCACGGCGATATTCTGCTTATGGACTTCCATAGAAGATTGACCGATGTCTATCTGAGCCAGCTGCGCCATATCAACATTGGCTATCGTCGGAGTGGCTGCCGTGGACGTGGATGTTGTTGACGTGGATGTTGTTGACGGGGATATCGTCGACGTGGATGTCGTCGGAGATGTAATACTCCTGCTCGTCCCAGTGGGCATATTTGTATGCTCATGGGTGGGAGGGCCAGCGGCAGTGGTGTAAGGGTGGAGATCGGCAGACGTGTGTTGCCCTTGCTCGGAAGGTGCATAGTGTCCTTCGGTATTGTTCAATGACTTTGATCTAACGTTCCATCCCGACGGTAAATGGGTCTGATCAAAGTCGCCTGCGAAGGTTGTGTGGTAGATTTGGTCTGAATGGGAGAGCAAATCATGCGGCGGAGAGATCATGGGTGGTTCACTTTGGAAGCCAGTTCCTCGAACCGTTGTCGATCTCAGGCTTCCGCCCGTGGTTGAGGCTGGCGGTAGAGCAGCGGGCTTGTATGGATCGGAGATGCCCGCGGGTAGGTATTGGAATATACTCGTGGGTGCGTCAAGGTCGACTGATAGCGGGCCTGAAATCAAAGACCTGGGGCATCAAAAAATCCGGTTCTTCCCCGGGTTCACCAGAACAAAGAGACTGACCTAGGTGGCTGGTGTGTATCATGGTCTTTGGTGGCTCTAAGCTTGATAAAGCATAATATTCTGCGGTCCCTGAAGCAACTGCACTGCCGCTGCGGGCACTGCCGGTGAGCTTGACGCCGTCGGATTCTTGTGTGGCTGTCCCGTTATGGCTGGAAGAGGCCATGAAGCTCTGCACCCCCTGTGGTAAGCCCACCGCTGGACTTGGCTCCGTTATCCCCGCAATGGATGCCGGAGCTGTAGGCACGGTCGGGGCTTGGCTCAGCTCGACCAAGTTTGAGGCCGTCGCTGCATCTAGCCCGGCTAGATAAGATTGATCATCCGAACTGGTCTTTACGGTTACTGGTGACACTACCGAGGCCATATCACTCGAGCTCGGAAGGATTGACAGAAGAGTCATGTCAACAGTTTGACTTGGAATGTTCTCCCTTTTGCTGGATTCTGGCGGCGCCCAATCGACCACGCTTGACGACGTTGCTGTCTCTGGCTCTTGGGATGCTATTGCCATGGTTGAAGCCGTATCATTTTCGCTTGAGGCAGGAGTCTGGTCTGTAGGGGCCGGTAGATTAGCGAACGTGGTGGGTGGGTTGGAGAACCTGGTCATTGTTTCGTCTACCGGCATGGCCTTGTTTGATGTAGTCGGGCTGACAATGGCTACCAAGCTGGTGCCACTGCCTGCTGAGTCTAGACTCCCATCGCTTGTACTGATTGGACTGAAGACAGCGACGCCAGTAAGCGACAACGGTTCTGCGAGACTCGAATTGCTTATCGGTTTGTAGCTGGCCGTACTCCGCTCTGTCGTCTGTGGTGAAGCCGCACCGTCAGTCCTGGCTATGGTTGATGTTATTGTTAACCCTGGCTTGCTGCTAGCCGGTATATGGGATGAGCGAAGTATCGTCACGACAGGATCTTTTGTGGCGCTGAGCTCGGCAGAGGCCGCTACTGCTTCTGAGCTATCGTCGGTGGCATTCCGAGTTGACTCCGATCCGCTTGTGCTTTGTGGGTTTGATAATGGAAGGTTTGCGCTGGTAGACGGCATCACAAGTGACGTGCTTGCCCTGTCTGGAGCTATAGTGATGCCTTCACTGGACCCAAGCTTAGATACCTGGTCAGCCACATTGTGGGAGGACGGTGTGCCTCTGTCTGCCATAACAGACGGCCCTAATGAATTTGTTGTATTAGTCTCTTGCTCTATTGCCATGTTCGAGCTCTGGGTCTCCGCCGGCGCTGTGGAATGTAGATATTGAGGGGTTTGTATAATAGCTTGAAAGGTTATCTGATGCTAGACGAAACATCAAGGAGATGTTTCCGGGCCTATGGAGATAATAAGGTCAGAAGACTGTAGCCGACTACAGTATTAGCGCCAAATTACAGAAACGTGGCGTTTTTTGAGCGATGCAAATTTACGGATATGTACTTCTGGATTTGAGCAACTCTCCCATGGCTTACTTGTCGGAGTTTGGATATGGAACCAGATGGCTCAGACCCGAAGATACCCCAAGTCCCAATTCAAGCTCTAAATGTGTGCCCTGTTAGATGCTCCTTTCAGCTCGAAAGGTTACCTTTGGATTATTCTTAAGCGGAGGACAGTCTTGGGCGCGATCCCCTGGAAAGAGCTCGGCGAAAAAGTCGGACTGCGATTTTCTGTGCCCTTAGTCCTTCCTTTCTTGCAATGCGTGCTTTGAGCAGTCTAGGGACATGGGATAGGAGCCGAAAAATCTTCTCCGTGCTTTTGCCATGCACGCTGTTTCGTGAAAAATACCCTGATTTCCGTACCCTCATGATCATTCTGATGATATGCTCAGCTATCACATCTACTTGCACTTCTTGATGACCGAGAGCCCCATTGCTATCTGGAGAGCGTATCAACTCGCCGGCTGAGGGCGGATACTGTTCATTGACCACATGCCCACCGGGAGGAAGGAAATAGCTCAGTCCGGGTATGCCAGACTCCGTGATGAGCAATTGCGCTATAGATGCTAATGTCCTTTCGGTCTTTTCAGAGTTGTCAAGCTGGATGAACCGGTAGAGGACGGGCAGCAAATTGATCTGGTGGGTTGGCCGGAAGGGTTGGGAAACCACTGTCCCACGTTGAATGGTTGGGACCCCGTTAGGTCTTTCTTTGCTTCGTGGGATTTCGTCTTGGCGCCTTGCTCGACCATCATATATAATACTTTGTAGCGGTTCCTTATCCACCTCTAAACAAACGATCAGTACGATGTGGCTTGGGGTCGAAGGGAAGACGCAAAAGCCCTACTCTTGTCTCTTGTGGATGTATTCACAGACTCAATGCTCTGATGCCTGGAACTATGGACACAAAGGCAGCAAGCCGGCGAGTCTTCAGAGGAGCCCTTTCTGGCCATGTTGAACAAAGATCTGTTATAACATCTCCAAGGACCCTGTATATATCCCCGAGAATCAATAGGCTCTTCGGCATGCTGGTAGAGCCCCAACCAAATAAATAGGTCGCTTATGTATGCTGTACAGATCGTGGCGAGCTTTCTGAGAGCCCCGCAGAAAGCCGTTCATTCTAATAAGCTTGAATGTGTTATATGCGTCGAGTATCTAATCTTCCTGCGGCCCTAAATTTGAGCATCAAACAACCACCTAGTTGAGGGCTCTTATTGCCACGGAAAAGCGTCTCAACCGTGCTTGTCCTGCGGGCCAGGTATGACCTTTTGGGAAGGTCGGTAGATAAGAAGCCCTGCACGACTTTCGACGCCTCCCAGGGCACAAAACAGTTGCCGCCACAATTGCCGGCAAGACGCCGGACCACAGTTCCTCGATCCCAACAACCCCCCTCCCCCCTCCAGGACATCATGGCCCCCGTCTCAGCCGAGTGAAACAGGAACAGTTACGGAAACGGCGCAACAACCTCTTGAAGCGCCACAATGAATTCTGGCGCCTGTACTCCATTAGAAGCTGGCTAGTCATGGAGATGCCGAACGGAAGAATATATACGTACCAGTCAAATCCTGGTGTACAGATGCCTAGTGAGGAAGACATTGTAAGGTCGTTGAAAATAGCATAGTCTTTCTCCGTTTTGACCGTCTACAGAATAGCCGCTCACAATCCGCGGTTCATCGGACCCCAGCCGACTATGAACCTACTACGCCTCGTAAGCTGACCGTCCCGACGCCGCCCGTCTTTGATATGACTTAGCTGGAGGGCATCCGATGGGACAATTCCATGAGACCGCGTTCGAGCTGGTACTGTAACCGCGCAACCAATCCCAAATGTCGGCGGGCCTTCAACGCTAGAGCGTCGGGCCCAAGCCTGAGGGTAGCCGAACTTTCGATACAGGGCACTACGCAGCGGCGGGGGCCCCACCACACCCAAAGATCCTTGGCGCGTACCATCTCGCGGTACGATCATTCTGTACTGTGTCGTATGGCTACATTTGGAATCATCTATCAACTACTTCAAATAATGAAAATACGTAAAGGAAAATTCTCTGTTCATTCCTGTCACTGGTACTCGATTTTTGCCTGGTGTTACCGCCTTGGTATAAGAGACCTTCGAATTATGAAGATAGGGGCCCCGGGGGGTCCTTTAGTGTCTCAAAGAGCCCTGTACAGCGGTGGCGATGTCTATACGCTTGTATCTATGTGAATTTGCTTCGCCAACTCGCAATGCATCATTGATGACGGCGTCATTGCCATATGATCCGTTGTAGGTTGACTAGAGGAATAAAAGGTATGGTCCGTTGAGATGTGCTTAACCGGGAGGAAGATAGAGGGGAGAGGGGGACTGGTGGGACTTGTATGACCTAGGAGAAATGAAATAAAAAAAAAAAGAAAAAAAAAAACCGAAAACGAAAACGAAAAAAAGGGTGAAGGTAAAGAAAGAAAGAGAAGAAAGCAGGGAAAAGGAGGCTGGTGGTTTTACCCACACTAAGAGTTGAACGCGAAGATGGCAGTCGGAGTAAAGGGGCTACCCAATTCGGCTATCCGGCTGCCAAGGCTTCTGCGCGCTAATACAGGTCTCTATGCCGCAAGATCCAGTATAGAATATCCCGGATCTTTGTAGGGTTTGAATCATTTCCCCTACCCTCAGCTCCTGCTCAGTATGGCTTATATGTTGATTATATGACCTACGAAAGCCAAAGGTTCGAACAGGCCCAAGCCGGTTCGAGTTTTGGGTTTTTCCAAGAGGATAGTGAATTGACTAGCTGGGTCATACAGAGGGTCCTACCCGCACTATATATATAATATATATATGGAGGAAAGATATCATCCACATATTCAAGTTTGGTGGTGGGCCTTCTGTATATCCAACATCACTATCTAGTATAGCGTGGATCTCTCCGAAAGATCTAGATAGTAGAGCTGGCCCTCGCTCCCTAGCAAGCGTAGCATAGATTGCGGCGGGGGCTATACCGTGGCATTCCTTCTCCGGTCGCATATCGCACCGCCCCGCATTCATGATTTATCCAGTATGTCAGCCGTTGGCCGATTATGCCGCTCCCCACCGCCCTTGATGCCAGCACCATCTGAACTACTGTCGTCCGAACACATGCGAAAGTGGATAGTAGGGTGGTGGGAGTTGGGTATTAGATCGGTCGTTGTAGCTTCTCCTTCTTTCCCTTCTCCTCTTCCCTCCTTAGCTTTAGTATTCCAAATTGAAACGCCGTTGTTGCTGTGTCCCAACTTCGCTTAGGTTTCCCCTTGACACAGTAACCTCAATAGAAAAGATTGGCAAAAGAAATATCAGACTTCGAAGGCTTCTTGTTCCCAGAGCCTCAATATGGTACTAATGTTCCAGATAACAAGGCCTCAGCCGACACAGAGGAATACACATTCCTACAAGCACGGCAGCGGGATTGGTTTTTTCCTTTTTCCTTTTTCCTTTTTTCTTTTTCTTTTTTTTTTTTTCTCTTTTTCTCTCCTTTTCTCTTTTTTTCTCTTTCCCTTTTCTTCCTTTTCTTTTTGGGTTTCTCCTATATGCCCTTTCCTTTATTGGGGTAGAATAGAATAACCTGCAAAGTCCAGGGCACGTCCAGCTGTTTCAGGCGTGAAATACTGCGGCACTTCCAATTTCCGCACGTACCAGTGCGCCACACCCGGTCTCAATGCCTAACTGTGTACGCAGGAGGTGGGCTTGGAAGGTCGACGTCGTTTGCGCACGAGCAGTGTGAGCTTTGAAAGGTCTCGCCATGAGATTCGGCCAAGTCTTCCGCCACGACTGGTTGGATCAGAAAAAACTTATACCAGATCGAAAGGATGAGGAAGATCCCGGACGTGGTGCCGGTGACGACGAAGGTCATGATTGCCATGATGGAACATTCACCGGAGTGATTAGCCAGGACGCTGACAAGCGTGGTGAGCAAACCAGCCACGGCATTCATACAGCCGGGTCTTCCGGTCGATTAGTAACTATGGTTGAAGGAGCGGCGAAATCACGAACCACCTACAAGAAGATCTTGTTGACCACCCACGAGTAGCTCTTCCGAAAGCAGACGAAGAGATATCCCAAGAGCGTAGCCCCGACGACGAAGAACAGGCAAGCGATGGCTAGTAAGGGAGGATTCCTGATGGTCCTCAAGACCGCCCGCCCAGCGTCATTTGCTTGCAGCGTCTTCTCTACCGCAGTTGAATCGTTCAAAGAGGTGAAAGTCGCAGGAACGACCAGATACCCGGCTAAAAGGATCCAGTTGGCAGCGCTGGCAGATACGTTATATCTCCAGTTCATCTGCGCTTCCTCTTTCAGAATCCGCGTGTACTCGGTCTCATGGTTAGAACATGATGCGCAGTCATGGACACGCTGACCGACTACACTTGCGCTAGTAGCTCCAGCTCCAGCTCCAGCTCCAGCTCCAGTCTCAGCTACCTCCACACCTTTGATCCGAACCTGCCACCGCTGGGTGAACATGGTCGATGATACAGGGAGACAGGGAGACGAGTACGGTGGTTCCGTGTCAAGGCTTAAATAAGGCAAGGCCGGTTAGTCCGAAACATCGACTGGTTCCTGGGCTGCAGGAAACGGCAGCCCTCTCGAAACAGCCGGTAACGCCCTCCAGGACCCGCAAGATATGAAACGATCCACGCACACTGCGGGCGGGGGCACGGATGCGGCCCGGCCTCGTCCTTTTCATGCGGGTTGTCCGGTGTGCGTGCTGAAGTTGGCTGCCGTGTCTTAGGCTAGGCCCGTGGGCTATATCAAGGCTCCTCGGCCGCACCCCGACCGATGCCCTGGGGCAGAGGACCCGCCCCCTCTCGCCAGGTCTGTGCCGCAGTTCGCCATGGCCGCATGGCTCGATATCCTAACCGATGCCGCCGGTCGCACCCTGGTCGATACGGGACGGCTAGAGAAGCTTGTAGGAGACCTGGAGAACCCCGAGTCTCAATCGCCGTCTCTTGTGTATTTTGCCGGTGGCGACTCCCGCGTCGCCGCGCTCCAGGCCTTGTTCCCCTATAACAATATCACACGGCGAGGCCAAACGGGATTCGTACGGTTGCACATCAGTACTGACACTGCTAGGACCCAGCGCCCTGTTTTCCTGGCAGAGGGAGATCTCAGAGCCTACCCTACCAGTCAAATGAACACATGCCACTGGCCCACAGACAGGTTCCGCCGATATCCCATTGCTTCGCGGCAGGACTCATCCTTAGCAGACATACAATGGCAAATTATCTCTGATTTTATCTTGCCATGGACGCAGGTCCTATGTCTTTTTCGTAGATTCCGTTACGCAGCTGGAGCGGATGCAGAGACTCCTGCTGGCGCCCCGTCGCAAACTGACAGTGGGGGCACAGCGGCTCTCGTCCCCTTCGCAGGTGATTGTTGTCTTGACCGGGAGCACTTGCGCCTCCGTCGACATGGCCGTGGAGACGACGCTTTGCTCTTGGCAAGACGACCCCCAAATAGAAACCACCCTTGTTGACCTGCGGGGCCGACAGATGCTCTCTCCGACAGCTAGGTTCGACCCGCTGCGTCGGGCGCTTTCAACAAGTCTCCACGTCGCACAGAGACGGTGGTCTGAGAATGGCATTGCATTCTCTGCGGCTCACCTGTACGCTCTTTGGGAACGAACGATCCAGTTAGAGGTCGGGACCGCTGTCCACTCGGCGCTGGACTGTCTGGCAATTGCGCGAGAGAACCACAGGCAGACAATCTCTACAGAACACATCCTATCGTTTTTGACCGAAGCCAGCCCGAGCGGCACAGGGACAGAGGCAGAGGCGCATGCTTTCATCGCCGCGGCGCTGATCATGCATGCCTATCCGCCCCGGATGCACAGTAAGCCTCTCCGTGCCTGGACGATGCCATGCTATTACGTCTACTGATGAATGGGCCAGCCTTTCCACCAGGCGCCGTGTATAGGGAGCTTTACTGTCGGACCTTAATACGAGCTTTCGAGGAACACGGGTCATCGGATGGTAAGTTTGATAGCGGCCAGATATATCACTACTTCGAGCGCTTCTTCGAGCAGCGACAAGCTGGGAACCCAGCATCCATCATTCGGCGAGCAAGCGCGAATGCATTCCTGGTCCGCTTCGGAGGACTCCGTTCCACGTCGACCTGCTTCTCCTGTCTTTGCAGGCCGCCCGAGTACGCGCTGCCCTGCGGACACGCGATCTGTGGTACCTGCGTGATCATCTTCGGCGCCAAGGCGAGTCGAGGAGAATATCACTTTGACGTCAATGAATGCCCCCTTTGCGGGGAAACCTGCCAGATGACAGTACGGCAGCTCCCGCCGACAAAGCGACCGGTGCTCCTCAGCTTGGATGGCGGAGGGATACGGGGGATTATACAGTTGGGACTGATCTGGTCCCTGGATCAAGCGTTAGGTGGGGAGATACCGCTTAGCGAGATATTCGACTTGTGTGCGGGCACCAGTGTCGGTATGTAGTCGATTGAGCCGCCCCGGGGATCTCCCCTCACTAACCACGCCGTGGCCCAGGGGGATTGAACCTGATGGATCTGGTGTTTAACGGTTCCCGTCCGGAGACGAGCTTTCAAAGCTTCTCCGGATTCGCCAGAAAGATCTTCGAGAAGCCCGGGGTGGTCAACATGCCCTGGGCCAAGTGTCTCAAAGGGTTTCTGAAGGATGGCCAATATGACGGCCAGAATCTAGAGGGGGTGTTGCGAGGGCAGCTGGGTTCCAGCCGTCGGATCTTCAGCGCTGAGACGACTACATACCCGGGTCCCAGAGTCGCTCTGATCACCAGTCGGATTTCCGACGGCAAAGCTTGCGTCCTGGCTAATTACAGGGGGTCCGGAAATCGACAGGAAGACTCGGCATACGAGTTCCTCGTCTCTGGCACAAAGAGCGAAACCCCTTTGCTGTGGGAAGTGTAAGTGCTTGAAAGACTGTCGCCTCTCCTTCTCCACTTCCTCTCCTCATGGTTCCCCTCCCCCCGCCCGCGTCGTTCCGAAGCAAATGCTCGAGGTAGACTGTCCATATGCTCCACCGACGGAAGACCTCTGGAAAGTCCCGATTGCTGATGTGCCGCTTGTAGAGCCCGGTGCTGCGTTGCAGCCCCTTGGTAAGGACCCCAGCCGCGCCGGAGACGAATCATTGACGAGTCGCAGGTTCTTCAGCACAAAGACCCTCGCAGGCTTTGGTCCGCTGCAGGATGGTGGGGTTCGTGCGAATAATCCGCTGGCCATTGTCTTCAAGGAGGCGGCGATCCTATGGCCTGGTGCAGAGAAGCAGGATCTGCTTGTCTCGATCGGCACCGGCACGACCGTGAAGCGTCCGAGCTCCACGGGCAGCAGGCAAAACCGAACGGTACGCGACAGCGCGATTCCTCGGATGATCCGAGCGGTCTTGGCCTCGCCCTCGATGGACGCTGAGCAAGGGTTCTTCGAGGCGCTCAACCTTGTGCCAACACGGATGCGCACCGACATTCATCGACTGGACCACGTTGTGCCAGGGCGTCTTCCGCGCTTGGACGACGTAGATGCACTCGGGTTGCTCGCTCAGGAATCGTTCTCTGTGCCCGACGCGCTCATTCGTACCGTGCTAACCACGGGCTTTTTCTTCTTCGAGGTAGACCGGTACCCGCTTCCAAGACAGGGCTCTTTACTCTGCCACGGTTCCATCCTGTGTAAAGGCGTCGTTCCGAGGTCGGTGGTCCGGCGGCTGATCAGAGAATTCCCTGATGCCCACTTTGAGACCCAACAGGGTCAATCGCTTGGTCGGGTCGATGAAGACGATGGCTGCGTGGATTGCGGCTACTACCGCAAAAAGGTGACATTCCCTCTATCTAGCCGGGAGGAGTGCTTCACGATCGGAATTGCCGGGGCGGCGGGTCACCAGCGGCTAGGGGGCTTCCCGACGTCCCTGAACGAGCTCCTGCTGGCCCAGCAGGCGTTTGATTCTTTTGGACGCTCGGATCACTCCACTGTCACGTGGCCGCCGCGCCGTGTGTGCTTCTGCCCCCGAGGCTCGCGGCGAAAGGTGCATTTTGCTGAAGCCGCCACGGTGAAGAAGAGGCCTCGGACCGGAGAGCACTGATCGACGATTGATACAGCGGGTTTGTGAACTCGGGCTTGGTCGGTTGGGATTGTTGACCAGCATACAGAATGGTGTGATCCTTGACATCCTCTTTCCGGTTAGGGTGATTGATGCCGCCAAAACGCCCAAATCGACTTCCAGCGCCCGCAGCCAGGAACCAAAAGGCGTGGATTTGGCAAGCACGTATACACAAAGTCTCCGGAAAGATTGAGCATTTGAGAGGCGAACAGATGCGCACGAAAGGAGTACTAAAAGACCGGTGAATAGAATAGCATTCCTGTTTGACCCAAGGGCACTTATATATCTAGAACAATAAATGTCCGTTCTCTCTCCTGTCCTATCGAACACCTATAGCACCTTAAATGCCCTCTATCTTCTGTCATGATGCATGGTGTTCCACTGGGTAGCACCAGCGCACCCCCTCCCTATACGAGACATGGTAAGGATAGATATATTCGCGTGCTATCAAGGCCGGGCTGACATGTAGCAGACTGGAAAAGTGCCAAGGTGTTCTGGGCTGGTCAGCAAACGTGGTCGGTGGCTAAAAAAAATCAAAACCGACTATCAGATCTGCAAAGCCATCCTTAGTACTTCCAGCTTCCGAGCATCCTCTCAGGCTGTCAAAGCTCGCCAGCGTATGGCGAAAGTGTCACTAGGGATCAAGCTTCTGGACCGTAACGCTACAGGGGAACACCTGCCCCCGTGTGAACAGGGAAGGCGACGGATGGTTATGTTCAGTCGCCTGGCCGAAACCATGAATGAGATCGAGTACTACACAGGTGTGGATCCCTGTTGTTATCCCTGTGCGCAGCGCACGAGAGACTGACGGTCTTAGCCTTTCGGTTCCCGTTTCATAACAGCAGCATGAGACAAGACGGCTCCTTGAACTGTAGTCATTTCTCTAAGATGAAGCTGGGAGAATAGGTAGATCGGGAATTCTTGACAAGCTAGCCGTAATCTCATTAGCTATAGTATATACTGAATAGTAAAGATATATCAGGTTCTTATGTGGCGATTTCTTGAAAAGGCACTCGTTGAAGGGAGTTTCATAGCGTCAGCCTGATCTAATCAGTATTCGACAGTACAACCTTACGGACCGTTGTGGGGTCCAGTCCAGGAGGTTAGAAACAGACAACGACTCTCCGGCAATCAGTATATAGTGTATCGCTTAGCATCGGCCGCAACATCCCGTGGTCATCCTGCGCCCTTCCATCGCGTTTGGCCTCGAGCCCAGGGAACAATCTATATACTTCACGACGACGCTTTGGTCTACAAGAGTGTGAAGGAGAAAGGAGGAGATTGTTTTATGACCTGTTCCCTAACGGTATATTGATATCACTATAGATAGACGAAACACTAATCCAGATGCCTTTAATCAAAGAACACATCTCCTGATTACCTGGAGCGCGAGTGCTTCGAAGCCTTTTTCTGCAAAGACTATACAAGGGCTAGAGTTGTATATCTGTAGATGATATGCCCTTTCTTAGACTGGCGCGGAAGCCAGGTGTCGGCTGTATGATACATCCTGCAAACGCTACAAACAAACAAGTTGATGTCACGTGCCTAAAGCACCTAGCAGGAAAGGTGGCTTGCTAGGTCGCGTTCGTCTTAGCTCTTTAATGATGGACCCCCGCCAGACATTGACTGCCGACATGAGCCCGCCATTTATCGCGGCTAGATCACATGCATTATCGCTCATTTACGACGCCTGTACTTCTTGACCCTCTCCACATATCCTTCTACTATAAAAGGTCCCTTTCCCATACAGATCAACGCCCATCTCCTCATGTACATTCCAGACAGCGAGGTTAGTGTTCCTTGTGACGACACGTCTAGTATTTACAGCCGATCCTCCACATCCCCCAAGTTCTGGCGACCAGCCTCAACCCCCTTACCATCTCAACACAGCCTACCGGAGATCAACTCGCTAGACCACCAGATTGCACTACTCCAGGGCTCTACCATCGCACTTGAAACCACCCGAGCACGTCTACAGGCGGGCAAGACCGAGCGGAGGAAATCGGAGCAGGAAGCGGTGAGCGAGAAACTCCGGCAGTACCACAAGCAGGAGGCCGAGAACCGTTTCTACCGGACGTGTCGGAGTAATCTGCATCAGCTTCTACAAACCTCTTCCGACGTATATGATATGCTGGAGCTGCAATGCGAGTTTGAACCTGAAGTAAGCCTATTTGGCAATGTGAGATTGCGCATGGCGGCAGAAACTTTGCAAATGGCCCTGGATGCTTCACGCACCCAGGAGGTACAGGCAGAGCAAGAGTGGAAACGCGAGTGGGACCCTTCGCCAGCACACGGAGTCCAAACAGGATGGATTTAGTCGCTCAGAAGCGTGGAAACCGGCGTGGTTCCTGTTTACCTTCAGATTATCTGTCTAGTCCTAGAGATAGAGGCTAGCGAATCGTCAATAGGAGAACGGTACTGAATAAAGTCACTTGAATCTCGTTATACAAGGGGAGGTGGTTAGTCACCTAATAGTATGCCAGGCGCATAATCAGGTCATGTACCAATGTAGGGTAGACGTTCATGTATAGGTTTTTGTGTGTATCACTGGACCTGGGAGTTGAACCTGGGCGACCTCAACGGGCCTGAATGAATGAGGCCTGAGTAGTGACAGCGAAACTAGTATACTGTGTATAGCATGCTTATGAAACTTATAAATAGGGAGTGAGCTTATACCTGGCTTTTACTTGGGATGGAAAAGTCAATCCAGCTAATCTCCATTAATCTAGTTCTTCGAACCTATATCGCTATCTTCCGTATCCTCAGCTTATCTGTTGTAATCCCATTAAAACAAAACCTTAGGAAGCTGCGGCCAGGAAGGATAAGGCCCTTGTGCTTTCAAAACAGGATTCTTGGTACTGACATTGCAGCCATCAGGCTTCGTCAAGTTTTCCGTCTGCTGGACCCGCAGTCTGTTGCACATCCGTCTTCTCGCCGTTCTGAGATTGTTGATTTTGCTCGGCTTGCTCGGACTGCTTGAGCACCAGATTAAACATGGCGTCGAATGACATAGGGCTTCCATCTGGCTGTTTGATCTCTTGCTTCCCAATCAATAAGTCCAAAAAGTTCCCCATTCTGCAATTGGTCTCATAAAGGACCTCTGCAAGGGTGGCAAGCTTTTCCGACTCGTGCCGGATTTGCGCCGATGTTTGACGTTCAGCTGCGAGCGCCTGCTCGTACTTGGCTACCACCCGCTCTGCACGATCTGCGCGTGTATTGAGCTTAGCGATAATCCGGAGGACCTCCTGTTTCACTATTAGAGAGACCAAGACCACAGAGCGTAACCCTTACCGATGTTTCCATGCTCATCGTGACTGCCGCGTTCGGGTTTAGCACAAGCTCAAGTGCGAGAAGAATTGTAAGCTTATTTGATGCAGGCTATACAGTGATAGAGCCGGCGAAGTATAGAGGTAGAGACAGGCTCTTTAAAGACCTAGGACAGCGGTGTAGGGGGGGCTATTTGGGCCCGAGATGTTTTTGATTTGGAAAGCTACAGCCATCTAGCAATCTTGATACCCTTGTTAGCCCTTGGGCTAGTCGAGCTGCACTGTACATGCGTCTAAGGTTTGAGCGGAGGCAATTGTAAAAGGCTTCATAGTATCCACAATGCTCAAAACATGAACACTTGAAATTTTAAAGCGGAAAAGTCGACAGATTGGCTATTTTGAATAAGATAGTATGATACGCCTTGATTGAATACCTCCCTAGAGTGCTTAGAGTTGACCAAAGAGTGGTAGAGATATACGTGCTACTTAGTAGTTACAGAATATAGGTCATTGTAACAAGCTCGTCTTTAATCTACTCAGTCATGTATATTCAGTAAATATAAAAGTATAATTAGCTCTATATAATAGAGAATGAAACTCTCGCATATAGAGTCATTCAAAAAAGAGACTTTTGGATTTACATGTTAGAAACTGAGTACATAATAGGTCTAGAGAGATAGTCTTAATGGTAAGATGTTCAAATTTCCAAACTTAAGTATCCTATTTTTAGTATTCTACGTTGAGCACTCTGTTTTGAGCACTCTGTTTTGAGCACTCTGTTTTGAGCACTTTGTTTTAAGCTATATATCTTATTATTTAAGCATGATTTATAGATTAGATCCTATCAAATAGAACTAAGAGATCTGGTAGTGCTATCAATATCAAATTAGCTGTCTATAAGTTACTGTAAGAATGCCATACAGACTCAGATCTAGACTTGCTTATGATAATACGATAGTCCAATAGTAGACTGCTTGTAGAACCTCCAGACTAATAAGCCAATACATCCTGTAAGCAAAGAGGAAATGTATAGCACCATGCCTTTGCCTAGCCCAACAGAGGCTTGCGAGCAATACCAGTAGCCTAACCCCACAAGTACTTGCACGCCAGAGAGCTCAAGGAGTAGAAGAGGTAGCCATCCTATCTCACTGCCAAGGCCTGTGGCTCTGACAGGGTCTTCGAGCTGTGTGTTTAAAAGAATCGTCAAGCCCCCCGAGACAACTGCAGTGGCTACTGCGCTGCACAAATGCCCCTCTGATATCTGGATCAGCCTAGACTTTGGATGATGGAATTCTTCGAAGGATAAGAGGATGACGGCGAGGATAGAGACCATGGCCGCAAAAAGACCAAGGAAGCTATAAGGATACTGCTTCCTGGAAAGGGTTGGATATGCCACCTGAGAGAGCATTGCTTGGTCCCTGATATACTATCTAGAGCACGTTGTCCAACACTCATACACGCACATGTGTAGAATCAACGGCTGGGAGACTGCTACAGCTTGGCGTCCAATACGTTCCAAGGTGCAAGCTTTACGCCTTAGTCATGGACAGGCCTTTTGGTGTTCGCCTATTAGAAGGATGAAAGGAAATATAAAGGGGTAGCAAAACAGCTATATCAATTATCCGGACCAATATATATAGTAAGTAATATAGAAGGAGCGACCTGATGTATTTCGTTCAGGGTTGCCATGCGGGCCACGCGGTTAATTTCCCCAGCAGATTTGTGCCTAGAATAGTTGATGAGCTTAGAACGCCCTCAAATACATTGCCAGGCTCTTTTGAATGGCAAGCAAGACCCTGAGGATGTCCTCTCTGGCAGACTAACACAATATTTATGTCTCAAGATAGCGCAGAAGCGTCAAGCGCAACGTAAAGGGAAGCATGACCCTGGTCCCGGCGTTTAATCCGTTTATATTATTTAAATAATACTGGCAACTTGCAGCCTGCCATTATTCAGCATTGCCAGTTCTTTCAATAGTCTGGGCACAGACTGACACTAATCCATGTGTAAGCTATCATAGCCTAAAAGAGCAAGGGGACGACTCACCAAGGCTATTACTTCTGCGTCTTCAGCGCCAAGATGGACCAAGCCGCTGACAACTTCATGGCTCCCCACCAGGCGGTCAATCCAGCAGTCGACCACTCCTAGATTCCACTGATCGGTGGACGACTTCAGTTGTGGACATTGCCTCACAAGGACCCAGGTTTTCCGCTCTATAGCTTTCAGAGTTCGGTGGAAGCCCCGTCGTAGCAAAAGGAGATAAAGCGAGCGGTAGCTGATACACCGCGAGCGGAAGTATAGGAGGATTGCAATCTCCTCTCTTGACCAGGTCTCTCTGCTAGACATTGTTTCCGAGCCTACCCATGGCAAGCCCTGGTATGATAGGAACGAACTCACTCTGGGAGGTGAGTAGGAGACTTAATGTGGAAGTTCTTGGGTAGCGCAGGGCATCCGACTCTACACGATGAGGCACGGCTATTTATTATCAGGGAGCCCTGCTCATTCGGCTTTAAGTTCTTCACGTACCACACAAAGATTGGGAATGCCGAAGCAATTCAATTGAGTTGAGTGGGCCCAAGGCTTACTGCCCGGACAAGAAGTGAATAGAGATAGGAGCAAGGTCTCCTTTAGAACAGTAAGGTATTCCTACTCAGGCCCGGTATGCCATATTGGCTATATGATTGTATATATCGGGCCTACCTATATTCATGCTTATCAACTCAAGCGTAATAGAGCCGATGTTGCAGGGAAAAAGTTTACAGACTAGAAATATGGGGACAAAACCTCTTCTGCGTACCAGTCTGGGTTATTTGGAATACTTTGTTGTGATCCTATCGGGAATGATACTAGCCATAATTCAGGATAATTCAGGATAACCAAAACACTGAAAAGAGAAAGGACTAGTCCCATAGAAAAAGATAATTCAAAAAAAAAAAAAATTGAGAAAAAAATTTAGTACGGAATATATTCAGCCGAAAAAATTTGAACGAAAGAGAGAGATGATCAGCTTGCCAAGGAAAAGAGAAGCGTAGGGAGCGGTATGAGTCCACACGGCGTAAACCGGATAGGTCGGACACGGAGACTGACTGAAGCCAGTGTCGTTATGGCCTTGTTATTAGAGGGGGTTTACGACCGAAGATGACTAATACTCCTACGAATTCAGCATGAAGTAACTCGATACTAGCTTTGTAATCACAGCCATCATCAAAGCGATCTCGACATGTCCTCCGCGTGTTGATATTGATTGTGCGAGCGCTAGCGGGCTATCACGTGCGTTGGCTATAGAAATAACTAGTCGTAGGCGCCTTCCGAGGACCTTCTACACCGCCCGGTACACCGCCCGGGGCAAGTTGTCGGTCACATTGTGCGCGTGACACCAACGCACTATAGCCGGCAGGACCGGCCGGTCCAAGTGGAAAGTCGAGAAAGCGAGAAAAGTCACTGATCTAGGCTGTTGGTCAGTGGAGACTTTAGCGTAACCCCAGTAGCTGCCTCCCTAGCTGCATTACGGGGCTATAAGGTCGCGCAACGGTCAATGCATGCACAACGCTAAAAGCCTAAGGCGTGGGCCCCCTATTGGTGGGGGAGTGGTGCCGTTCCTGACAGATCTGTGCAGCGGTCGCAGGACAAACAGTGTCCTGCAAGCAGATCCACTTCCCCTCTCCCTCCCCGAGTTCCTAATGGTTCCTAACGAGTATCTCTCGCCGATCGACCGAGCACAATCTGGCCAGGCGGACCTGGTAATGAGAGCAGAATATGAAATTGAAGCTCGAAGACCCGCATCGCTACCAGCGGATCAGTATGTGCCTGGGCTTTGCCCAAGTGGCTTTGGTCCGGGGAAGGGCTAATGCACGAAATGTCGATCCTAACCTGTTCCTGCCTTTTTATGTGGGGCCCAAGGAGGCGGCTCCTCTACATGAACCATGGGTCAAGTATAGACGGAACCGACCTATGCACGATTTGGAATAATGTCCATGAAGCTCGGCAAATCGGAACCGTTGCGCTCGGAGAGGCGACGCCGATGCGCCCTGTACTTGTACTCCTGAAGCCCCGCTTGCGCGACGGCCCATTGCCCTCAAGGGCCCTTACCGGAAGGATCTGGCCGACGATCCATTCCGGCCTCGTAGATTAGTGCCAGCACAATGCCAGCTTGTAGCTCCTGTATCGCAGGAGGAATGCCGAGAGACCCCTGCTGGAGTGTTGTGCCTCGGACTTGTCTCGTCATGGCGTCCGACCTCGGCGGTCGGACCCCGGCGTCATACCGCGAAAGGCTAGTGCCGCCCCTAGCCCTGAAAATTTAGGCGCGGTGTGGCCTGGCCTGCGGTGATCGGCCCACACCGCGTGAGACGTTGGCCTGGTAGATCATCCAACAGAGAAAGCGCAGGCCATAGCGCCCCAACTTACCCCTGCACATCAGATCGAGAGTTGTACATTAAAAGCCACTCATCCCCTCCCCGCAGCGGTAACCTGTACAGAGGCCTCTGTTTCCCCTGCATTGTCCGTGACAGTCACGGTCTAGTTTTCCTGCATTCCACAATGCCAAAGATCTCAGGCACCCGCGATGCGGGACCCGTGGTTCCTGGGACTGGCCGACGGGCGGGACGAAGGCCCGTCCCCCCCACAGGAGCCTCGAGTATGGCCGGACGATGCGGTGGACTCGATTCTGTCGGTCGCGTCGCCCACGCAGAGCCACATCCAGGTAGGTCTCCGGCCAGCAGCAGCCTAACGCCCCATCGCCGAACCCCAGGCAAATACCGAGACCTGACGGTGTGAACAGAATCACCCTGCGCATGCTCCGAGCAAACCTTCGCCAAGCTTTAAGAGGGCCATGGAAGCCGCCCACCCGGATTGTAACGCGGTGATCACCCTCGCCGATCAACACTGCAAGGAGCTCCGGACACATATTGCACAGCGAGAGCGTGAGACGGCGGAGGAAATCAGCAATCTGAAAAAGGCTCTCGAGGGAGCAAATCGAGACAAACGCAGATTCTTCGAAGAGGCTCGCGGGTGGAAAGCTAAGGCCGATCACCGCCAGACGCTCCTCGACAACACGAACCGTGGCATTCCACTGGAACAATACAGGTCAGTCCTCACGGATATCTTCAACCAGGCTTCATCTGTAGTGGAGGTAGTTACAACAAGACTAGCCGAGGCGGGTATGGTGACTTTCTCGCCGAGCCCACCTGGGTTCGTGGACGATGACAAGCTTCGGTCTCAGAAGGGGGACCTATATGACTTGGTGGACCAGTCCCCTCCTGCAAACCATCCGAATCTTGAACTCTCAACGCTGGGTGCTCAGGGACCCATTGGCATCGAGCCATGGCAGACTATATGTTGACAACTACATATCTCTTTATGTACAGAAGACTTTTTCTAGTAGAATGTTAGATATAGAATGGCACCCAACCCGGATCATCCAGAGGAATCAAAGAAGAAGAGGAGAGAAAAAAGGAAACAGAAGAAACAGAAAAGAAAGAAATAAAAAAGAAAGAAATCAAAAAGAAAGAAACAAAAAAGAAAGAAAAGAAAGAAAAGAAAAGAAAAGAAAAGAGAGGGGAAAGGGCTAGTCTATTTTTGTTTAGTGGCTCCTACTGTAACAATCAGTTCCTGTCAGCAAAATTATATGTCATCAACCCGAGAGCGATAGGGGGAACGGCTCATTTCGTAAAGGATCACTGTAAATCCTCTCAAGTACCCTTGGAAAATCGACAGAGGTGGAGTTGGATAGCCCTTCACTGATCATGGTAATACACGTAACTCAAATGGCCGGAGTTGTGCGAATGCTGCTATCCAGAAGAGTGGGTAACAAAGTAAAGCAGGGAGCCATTTGTGATGCCAGGACTATCCAACTCAGTGCTGTGATCATTCCCATGGAACGTTCTCTTTAGCAGGCGGCATTGCCGCCATTCAATATGATAGGTTATAGTATCAGTGGTAGTGTCTGCCGAGCCGCTCGCCAAGACAGGCGCCGTGACCACGCCCGCGTATTCCGAATGTGGTCATCCTGATTATTTTTCTGTTAGCTACTATTGATCCCTGCGGGGCCGGTGTATTACGATAGATGATGACTGGACTGTATCAGGTAGAGATTAGAATCGGTACTATCATGCTCGAACGGGGAAATATATCGGTAGAAACCAAGGCGCCACAATTTCCCTTTCTACTCTTGCTATTGCGGCGATCTCCTAGTGCGGATTTTCCTCCGGTTGTCTGGACCCTCGGCTGACACTCCCTGCTGTTCGACGAGACCCTGGAGTCTGGCAACCTCGGCCTGCAGCTTGAGCACCGTATCTTCGAGGGGACGGATCTTATCGCATGACTCCGCCATGTCCTTCACACTTCTTTGGATCTCCCTGTTATAGTGGTGCTGTTTCTTCCAGTTGTCACTGGAATTACTGTGGCGCGGGGCCATCAATTTAGCTATCCCCTCCGAGATACAGAGTTGCGTTCTCACCTCATCTGTTTTTCAATCCTAAAGCCTTGTCAGCGAGTGCAGGGGGTCGTGCGAGGTAATGGCCGGGGAAACCCACATTGTATAGACCTTCCTCGGATCCGCCGCTGATCTATCATCCGGAGGGCCACCTGCACTATCGACGGGTGCTGTGATCGACGTTTGAGCGGGCGGCCTCTCGTCGTCCGACGGATCCTCGTCGATGCCGTGCCCAGGATGATAGTCGAAGCTTTCGTACACGTCTTCGTCGACGTATTCGAAAGGGCAGTCTGCGACGGGAGGGGGTGGGGGGGGAGTCGGGAACGCTATAGATATCGGTCGCCTTGTTGTCTTTTCGAAATTGGCGGGCTAGCCATTCGTTATAGAAATCTTGATGGCTGTCAGCGGACAGCCCGAAGCTAGCCCCCATCGGCCTGGCCTGACCAGGAACGGACATGCTGAAGCGAACGTGGAAAGAGAAAAAGACAGGTCTTGATTCCAGGGGAGCAATTTGCACGATAAATATATATATATTCATAGATAGCGGTCTACGCGCCTCACAGGGCCGGTTCATGCCCGTGCACCCCCTGTCTCTAGATCCCTGCCACAGAAAGAGTATGTAACACGGTATACGTCCCCTCAAACTCTACGCTGCGAAAGGAGCCGGGGGGGTCTTAGTCTTCTGATGGAACCCGTGCCCGGCCTCGCATTTATGCACCTGGCCCCATCAAGTCGGTGGTGGGTCGTGCATACCGTCGGAGGTTTTGGGCATTCGGGGCCTCCGCGATCTAGCGCGCAAAATTGAGCGACGCCAATTTCGCCGAGGCATGGGACGTATGTAGGAAGCGCCTTTACTTCCAATCATCCCCCATTGGCCACCGGTATTCCAAATTCAATGCACCACTCTGCATCGGGGCCGCATTTATTTGCACAGGTCGAGGAGCCCTCAGCTCGCACGAAACAAATGCTCAATCCTTTCCTCTCATCTAGCAAACTTTCCTTGTCCCTTTTGGCCCCATTGATCCCCATCCGATCCGCCGCGTTCCCACTATGCCTAGCGGCAAATACAGTACCTGGACGGATGAGGAGAAGGCGGACGTGACGGACTGGATGCGTCGCCACAAGCATCTGTCATGGGAAGCCCGATGTGTGGAATATCGTCGCCAGAAAGGCATCCACAGGACGGTGAGCTCGCTGCGAAACGGCTTCGGCCGATACAAGAATGACGGGAGCAGCCTCCAATTTCGACCAAAGCGAGCAAAGCGAGCAAATCGAGCAAATCGAGCGAATCGAGCAAATCGAGCGAATCGACCGACCCAGACAGAGCGAGATTCGTCGACCGGATTCCTCCTCTCCCCCAATGCTCAGCTTCGATCCTCTGGACCCGCGGGTTTGCGTAGTCCTCGACCATTGGGGCACGGCGGACGCTCGGCGACTGATCGCCATGGTGAGCCGGTCATTGATCGAGCACAACCAGAAACACCCGTCATCACCGCCCCTCCGAAGTAGGTCAAAGCTGGCTTCATTCCTGTGTGCTGTGGCTAACTTGCCGAAGGGACTACCTGCCTAGACAGTAAACTATCACGGGACCATAGGCGTGGCGCAAAGAAGAAGCAGGCAATACGACACCGCTACCGGTCGTGTTATGTTGAATAATGTCATGTAGCATCGCGGGAACCCAATTTACTCTGTGGGCCTGTGCCAGACTCTCATACGCGATCAATCAACGGATCCAGTCACATGTCGGGCAAACTAGTTCGAAATATCATAGATATGGACACAGGCTGTCCAATTTGGAATCATTGCGTCCCCACCAAGTTTGGCTATCAAGGCTGAGACCAGCAGAGGCCAGTTATGCCTCTCGCTAGTGCCTTCCAGCCTGGATATCGTCTTGCACAGCAGGAATTTGGATGAATCGGTGGACCTGGTATTGCCACCGCTTGGCGTGGAGGATGGTTTTCTCTTAGGTGGGTATACCGCCCTTGCCGGGGGTCTCGTTGAGTTTCTCAGTCGTTTACGTCTAAACCTTTTTTAGGCGCTAACCGACCAGAGGCTTTGCTAGGCCGCCACCGGGACGCGCGAGGCGCTGCAGATCACGCCAAGCCATGCAAGTCAAGAAGGCTCCGATCCAATCCTTCCAAGGTGACCCACTACCGGGGACTAGAGAGCTGACGTTCAGCGATCACGTATAAATTTGCCGGGACTCTCGCGCTTGGTTGTCCGCGAGGCACGGAAGTCTTTCCGCGTATTCCCAGGCCCAGGACCCACCTTTCTATGGAAGGTTCCATTTGACCAGTGTATCCGGTGTGGCGACCCAGTTTTGTTTTCCTGATTTTTAACCAGTTTAGGATTAGTATGGTATTGGGTTAGAGAGTGTGGTTCATCACCGGTGTGGTCGGCTCTCATCCACGGCATGACCCGTCATCCCCGCCTTGAGCTATTCGGACGAAGGTGGAAAAAGGACAACCTATTCGAATCGTCCGTGTGGATGTCTGGTCTGTAGCATAGTCAGGCTCATTGGACCGCCTCCAAGTTCCGGAAAACGGTGGTAGGGGCCCGAGCCTCAATAAAAGTGACCGGTTGTGGGTTGGGCTCAGCCTTGGATTTTTTATTTTTTATTTTTTATTTTTTATTTTTTTTATTTTCTATTCTTATTTTTTATTTTTATTTTTATTTTTATTTTTTATTTAATTTTATTTCTAATCTAATATATATTTGTCTACACTGGTCGTATATCCTCATTCCCGAATGGGCAAGATTATCCCGCCACATATCCTACCTCTCCTGCCCAACTTCGGATCCGAGTTACTAGTCGCCAGTGACCCAGTCCTATACAACCTTCATGGAGTTAGCCTGTGGCCAGATTTTTGCAGTGCGCAGGGCATTGAACAGGCAGCTGGCGGCCAAGTGCTCTAGGACAGCTGAGCACCAATCCGCAGCGCCGGCAGTCATTCGTTCGGGTCCATGGTCCGGTGATATTTGGTTCTTTGATTCAGCTACAACAGAGGAAGATTGGGTGATTTGAGTCAGTGCCCCACCTGGGTATTATTTATTGTATTTATGCTAGCCACCAAGTCGGCCATCCGAAGGCTTTCCTCGTCTCGATTCGAGAGAGGATATTGTACGACATCTGGAATTGCTTCCTAGCCTAGCATTGCAGAATGGGTTTACTGCCTCACAGTAACCAACGCGGGCACGGGTTGCAACGCCAACAGCCAGCGTCCAACCGTGACCCCGTGACACGACCCAGAACCAACCAGCAGCAGAGTGGACTGAATAGAGCTAGTGGTGTTTTCAAGATAAAGCATCGTGCTGCAGATCGTCCACCGTGGACTGTCTGTGAGGAAGCATTACTACAAGACCTGCCACAAGCGAAATGGAATGAGGAGGCCAAAAGTGAACTCTCGCACCTCTATCATCGGTTTGTACCTACCTGTTTCATGCTCACAATGTCGCACTAATTAACAGCGGGCGGCAGGAAGAAGCACGAGATGTGGTGTTGTATTGCGAACGAAATGAAAATGCCATGGAGAGCAGTGGAGGCCATGCATTGGCAATTGAGGGACCATGAGCAACCTCGTCAGCCCATTCGTGTCCATCCAGGCCAGAGCCTATACCCGCCGTTTACGGAATATTATACACACGAAGATAACCGGCTTCCTATGATCAGAACGGCTGGAGCTGAAAGGGAAACGCAATTGCCTCCTTTCCGGATGCTATTCCAGTATCCCAGGATACATCAATAAGTTCGATAGAGCAGACAGGAAAACATTCATTTGTTCTTGGGGCTAAGTAGCTCATGCTCCCTGAAGAAGACTATCGTGGCTATATATATCAAGGATCTTCTAAGAGGCGGCACCGATTTGATACAGGTTCCAGCGTACCTATAGCAGAATAACGTCTGTTAAACCGATCAATCTGCTTTAAACAGCATCTTCGAATACGTCGATTTCTTCTCCAACTCTGTCGTTTATGATTTATGTTTCTTTTTCTTGCTCTTCCGTCATGCCGTGTTCTCGCGGAGCTATCCTTTCCCGGATTGCCCGAAGACGTTTATCCCGCATTCTGTGTTACTAGCCTATCGCACTTGTTCAAGGATATGCTCCTAGATCGATGGAGATTTGTAAGTGATTTACCGCGCTTTACTCAGATAGTAGTTATTCAGTCTATACCATCGTTTGTTATAGCGGAACGTGCCTGCTGATAGTGGTTCAAACCCAAGGCATCATTATCTGTACTGATCTTGTGCAGTCCTGTGATCCCGCAGAGATGCTAGTAGATGAACATGGTGCTTAGGCTTGCTAGGCTACTCAAAAGCACCAGCATCAGCAAACTACATTTCTAGTAGGATAGGGGCCTCGAGAAATACTGGCCCTTGTATCGATATAAAATACGGAGTCATCTGGCTGCCGGAGCTTTGGTATTCGGGCCTCTGTAGAGGGGTTCAAGATAGGCAGAAGCTGTTCCAGTGCGCGGTCTTCTCTAATCTTCTGATATTCTTTATCTTTTTAGAAATTGATAATTTGCTATAGCCCTTTTTCAAGCAGAAATAAGAATGCTCAAACAAGTGCCCGAACAAGAGTGCTCAAATAAATTTTCGAATTAACTCGCTTTGAAATGGCTCAAACAGAACTAATCAGACAAGCACGATTACTTTGATTATTCAACTTGATTCATTTTTCAGAATATTTCATAAGCGCAGTAAGATGTGGAGACGATGAAAAGGCTCTGTTTAGGCCCTATTATAAAGCGTCAGTCAGATCCTCATTTTGAAGGGAATACCCCTTTTTTGGAGACTTGATAATTAGCACACAATGAAGCTGCCAGTCTTTCCATTCCTGGCTTTCCAAAGGATCACGAGTATACGCTGCTTTTTGCCTCAAAAAAAGAATCACAGTAAGTCTTGAATCTATAAGCTGTAATCGAAATATGTAACTAACAATGAAGAGAATGAGATAGCCACGACGCGCAGAGAATGCTCCGAGCCAACCATGACCATGCTCTTTCAAGGCTACCACCCGAAGTTCAAGCAACATCATCTTGGGAGAGAGGTAGAATCCCTCTTGACGCTTAAGCCACAGCAACAAATGTGCTATTACAGTGGGAAGGTTTTCGGGGGGGTACCTCACTTTCCTTATGGATCGCATTCTTGCAGATTGTTGCGAGGAGCCAGCGTTCACTGCAAGTCTGCATACATCATTTAAGAGGCCTGTTTCACCTGCGGTCCCAATGCTTCTGCGGGCGTGGCCAGAAAAGTTGGATGGCCGTAAGCTTTATCTTAAAGGAACTATCCAAGTTCCTGGAGAAAACGGCGAATGGATTGATGCCATTATAGCAGAGGCTTTATTTGTCAAACCAAGGCCTGAGGCCAAAATATAGAAGGAAAAAACATCTGGGAGGGAAAGGATGTCTGTGTTTCCGATTTCGATATGAGGCTCATGAAGAGTAGGGCTCAGATATAACACCAAGAAACAGCACAAAGTGAAACATAAAAGGCCAATTCTATCGAATTTTATAACTTAACTCCTCAATCAAATTCCAGTGGTTGCAAACTAGGATTCGTTTGACACAATAACATTGCAGCCAAAATCCATAAGAAAGTATATTTCTTGTATTAGAAGCGGTTCGGATGCTATAGCCGAGTATTTGTCCCTTGCTGTTCTAGAGGCGATTACTGCACTGGCACAAAGCGATCATGATAAAAATGTATGATAGTAGTGTCGAAAATGGACATAGAAGATCAGTCAGTAATCCTGTTTAACACGTCTATCGTAACTATACTGATATGAGGTCTTATTATATATAAACTTTACCCTAACCTCATGGATAGCTGTTGGTTATAGTACTGTACTATACTACAAGCAAATAGCATAGCCTGAAATCAGGAGATGGAAACCTCAGCTGAGCCACTACTAGATATATCCGAGAATTTCCGGTCAGCCTCTTAGCACTTGTTATCTAAGGGAGGAGCTACGCCGACGATCTATCTACTCCTTCACGAACCTCTGTGCCATCTTCACCAGTCTGGTAGTGTAGCATATATACGCCCAAGCTGTATAGACAGGGGCCGTGCTAAGGGAAACCGTACGAAGGCTCGAAAGCAAGAAAAGTGTGTTGAATCCTAAAGCTAACTCCTCGATAGTTCTGAGGTTAGAATGCAAGAATAATCACGTGTCCTTAGCCCCCTCCGAGCAGGCCTGTGCCGTAAGACTTTTCTGCCGGCATAAACCGGTCTCTCCGACTCCGCCGCTATAGTAGTTCGGATCCCCTTCTATCTCGAGACGGTGAGTGGCGGCGGAATCGAGCGGGCGGTGACACTCAATTAATATGTACAGAAGAACATATCTTCTTTGTCAATCCTCATTATAAATTCTTCTAAATCTCGATGGTCTCAGAATTGGAAATATACAAAGAATAAACAGAGTCTATCTTATGCAGCCTCAATAACTGTTGCTAACAGTACTCAAAAGTACATCTCTAGAGCTTATGATAGACTCCAAATTTGAGCG